ATTGGAATAAAAAAATTCCTGGGTCACGTTGGCGCAGGCACTAAAAAACTAAAAATTAGTTGTACGGAACACCTGCAAAGTGAATAATATTTACAATATTTGAATAATAACAAAGTTTACCCCCCTCACCTCACCCAGTTGCTAAAATTAGTGGTTTTGAAGTTTATCCAAACAAACTTCAAACCTCAGGGAATATTTTAACATAATAAGTAGCTTTCCAAAACAGAATTTGAAAAATGAGAAAATAGGGGGCCAAAAACAGGCCTTATCGTACCTTGTCCTTTACCCACAAAATCTGCTAATATATATCTTCTTTTACAAATGCAGTTCATTTCGCAATTTTATTATAACTGATTATATCATAACAAAGTCAAATGTCATCACAAACAATCAGCAAACACATTTTTTAGAAATAAATGCTACAAAATTTATGTATAAAATAGATGATTGTGCACTATTTTGATTTTCTTTTACATTAGCGAAGCTAAATACAGCCAAAAGTATACCTTTTCTTCTTCTATTGTATAGCAACAGATCAGCTGCACACTGTTTATTTGCAAATGACCTTAGGCATTCTTGAACCCCTACCATAATGATCATATGTTGAATGATCTGTACAGGTAAATATTACAAATAATGCAGAAAGGTCAACACATAGAAGTCTTAAAGAAAAATAACTAGATTTTAGCTGTACTTGGCAAAACCTTTTTGTAATGTTGGGTCCTCAATGCTCTCCAACTTTGTACTTTATTTGACCATTTTAACTTTTTTTGATTCAAGCATCACTGACGAGTCTTTAGTAGACAAAAGGCATGTCTGGCATACACATTCTAATCCTGGTATCTATGATGAGTTAATATATTTAGCCATGACAATTTTTTAATCAAGTGCTTGTAAGCACTGAAGGGTAAAGATTGATTTAATTTATCAGTGGGAAGTAAAATTAAATATTGCATTGTATAAAGCATTGGTTGTAGTTGATTCAACTACAATTCTGGACAAAGGAAGATTTTTAAAGATGACTTAAACAATTAACAATGACATCATTGATATTTTTAGAACAGATATTAGATTCCTGCACCTTGCAAAAGTTATGTAATTTTCTTGACAAGTATAACATCATTTTGTGACTTGAATATCTGCGTATATATTTCATTGATAAATTTCTGGAAATGTTCACGGATAGGATGTATAGAATGTTATGATCAATGCACTATATTTTGTGTATCTCAAAGGTAGTGATAAACCTTGGAGGATTTGGATATCAAATCAGTACCATAGGGTTTTGATTGCATTTTATGCAATCTTTACCAAAAAAATCAAAATAGTACACAATTAAATATAAAGTCTTTCTGATCATTCTGTTACATTAATACAAATACAAATGGCTCATGTATTATACATAATTTCAGCCAATCTTATACAAAGTAAAAGTTCAGATTCCTTTTTCATGATAACAATAATAATAAAGAGATTTTGGTTTATATCTGAAAGTTTTGATACAAGATTCAAATGTTCTTTAGCTGATCAAAATAAAATTGTCATCTTTTCCTAGTAATATCAGATAAACAGAATGTATGTAAAAAAGTACACCTATATGACATCAGAGAGTCAAGGATGGATACCTTTAGAAATCATAAAAAAAACTGAACAATTCATATTTTTAACTAATTTTACAACCAATTAGTAACTAACAAAAATTAACTGTTGAACCTGAGTAAGGGCAGTACAATCTGTTGGCATACTGGTACAGAAATATGACAGCAGATCATCAAGGATAGGTTTATTAATAAATTGTTAACACAGACATATATCTCGCCTATTTGTTATTTTGATAATGCAAATGTTGAATTTAAAATAGCAATACTTTAACATGTAAGTTATGCAAATATTCAAAGTCAATGAACCATGACTGAAGTAACAGGGCTAAACCATCTCCATAGAAATGTGATGTGCCAATGCTAATACAACTGCATACCAAATACCATTGACTTTTCATAAGTTGTTCCCTTTAAACAAAGCTAAACACAAACATTAACTTGTAAACTATGTAAAAGTCGATGAACCATAATGAGGGGGTGAGGTTATATAATCTCCATGGAAATGAAACTTGCAAATTCCAATACATTTGCATATCAAATATCATTGACTTAACATTAGAGGTTCATCTTTAACTGACCTAATCACAAACTAATACATGTAAACTAAGCAAAAGTTTCAAAGTCAATAGACCATGACTGAGGGGTAAGGACCAAATTTTCTCCATGGAAATTAGATTTACTAATGCTTATACAACTGCATACCAATTATCATTGACCTACCACTAAAGGTTCCCCTTAAACTGACCTAATCACAAACTAATACATGAAAACTAAGCAAAAGTTTCAAAGTCAATAGATCATGACTGAGGGGGCGGGGCTAAATAATCTTCATGGAAATGAGATATGCCAATGCTTATACAACTGCATACCAAATATCATTGATCTACCACTAGTGGTTCCCTATAGACTGACCTAATCACAAACTAATACATAACAATATACGACCACAAAATTTTTTTTGTGGTCGTATAAAAACTAAGCAAAAGTTTCAAAGTCAATAGAGCATGATTGAGGGGGTGAGGCCAAATAATTTCCATGGAAATGAGATCTGCCAATGTTTATACAAATGCATACCAAATATCATTGACCTACCACTAGTGGTTCCCCATAAACTGACCTTATCACAAACTAATACATGTTAACTAAGCAAAGTTTCAAAGTCAATAGAGCATGACTGAGGGGGCGGGGCCAAATAATATCCATGGTAATGAGATGTGCCAATGCTTAAACAACTGCATACCAAATATCATTGACCTACCACTAGTGGTTCACAATAAACTAGACCTAATAACAAACTAATACATTGTTGATGACACCGCCGCCGCCAGAAACAGCATACCCATTTCTCGCTCTTTGACTCTGTCAAGGCGAGACAATAATCACAAACTAATACATGTAAACTAAGCAAAGTTTCAAAGTCAATAGAGCATGACTGAGGGGGCTGCCAAATAATCTCCATGGTAATGAGATGTGCCAATGCTTATACAACTGCATACCAAATAACATTGACCTACCACTAGTGGTTCACAATAAACTAGCCCTAATCACAAACTAATACATTGTTGACGCCACCGCTGTTGCCGGAAACAGCATACCTATGTCTTGCTTTTTGACTCTGTCAAAGCGAGTCAAAAAGCGTGTACAATCTTGGAATTTATATACATTTTATAATAAACAACCAATTAGTATTTCATAAATGTAGAAATTTTTAATTGTTGAAACTGAGTACAGCAAGCTTGATTTGCAAGCATACTATTGTCTGACTGCATGTTTTATAAACAATATCAATCTATAGATTTTCCTGAGTACTGAATATTTTATACAAAAAAAAAAAAAAAAAATGCCCACTAGCTGTCATTGAAATTTTGTCTAATCATTAATAACAATAATACTAATTTTTCTCATGGAAGCACTAACTGAGAAGTCATTGATTTCATAAAAATATATCAGATTTTTGCCATTTATTTAAACATGATGTGATGAAAAATGAGACAAGCTAATTGAAGTAATAGTTTATAATCAATGCAAATGGCATGTGTTTTCATGAGAATGCTGCATACAAAGAGAATCATATATAACACAGAAATATGAATAAATGCTTAACAAAACAGAATATCACAGATAACTTTGTCGTATAAAAAGAAGGGCAGCACTATATAAGCAGTATTGCATCAGTTGGCAGCATAATGTTTTTCTATACTTAAAAATTGTGGAAATTGTATTATGAATATTCAATCTATGTATATATATATATATACAACCATATATATAAACAAGTCTAAATTGAAAACATCGTTCAAACCTATGATTGAGTTGGATAAAAACCGCAATTTTTATACATGTGCATGCAAAATGTGCATGCAAAACAAATTTCTTGGTAAAGGGGTCTAAATACAGCACAAACAACATTTTCCAAAAGACCAAAAAAGTGACAAAGTTTATTATAACAAAATGCATTTGACTAGCAGGTCGAACAACGGATGTTCTTAAACCCTGCTGACTGCCATTGGCGATTGCCAAATAAAATTATCACTAGATGTAACAAAATGGAAATATACTGTGGATTCATTTATTTTCGTGGGTATCAATTTTCGTGGATAGAGAAAAAAAGACGTTTCGTGGTATACGTAAATTCGTGGATCGCTGATTACAAAAAAAAAATTCAGATACGTAATTCGTGGATTTCTTTTTGATTTAGGAGATCATATAACCTCCTTGGTTTGATCAATAATAAAACAAACAAAAAAGAAGGAATTCATTAAAGGCTTTGAATTGTCAAAATCCTCGCTTGGTCATTCCAGGTTAAAGTGTTCATTGAAAACTTCTATTACAATAATGTACAGAGACAACTAATTATTTGTTTGTTTTACAATTTATGAATTCTTGTCGGAATTTTATAAGGCATTCAAAACTCTATGATTAAAAGCTAATTTCCCTAATCACAATACAATAAACAGTCATATAAGTAAAAGGTGTGAAAATAAATGTTCCTGTCATAAACAATATTACCTACGGGCAATATCCCCGTACTTAATCCTATTGATTTTTAATCACCAGTAAACCAAACTATGACACGGTAATTAACAACTTGCAGTTATTTTCCATGAACAGTTTTAATCAATTTTAAAAAGTAAATTATCACTGATATTCGATATATTTATTATTGATTTAATCAAAATACTTGTATCTTCTTTCAATAAAAACACGTGTTATGTTACAATGTTTATCGCTAGTCAACACTATACTAGAACTGCATAACATAACCGGAAATAAACATCCGACTCCATACATATTTCTCGGGATTATTCTTCGTTGAATTCTTAAATTCGTGGTTCGCTGTGACCCACGAAACCCACGAAAATTGGTATACCACGAATAAAAATGAATCCACAGTATATATAAAATATACTTTTTTCATTTTTTTGGTCTTTTGGAAAATGTTGTTCGTGCTGTATTTAGACCCTTCTAACAAGAAAATAGATCCTACTTTTTATGACACAAACAGATCACTTAAATGTTCTAATTTCATTAGTCTAAACTTTTCCTTCTCAAAACTTTATAAATAAAAAATACAAAAATTACACCAACTTTAAAACTGCATACCTAATATAAGATTGTTTTTGTTCTCCAATCTGTACTTCAGCATACAGCTTAAGCACACACACAACAGCACTTTTGATTTTAAAAAAATAAGTCCTGTCTCGATGACCTCATTGCTTGCATCCACAAGGGGAATATCATGATAAATATAACTGACTACAATTCACTCCAATTCAACAATAACATCTCCTTCATCAACTGTCTGTCCTTCTTTAAAATAAACTGCCTTTATCTGTAATAAATTAAAAGACATTTTCAACACATATGTATACTTTTTATAACAAGATAGTTTATGCAGACAGCAAATCATTATGGAATCTGACAAGCTGCATTTAATGCAGCAAATGACCCAAAAGAATTTGAAGACATTTTCTTATTAATTTCTGAAATCTGTAATGAGAAAAAAAAATTGTCCCTCCCCCCCCCCCCCCCATTTTTTTTCACCTCCCCCCTCCCCTTTTTCCAAAATAAAAATTTTTCCCTCAAGATATGGTCATTATCTCAAATATACAATGGAGTTTGCAACCATAATTACCCATTTAAATACATCATAAAAGTCTTAAAATAGAAAATGACATACATAATCATGTCTAAAAATAATATATCTTTAATCAGCAGTTTTGTTAGTAACTTCTAAAAATAAATTGACAGCTAATCACCTCAAGACATTGACAATACAAAATTTCTTTATACATAATTTTAAAGCAGTGTAAGGGGGGTAATCCAAATTTAACATTGTACTTAAAAGTGATTGTCCATTAACAAGGAAACCCTTGTTTTTTCCCCTTTTTTAGCCCCTAATTCCTAAACAGTTTGAGCCATTACCCCCCAAAGCTAATTCTAACCATCCCTTTGTGGTATGGAAACTTGTTGTACAATTTCAGAGTAATCCATACACCATTCCACAAGTTATTGTCTGAAAACTAGAAAAATGCTTATTTGGGCCCCTTTTTTGGCCCCTAATTCCTAAACTGTTAGGACAATAACCCCCAAAATCAATCCCAACCTTCCTTTTGTGGTTATAAACCTTGTGTGATTTCTATTAACTAATACTAAAGTCATTGTCCGGAAACCAAGTGTCTTCGGATGAGGACGACGACAACTTGATACCAATATACGACCGCAAAAAAAGACCGCAAAATTTGTTTGCGGTCGTATAAAAACTTGGGGCAGACTTCAGAGCCAGCTAGTCTTGATTTCTTCTACCCAAATTGAAACGGTGAATCACTATCCTTACATCTTATACTGATTAATTTGGATGTATAAAAAATAAATGTGGATAGTGTCCACAGGTGGACACAGATGATGCCCCCGCTTACATATATATTTATAAAGGGACATAACTGAAGAACGGTAAAAGTGACACTACCCAAATTTGAACTTGATCTGAGTTTTGTGGTAATAAGCATTGTGTGTAAGTCTCATAACATTTGGTTTAGGCTAACTTAAGTAGAGAACAGAAACTAAAAATTCAGCAATTTTTCTATTTGTAAACACACACAACTCTAGAACGGTTGTGTATAAGTTTTATAACATTTGGTTGAGACAAACTAAAGTTAGAGAACGGAAACGAAAAATTCAGCAATTTTTATGTTTATAAAGGGACATAACTCAAGAATGGTAAAAGTGTCGCCACCAAATTTCGTACTTAATCTGTATTATGTAGTAATAAGCATTGTGTATAAGTTTCATAACATTTGGTTGAGGCAAACTAAAGTTAGAAAACGCAAACAAAAAAATCTTTAGTTTTGTGGTAATAAATATTGTGAATAGGTTTCATAATGTTTGGTTTGGACAAACTTAAGTTACAGAATGGAAACTAAAAATTTTGCAATCTTTCAATTATAAATGGCATAACTCAATAATGGTTAAAGTGACACTACCCAAATTCAACTTGATCTGTTTTTTATCAGTGGAAGTCAAAATTAAACATTGCATTGTATAAAGCATTGACTGTAATTGATTCAACTATAATCATGGACAAAGGATGATAACTCCAATTTTAATAAAATGCTTCGCTGGGGCGCAGCTTGATACGACCGCAGAGGTCGAACCCTGAACAGTTGGGGCAAGTGTGGACACAACATTCAAGCTTGATACAGCTCTGAATTTGGATTGTTATTAAATATTTGACACAGCATAGGTTTCTGACACAGAAAGAATGTGGTCTAAGAACTTGAATTTTTTTAATTTACCTATTATGGTCCAATGTCCAAAATCAAAATACATGTTTAGATTCAGCATATCAAAGAACCCCATATATTCAATTTTTGATGAAATCAAACAAAGTTTAATTTTGGACCCTTTTGACCTCAATATGAACCAATTTGATAGCGGGGCCCACAAATAAAAAATCTAAATTCATGGTTAGATTCAGCATATCAAAGAACCCCATATATTCAATTTTTGTTGAAATCAAAAAAAGTTTAATTTTGGACCCCAACTTGGACCAACTTGAAAACTGGGCCCATAATCAAAAATCTAAACACATGTTTAGATTCAGCATATCAAAGAACCCCAAGAATTCAATTTTTGTTAAAATCAAACTAAGTTTAATTTTGGACCCTTTGGACCTCAATGAAGACCAATTTAAAAAACGGAACCCAAATTAAAAATCTAAAAACACGGTTAGATTTGGCATATCAAAGAACCCCAATAATTCAATTTTCGATGAAATCAAACAAAGTTTAATTTTGGACCCTTTTGACCTCAATATGAACCAATTTGATAGCGGGGCCTACAAATAAAAAATCTAAATACATGGTTAGATTCAGCATATCAAAGAACCTCATATATTCAATTTTTGTTGAAATCAAACAAAGTTTAATTTTGGACCCCAATTTGGACCAACTTGAAAACTGGGCCCATAATCAAAAATCTAAATACATGTTTAGATTCAGCATATCAAAGAACCCCATATATTCAATTTTTGTTGAAATCAAACAAAGTTTAAATACTGGACCCTATCTTGGACCAACTTGAAAACTGGGCCCATAATCAAAAATCTAAACACAAGTTTAGATTCAGCAAATCAAAGAACCCCAAGAATTAAATTTTTGTCAAAATCAAACTAAGTTTAATTTTGGACCCTTTGGACCTCAATGTAGACCAATTTAAAAAACAGGACCCAAAATTAAAAACCTAAATACACGGTTAGATTTGGAATATCAAAGAACCCCAATAATTCAATTTTAGATGAAATCAAACAAAGTTTAATTTTGGACCCTTTTGACCTCAATATGAATCAATTAGATAACGGGGTCCACAAATAAAAAATCTAAATACATGGTTAGATTCAGCATATCAAAGAACCCCATATATTCAATTTTTGTTGAAATCAAACAAAGTTTAATTTTGGACCCCAATTTGGACCAACTTGAAAGCTGGGCCAAAAATCGAAAATCTAAATACATGTTTAGATTCAGCATATCAAAGAACCTCATATATTCAATTTTTGCTAAAATCAAACAAAGTTTAATTTTGGACCCTTTGGACATTAATGTAGACCAATTTGAAAACTGGACCCAAAATTAAAAATCTAAATACACTGTTAGATTCGGCATAACAAATAAATAAATGTGATCAAAGATTTTACAAATCTAATGCGCCATACTGTGCAATTAAAGATTACTTCTTGAAATTTTTCAATATTTGAAATTTGAAAAAAAAAATAATATTTGAAGAATAATTCTTTTTAATTTCTGAAATCTGAAATGAGAAAAAATTGGCCCTCCACAATTTCTTTTTATTCTCCCCCTCTTTTTCCCCAAAAAAATCTTTCCCTCAAGATATGGTCATAATCTCAATTCAAATTTCCAATGGAGTTGGCAACCATAATTACCCATTTAAATTTACCATAGTGCTAACTTAATCTATTTTATAATAGAATTAATATAAATATAGTGTCAAATCTTTCATATGGATTTTTTTGTAAAAAAAAAAGATGAAAACATTTGCAGATATTTTTACTGGTCTTCCTTTATAAATATGCATTTCTTTAAACATAATTTAAAAGCAGTGTAAGGGAAGTAACCAAAACATTGTATTTGGATTACCTCCCTTACACTGTTTTAGATTATCTTTATTGTTCATTAACCATTACTTTATACATAATTTAAAAGCAGTGTAAGGGAGATAATTTCAATGATGTATTTGATTTATCTCCCTTACACTGCTTTAAATTATGTTTTGTACTAAAGTATTTGTCCATTAACCAGGACAACCTTGTTTTTCCCCCTTTTTTGCCCGTAATTCCTAAACGGTTTGAGCCATAACCCCCCAAAGCAAATCCTAACCATCCCTTTGTGGTATGGAAACTTGTAGTATAATTTCAGAGAGATCCATACACCGTTCCACAGTTATTGTCTGGAAACTAGAAAATGCTCATTTTTGGCCCCTTTTTGGCCCCTAATTCCTTAACTGTTGGTACCATAACCCCCAAAATCAATCCCAACCTTCCTTATGTGGTATTTAACCTTATGGTCAAATTTCAAAAAGATCCATTCACTTAAACTAAAGTTAGAGTGCGAAAACCAATATGTATTCGGACGACGACGCCGGACGACGACGCCGGACGACGACGACGACGACGACGACGACGCCAACGTCATACCAATAAACGACCACAAAATTTTTTTGCGGTCGTATAAAAATTACTTGATATTTAGAAGAAAATAAAAATTTGGCAATTTTTCCATTTATAAAGGGGCATAACTCTAGAACAGTTAAAGTGACGCCACCAAAATTCAAACTTGATCTGTGTTTTGTCGTAATAAGCATTGTGTATAAGTTTCATAACATTTGGTTGAGGCAAACTTAAGTTAGAGGACGGAAACTTAACATTTTGCAATTTTTCCATTTATAAAGGGGCATAACTCTAGAACAGTTAAAGTGACGCCACCAAAATTCAAACTTGATCTGTATTTTGTGGTAATAAGTATTGTGTATAAGTTTCATAACATTTGGTAGAGGCAAACTTAAGTTAGAGAACGGAAACTAAAAATTTTGCAATTTTTCCATTTATAAAGGGCATAACTCTAGAACGGTTAAAGTGACGCCACCAAAATTAAAACTTGATCTGTGTTTTGTGGTAATAAGCATTGTGTAGAAGTTTCATAACATTTGGTTGAGGCAAACTTAAGTTAGAGAACAGAAACCAATTTTCGGACATACGTACAGACGGACAAGGGTAAAACTTAATGCCCCCACAACTACGGGGGGGGGGGGGGGGGGGGGGGGTGGGGGCGGGGCATAAAAATAAACTTCTAGTGATGAAAATACAATTATCAAAACTGAATAATGTTATGTTGTATTTATCAATATCAACTAATTTATTTCTACTGTAATAATAGTATGTTGTTTAGTAAGTTTGTATGAGGGAAATGTTGACCACATTGCCATACCAGACTAAGTGTTATCACTATAAACTATAATTGTGCATCATTTAAAAAATTGTTTACAGCTTCCTCATAACTTCTATTTTTATTTTTCTGTACAGACCAAATAAAATTAAAATTCATACTTCGGTAGTCTATTGTTGATAATAATTTGTAACTATTACCAGTATCTCTCTCTCTGACATTGTGTGTCATTATTCAGTATTGGCATTAGTTTATTTTTTGTATAGTCGTATAGTCAAATTAATCAGTAAATAATTGGGTTTTAAAGGAGACATTGAAGTTTCATTGAAGGACTCCACAGAGAACAATAGCTTTTGTAATTATTCAATGGGACAGTTCACTTTGCAAAAATTGCAAGGTAAACACCAACTGATTCTTGAGAAATACTTTGTTATACTTCCTTTGCAATAATTAATCAGATTTTTTTATAATTTCTGTTTCATTTTAATTCATACATCATAGGGCCATACCTGTTAAAAAGGAAGGAAAAATCAACTCTAAATTTGTATAACAAACATAATAAATATGCAAAAAAAATATATAAATCACACCTTTCCAGTTTTAGCTGCCACTAGGCTGTTCTGCATTTTCATGGCCTCCAATACACAAACCTCCTGACCTTCAGATACCTGAAAATTAAATTTATAATTTATTCAAGACCTCCTGCATAATCTTAATTTTTTCATTAAATCACCAACTGACCTACAAAGTCTTTCACAATGGATATAATTGAAAACAATGATTTGTCTTGCCTCTGTTAAATGCATTTGATACATTTCTTAAATAATACAGATATTTAAAAAAAAAATATACATGAATATATATACTGAAAGGAACATTCATCACTGATGATATCTGAAGAGCCAAAGGCAATATCACTGCTAGATAGATTAACATACCATCTCATGTGACTACTGGTATATTGCATGCATTATCAACAAACTCTCAACTCAAAAAAATCTTAGCTTAAGCTAGTGATCTGAGAACTTGTTCATGTGACCACTGCTTTCTGACAATAGAAGTACTCTTCTCAATGGAATGTTAAATGGTTGTGAACCAATGTTTTTTTCAAGATTGGCTTTGGTGTTTTTTTCAAGATTGGCTTTCGATGTTTACTTGGTTGATTGGTTGATCCTTGGTGTTTAACCCCACATCCAGTTCTTTTGGCTATATTATGGTTGTCATATTTTAATGTTCGAGGGAGCCAGAGTGCTCAGTGAGAACCACAACCTTTGGCAGGAAAAGGATGTTTCCTTGGACACACATATGGTCCCTCAAAAAACTCCATTGGTCCAACTTAAAGTAAACTATAAATCTGATTAGGTATAGAAGAAATAATTTAATCTCTATGTGGTAATAACTTATGAATTAAATAATTTGAAATTTTAATTATTTTTTACCGGATCTCCAACTTTGGCTGAAACTGATTTCAACATTCCTGGCATAGGTGCGGTAATCTGGGTTGAGCTATCTGCCTCTGCCCTTTCAGGCAAGTACTCCAACATTTCACTGGTGAACTCATCCATAACTGATACAGGGAACTGATGAAATGAAAGATTTGCATATTTTAACATCAAAAGGATTTGTTATTGGTAATTGTATGATTATAATTACATTATTTTCTTATCACACACAGAAAGCATAAAGATGAAATAGTCATTTGTATTTTATATTTGTGATAAAAAAACATGAAACAAGACAAAAAAAGTTTAACAATTATAAGTTTGCTACCTTCAAAAATATTTTTCAATAAAAATGAGAGAAATGTTTTTTTTTTTATATAACTGCTTATAAGAGGTAGAAGAATAAAGTGAGATATAAAATTTAATAAATATTGAACAAAAAAAATGAAAAAAAAATATAATAAAACCTACCACAGTGCCAAAAAATCTGAGATTATACTTTCCTCCACCAATTCTTTGTGAAAGCTGAAAAGATAAAAGATTTTTTTGATTTCTGCAATGACAGTTCTTCAAATGATGTCTAGGAAATTAAATGACTATGTAATGTAAATATGACATGTATTACTATTTTTTTACATTCTACTTAAAAATTTTCAATTTCATTCATTTATCAATCCTGTTTTGTAAAGCTACTACTATCCGCTGTATAATTATATATGTAAACCAATATCTAAAATACATCTATAGCATAAAAATATATACAATTAATTTAAGTAACTTATAATTCAGTGACCAGTATTACTCCCATTTTGTTAACTTATAGTTCATTGACCAGTGAAACTCCCATTTTGGTCACATTATGTGAAACATGGATTTACTTTATAACCCTAGTTAGGTAGAGATATCGAATATGAATTTTAAACAAAATCAGGTTTTAAAGAATGAATGATAAAGGAATAAGAAATTTTTATCTTCAAGCTACAAGAAAAGTATGGACAAGAATCACAACCTTTTTATAAGCCCTTACATGACTTATCCTTCTTCAACGAGAGATAATATCAATTCAAACACAATTTAAATATAATTTTCATAAAAGTTAGGTTACAATACACCTCTCTTGTGTTGTTTTTTATGCATGAGTTACACAAGTTGACCCGAATAAAATCCGCATATACCACGTCATCGAACAATCGATTCTTATTATGACATAAGAAATTTGTGAGAACGTGCACATTTTCGAAAGTCGTCTATATGAAAGACTTGATCATGATAACCGAAAAATCTCATATAATACCTGGAAGATCCTATGGTTTCCATTGATGTCTGTTTCTATCAATGGTGTAGAAAAATTAATGTCACTTGATAATGATATTGTTCTTCCTCCAATGTCCATCTATAAAGGACAACAAATTTCAGTAAATCAAAAATATATTTTGTCCTTCACTTAATATACGAAAAAGGCTTACGTTGAAAAAAAATAAAGCATAACTTTTTTCCATACACACAGAGGTTAAGATACAGTCTTCTACAATAAATAATTGTTTATACAATGTGTGAAGCTCTAATCTAAAAGTCAGGCAAGCTCTTAAGGGCATACGATACAGTTTAGATCCCGTAATGAAATTTTGATGAAAATTTGCATATAGGCTATTTTTTACCTTATTAAATCAAATATGTAATAAAAAATATACCATAATGTGCTACTTTATGAGTAAATTGAGGTTGAAATTTCAGATATTTCCTCAATATTCAGATTTGTGGACGTATTTTTCCTTTCGACAGAAATACATAACTTTTTTGTTTTAAAAGATAAACACAAGCTGTTTTTTGTTAAATTATTTGTAATTTCTGTTTTATACAAATGTTCTATAAATTTGTACATTTTATTTCTACAAATAACTCATATTTAAAATGTTCATGAATGTAGAAAAAAACGTCAATTTTTGCTGTATATTTATCAAATTAAAAAAAAAAATGCACTATTGACTTTTTCATGAAAATTGGTACACATAATCTTCATATGTAATCAAACCAAATGTCATTTTAAAAAAGAGGGGTCCATGAACTCGTTTTCAAGTTAAAACAGTTTGAATGATAAAAATCAGTCAAAAACTGCATCTTTTCCCGATAAGTCACTGTTTCACATCGCGAAAATAACAATTTACGTTAGCAACGTCATTACATCCCCTGTAACTGTATCGTATGCCCTTAAGCATGTGGAAGGGCTAAACCAATTATTTAAGAACTCTCAGTTGTCTCATTGGCACATCAAATCTTTTTATTTTTATATATCAGCCATTAATAGCTTTTGGTTAAGACTCTCTCATTAATTTAAGAACAGACCTTCGAAATAAAATAAAAATATTTAAGTAACTTTAAAGTTATAGATTGTTTAATTTTAAACATGGCAGCTTCTGAGTCAGTCAACATCAAATATTCCATGCAAGTTTAAGGATTAATCTATATGTTTTAACAGATTTTGAAGTGTTTATTATACTTACATTAATCTGTCCATCTGTCAAGGTTGCTTTCACCAACACAGACTTGCCATCTGGTTGATTTACAACTAAAGGCCATTCCTTTGGAGTATTTGTATCCATTGGGATTCTTTGGAAAAAAAAATATCAATTTAGACTTTACTACTGCCACTGTAAGATCAAAAAATCAACAAGAGATATTGCACAAGTATATCTTCTATACCATGCAGTCCACAAGGTTTACTTTTTCAAACACCATTTCTAAATACTTGCTGAAAAATCCTTTCAGTAATATTCATTTGCTATTGTACCTTTAACAACAATAACATTTAACACATACATCACATTTTTATGTAGGCTGGTAAATTTGTGAGTGATATAAGTATACTATTGTCAGTTAATAGTACCAGTGATTATTTCATGGAAATTACGTTCATACAGTGTAAGACAAACAGATTAGTCGTTGACAGTTGTTATAAATTCTTTGTGATAAACATCATTTTTGAAAAATTTGCACATCAAATCAATTAATAAATCTTCTCCCTCTTAGATCCCATTAGAATTATAACAAATATATAGAAAGGTTTATAGATATCATTTCCCCTCTGATTAAAGGCCTGCTTTTTAGTTTTATGTATCTTGTCGTGCTTTATAAGAATACTTATTTACCTAGATTGGTTAGTAAAGGTTCTTGCTACTAGCTGATCTTTGATGTATATAGCAACTGCCATTGCACATAACTCATTGTTTTCATCCTCTGACAGAATTTTACCTGGAAATACAATTAATTTATGATCCGAAATAAATGAGACAAAAATAATAGTTTATTTCAGAAATTATTTAATTTACAAGAAAGGTTTCTTCTGTCACTAATCATTACGATATATTATTATTAAAAGCAAATACAATGTACAGTTGAAACTTAATCTTTTAATTGCTTGTATTCAATATTTACCTGGAAAACCATCTGGATACACTGATGGCAGATAGTTAGTACTGATATCACCAGCTACAAAGCTTTTCTCTGTCACAATATCACGTAATAATGGAATATTATGTGTAACACCTGTGGAAAAGAAAAGAAACTCAATATACATTTTTTATATAATTACTGAAAAAACATTAAAAAAAAATTACAAAAATTTGGCATTACATACTACAGTTAGAGTGGGAAAAGTTCATAATGGTACACTGCACGGCAAATGTCATTGTAGTGAACTACAGCCAATTGTTATAATGTATGACTGGATACAGGCGCAGCAAAAGTGACATGATTAAACCAGATATTCTATAATCACTGCAGCATAAATATACCTAACTAAATCATGACTTTAAAATTATGGTTAATTGTTGATACATCTATAAACAACTGAAATAACTAAAGCAATGCTATAATTTGTTAAATAAAAGATTTTTTTTAATCAAATGATTACCTCTAATAACATAGGAATCTAGAGCTGTTACCATGGTATCCAAAGCTGCCTGTCTGTTATCACCATAAGTCACTAACTGTAAACATGTAAAATATAACTTTAAATCAGTCAGTACATTTTCATGTTTTGGTAATAAATAATGGTACACAATGATATATGTAATTTAATAAATACAGAATTATCAAACTTTATTTATACAGCAGGATTATAAGAACTTCAGATTTTAAGCAGATTTAGAGTATGTATGATCCCGGCTCTACATGCTCCAATTAATCAGGGGTTGAACAAGTAGATCTCAATAAAAGCTAGCATTCTTTCCTATAATTTTTCTGACTTTTTCTATTCTACCTTTAATGTAGTTTATACTTATTGACTGGGTATGAGTGGAATAGTAAGTTTATTGTAATCCGGGGTGCAACTATTGCCCTGAGGCATAGCCGAGGGGACAATAAACTTACCATTCCACAAATATCCAGTCAGTAAGGGTTTTATTATACCGAAAGAAACAACAGACAATAAATGTCGGAGCTAAATCAACTATTGTAATAAAAAAGCAGAAACCCAACCATACTGTTTAACGTTTACTTCATATATATTCTGATTGCTAAGGCTACGTCCCGCACTGACGTCAACCCTAGATACAATAGGTAAAACGCGACGTCATAACTCCTGCGGTATTCTCAACATCCTCCAATCCTATAGCTACAGTTGAAATTCTGCGAAATATAATGACGCTTGCGGTCAAATCGTTTCATCAAGGGCAAATAGTTGGGCCCCCCCCCCGTTTTGTGGGACAAATTTGGTTGATTATATAGGGAATCACTGAAGCATGACTGGAGCGGGGCCCCCCTTAGGTCAGTCAGCGGGCCCCCCTTATGAAAAGTTCTGGATCCGCCACTGAAGAGTATAGCTATTGTGTCACAGTAGAAACTGATGATTAGCAAATTGATATGTTCTGCTTCAGCATTCTGCAAAAATGATGTTGTTTTTTTACAGTGATCTGTAAATTCAGATATTATTGTAATGTTTTCACTGATGCAAAAAATGTGACAGTATCAGGTTCACAAAAATAAACACTTGCATTCATAATAACTGATCTCTAGTGATTTTTCATTCATAAAATTTTTGTAATCGCATTAATTAGATTTTGCATTTTTCCCAGTACAAGGATTCGCAACAATAAATGCACACATTATTTCTAAATGTAGAGTATTGCATTATTTTGTCGTTAAGCATAATCACTTTTTTCATCTGAAACATGCAAAGCCTTCTGGATAACTGTCCAACAATATAGAACTGAGAATAAGTGAACAAAAGGTTATAAAATACATAAATGGTTAGGTAAAATAGTACTTTGTATAAATGATAGAAACTTACTTTACAGATCATTGGATCGTAGTAAATACTGATCTCACTACCCTCCTGTATACCACTATCACAACGCACCTGTAACAAATACATGTATACACAATTATTATATTACATATACTGATTTACTGTAAACTTGCACAAGAGAATCATACAAATAATAATAATATATTAAAAGGATATTTGGTCAGAGAACAAAAAAGGTCTTTTGTGTTTAGAAATCTTTTGTAAAAGCATGAACTTTTGAGAGTCCTAAAATATTTGGTTATTAGGGACTTGGTAAACAGAAAGTTATGAAGTGCCCTGTTCGATTGAAATTGCACCATATTGTAGCCCATACTCTACCAAATCAAATAAAATGCTTCGCTGGGGCGCAGCTTGATACGACCGCAGAGGTCGAACCCTGAACAGTTGGGGCAAGTATGGACACAACATTCAAGCTTGATACAGCTCTGAATTTGGATTGTTATTAAATATTTGAAACAGCATAGGTTTCTGACACAGAAAGAATGTGGTCTAAGAACTTGAATTTTTTTAATTTACCTATTATGGTCCAATGTCCAAAATCAAAATACATGGTTAGATTCAGCATATCAAAGAACCCCATATATTCAATTTTTGTTGAAATCAAACAAAGTTTAATTTTGGACCCCAACTTGGACCAACTTGAAAACTGGGCCCATAATCAAAAATCTAAACACATGTTTAGATTCAGCATATCAAAGAACCCCAAGAATTCAATTTTTGTTAAAATCAAACTAAGTTTAATTTTGGACCCTTTGGACCTCAATGAAGACCAATTTAAAAAACGCATGGACCCAAATTAAACATCTAAAAACACGGTTAGATTTGGAATATCAAAGAACCCCAATAATTCAATTTTTGATGAAATCAAACAAAGTTTAATTTTGGACCCTTTTGACCTCAATATGAACCAATTTGATAACGGGGTCCACAAATAAAAAATCTAAATACATGGTTAGATTCAGCATATCAAAGAACCCCATATATTCAATTTTTGTTGAAATCAAACAAAGTTTAATTTTGGACCCCAATTTGGACCAACTTGAAAACTGGGCCAAAAATCAAAAATCTAAATACATGTTTAGATTCAGCATATCAAAGAACCTCATATATTCAATTTTTGCTAAAATCAAACAAAGTTTAATTTTGGACCCTTTGGACCTTAATGTAGACTATTTTGAAAACTGGACCCAAAATTAAAAATCTAAATACACTGTTAGATTCGGCATAACAAATAAATAAATGTGATCAAAGATTTAACAAATCTAATGCGCCATACTGTACAATAAAAGATTACTTCTTGAAATTTTTCAATATTTGAAATTTGAAAAAAATATAATATTTGAAGAATAATTCTTTTTAATTTCTGAAATCTGAAATGAGAAAAAATTGACCCCCCACAATTTCTTTTTATCCCCCCCCCCCTTTTTTCCCCCAAAAAAATTCTTTCCCTCAAGATATGGTGATAATCTCAATTCAAATTTCCAATGGAGTTGGCAACCATAATTACCCATTTAAATTTACCATAGTGCTAACTTAATCTATTTTATAATAGAATTAAAAATATAGTGTCAAATCTTTCATATGGATTTTTTTGTAAAAAAAAATGATGCAACATTTGCAGATATTTTTACTGGTCTTCCTTTATAAATATGCATTTCTTTAAACATAATTTAAAAGCAGTGTAAGGGAAGTAACCAAAACGTTGTATTTGGATTACCTCCCTTACACTGTTTTAAATTATCTTTATTGTTCATTAACCATTACTTTATACATAATTTAAAAGCAGTGTAAGGGAGATAATTTCAATGATGTATTTGATTTATCTCCCTTACACTGCTTTAAATTATGTTTTGTACTAAAGTATTTGTCCATTAACCAGGACAACCTTGTTTTTCCCCCTTTTTTGCCCCTAATTCCTAAACGGTTTGAGCCATAACCCCCCAAAGCAAATCCTAACCATCCCTTTGTGGTATGGAAACTTGTAGTATAATTTCAGAGAGATCCATACACCGTTCCACAGTTATTGTCTGGAAACTAGAAAATGCTTATTTTTGGCCCCTTTTTGGCCCCTAATTCCTTAACTGTTGGTACCATAACCCCCAAAATCAATCCCAACCTTCCTTTTGTGGTATTTAACCTTATGGTAAAATTTCAAAAAGATCCATTCACTTAAACTAAAGTTAGAGTGCGAAAACCAATGTGTCTTCGGACGACGACGACGCCAACGTCATACCAATATACGACCACAAAATTTTTTTACGGTCGTATAAAAATATATGGTTGCTTGGTACTTTAATGAAATGGTTGTGACATGTGATAAATCATTTTTTGTTGTTGAAAATTGTAGCCATTGGTAGCATATGTTCTACATGTATTTAATCCTAAAAATAAAGGATTGCTAGGTATGTTTTTAAAACAAGAGTGCACACGCTGAAATGTCTCGCCTTCTTTACTAATCATTGATATTATGTTGATAGTCCTAAATATAAAGCTTTATTACAACTGTCACATAAACTTAACATTAACCAAGTAAACTAAACATTGACCAATGAACCATGAAAATGAGGTCAAGGTCAGATGAACCATGCTAGGCAGGCATGTACAGCTAACAATTCTTCCATACAACAAATATGGTTGACCTTTTGCTTATAGTTTAAGAAAAACAGACCAAAACACAAAAACTTAACACTGAGCAATGAACCTTGAAAATGAGGTCAAGGTAAAAAAAAACCTGCGTGACTGACATATAGATCATAAAATATTTCCATATACCAAATGTAGTTGAACTATTGCATATAGTATTAGAAAAAAAGATCAAATCTCAAAAACTTAACTTTGACCACTGAACCATGAAAATAAGGTCAAGGTCAGATGACACCTGCCAGCTAGACATGTACACCTTACAATCATTCCATACACCAAATATAGTAGACCTATTGCATGCAGTATTAGAAAAAAAGACCAAAACTCAAAAACTTAACTTTGACCACTGAACCATGAAAATGAGGTCAAGGTCAGATGACACCTGCCCGCTAGACATGTACACCTTACAATCATTCCATACATCAAATATTGTAGACCTATTGCATACAGTATAAGAAAAACAGACCAAAACACAACAAGAGTGCACACGCTGAAATGTCTCGCCTTCTTTACTAATCATTGATATTATGTTGATAGTCCTAAATATAAAGCTTTATTACAACTGTCACATAAACTTAACATTAACCAAGTAAACTAAACATTGACCAATGAACCATGAAAATGAGGTCAAGGTCAGATGAACCATGCTAGGTAGGCATGTACAGCTAACAATTCTTCCATACAACAAATATAGTTGACCTATTGCTTATAGTTTAAGAAAAACAGATGAAAACACAAAAACTTAACACTGAGCAATGAACCTTGAAAATGAGGTCAAGGTCAAATAAAACCTGCGTGACTGACATATAGATCATAAAATATTTCCATACACCAAATATAGTTGAACTATTGCATATAGTATTAGAAAAAAAGACCAAAACTCAAAAACTTAACTTTGACCACTGAACCATGAAAATGAGGTCAAGGTAAGATGACACCTGCCAGCTAGACATGTACACCTTACAATCATTCCATACACCAAATATAGCTGACCTATTGCATGCAGTATTAGAAAAAAAGACCAAAACTCAAAAACTTAACTTTGACCACTGAACCATGAAAATGAGGTCAAGGTCAGATGACACCTGCCAGCTAGACATGTACACCTTACAATCATTCCATACACCAAATATAGTAGACCTATTGCATACAGTATAAGAAAAACAGACCAAAACACAAAAACTTAACTATAACCACTGAACCATGAAAATGAGGTCAAGGTCAGATGACACCTGCCAGTTGGACATGTACACCTTACAGTCCTTCCATACACCGAATATACTAGACCTATTGCTTATAGTATCTGAGATATGGACTTGACCACGAAAACTTAACCTTGTTCACTGATCCATGAAATGAGGTCGAGGTCAAGTGAAAACTGTCTGAAGGGCATGAGGACCTTGCAAGGTACGCACATACCAAATATAGTTATCCTATTACTTATAATAAGAGAGAATTTAACATTACAAAAAATCTGAACTTTTTTTTCAAGTAGTCACTGAACCATGAAAATGAGGTCAAGGACATTGGACATGTGACTGACTGAAACTTCGTAACATGAGGCATCCATATACAAAGTATGAAGCATCCAGGTCTTCCATCTTCTAAAATATAAAGCTTTTAAGAAGTTAGCTAACGCCGCCGCCGCCGTAGCCGCCGCCGCCGGATCGCTATCCCTATGTCGAGCTTTCTGCGACAAAAGTTGCAGGCTCGACAAAAACTCAACTATTACCAATGAACCATGAAAATGAGGTCAAGGTCAGATGACACCTACCAGCTATACATGTACACCTTACAATCATTCCATACACCAAATATAGTAGACCTATTGCATACAGTATAAGAAAAACAGACCAAAACACAAAAACTTAACTATAACCACTGAACCATGAAAATGAGGTCAAGGTCAGATGACACCTGCCAGTTGGACATGTACACCTTACAGTCCTTCCATACACCGAATATACTAGACCTATTGCTTATAGTATCTGAGATATGGACTTGACCACGAAAACTTAACCTTGTTCACTGATCCATGAAATGAGGTCGAGGTCAAGTGAAAACTGTCTGACGGGCATGAGGACCTTGCAAGGTACGCACATACCAAATATAGTTATCCTATTACTTATAATAAGAGAGAATTTAACATTACAAAAAATCTTAACTTTTTTTTCAAGTAGTCACTGAACCATGAAAATGAGGTCAAGGACATTGGACATGTGACTGACGGAAACTTCGTAACATGAGGCATCCATATACAAAGTATGAAGCATCCAGGTCTTCCACCCTCTAAAATATAAAGCTTTTAAGAAGTTAGCTAACGCCGCCGCCGGATCACTATCCCTATGTCGAGCTTTCTGCGACAAAAGTCGCAGGCTCAACAAAAACATGGTACTCCTGGTTTGACAAAGGTGACCTTGCTTTTTGATTTTTTTTTACTTTTATTTAGGTCACATATCAGAGAGTCAAATAGTGAAGACCATTAGGTCTCTGTGCTAATAATTTTCCTGTTCAGTCAATTTAACAGTATTTCTGGAACCTTAAATGGTGATTTATCTCCTTTAATAAATTGGGAATGTGTCCATGGGACACAGATGATGCCCCCACTTGCATATCATATAAAGTTATAAAGGGACATAACTAAAGAACGGTAAAAGTTACACCACCAAAATTCAAACTTGATCTGTATTTTGTGGTAATAAGCTTTATGTATAAGTTTCATAACATTTAGTTGAGGCAAACTAAAGTTAGAGAACAGAAACCAACTTTGGGAAGTATGTACGGACTGACAAGGGTAAAACTTAATGCCCCCTCCGCTATGGCGGGGGCATAAAAAAGGGTGGTAGCTTCTTGATTAAAACATAGTTATGCATTTAACATATTAATTTGTTAAAATATTATGGTTTTCAAGTTCATCCAATAACAAGCTCAAAGAACGAAGGATTACTGTAACCTTAAATTATCTCCCATTTCATTTTAGATAATAAGACTAAATACATAATTAAGTGCATTATACAAGATCAAAATCTCACAAAACACTAGGAAAATAACCAATATATGGAAGGGGCAGTGTTTTAGTTGTTTGCATCCACAACTACACATAGATGTTTTTAATGACATGGTCATAAAAAAGAAATCAGTATACTGTTATTACTTACTCTATTTATGTGATTAGGTTCTATATACTTGTACAATCTTCCTATTGATGGCATACCAAAATTCTTGTATGGATCCTGTAAATAAAGGGTGCATGAAATGAGAAAATATGCCTTTGCAGCAATCACTGATTCCAATTAAAACTAGCAATAAGGAACATTGTGAGTCTTCATAAATTGTACTGGAAAAATGTACAAACTTTGTAACCTGGGTATGTAATAATTCATTCAAGTGATATAATAATCAAGTACATGTTGACTGATGGGTTGTTCATTGTTTTATTAAGTTTTCATCTGCAAAGATGATGTGGCTAACACTGCGATCAAGTTTACATATATATCAAGAACATCACAAGTTATTCTGTTCACATAAACTGTTAAAATTGGCAGCACTTTAAAATGTTAAATGCAATACTTAACACAATAATGGACCATGACTGAGAGGCTGAGACCAAATAATCTCCTTGGAAATGAGATGTGCCAATGCTAATAGAACTGCATACCAAAGATCCTTAAATTACTATGAATGGTTACCCTTTTTTTAAGTGACATAATCACAAACTTTATCATGAAAACTTGCAAAAAATTCAAAACAAATAGAACATGACAGATGTGGTAGGACCATATAATTTCCATGGAAGAGAGATGTGCAAATGCTAATATAACTTCATACCAAATATCATGGACTTACTAAAGTGGTTCACCTTGAACTGACCTAATAACAAATATTAACAAGTAAACTATGCAAAAGTTGTAGAGTCAATATACCATAACTGAGTCATAGTAGTGTAGAGTCAATATACCATAACTGAGTCATAGTAGTTTTTTTATTAACTAACAAAACTTTTGCTAGATCTGAAATAATTTAATGTTTAGTCCATGGACATTTTTGAAAGAGAGCTATGCACTACTTGGAAATTTCCCTGACAATCCATACTGTAATTATGTGGCAGAATAGTCAACCAGTTGACGGTGGCCACTTACCGGAAGAAGAACTGAAAATGTATAAATCGATAGCTAAAATCCCCATGTTTCATTATTGATATTACAGCTATTCTGGTGAATGATTGTCTTTCCATAACTTAAGCAAAAATTCTCTTATGAATATCATAGATTCTTGAATTTAGTTATAAAATAAAAACATGGTGTGTGTTGTGCTGTTAAGTTGCTGGCTAATTCATGTATACCCCTCCTTCTATTCATGCTGTTGAAAATTCATAACTTTTTTTGTAATAGAAACATAGCAGACTTATAGTTGTTAACTTCTACGTCATCTGATCTTTGGTAGAGAGCTGTCTTATTGGCAATCATATCACATCTTCTTATTTTTATATATACCTCAGCGTAGACTCTACACTCAAATGCCCAACCATCTATTGGAATGTCTGACTGTGTATGTAATAACTTGTTTCCTGGAAAATATTTAAATAACACTGAACTAACTAAGACATCAACTAAACATAAGTCAAAGGAGTATAAAATGTAGGTCTGATTTACCTATTTTAGCAGAAGGTATCATACTCCCATAGATAAGTTTTATGCTAAGTAACATGACTACAGGTTACTTATGCATCAGTTAATTGTAGACTTGAGATCCTTGTTTAATGGCACATACTCAGCCCTTTCACAAAGTAGTCTGCACACAAAATTATTGTAAACCAACTAATTTTCGCGAGTGATTTATTTCACGACTTGAAAAATAATGTGAATATAAATCTTCAGGGAATATGCATAACTTGGATCGTTCTTTATTTAACTACATCAAACAAATTTTAAATTTTAAATCGCCACGAAATGAGCTAGTATTAAAGGGCTAAACGCGAAATAAAGTATCTGCGAAAATAAGTTGGTTTACAGTATATATATGTCTGTATGTATTTTGTTTCTGAGAACTGGCTGTGGACAAGCACACAGATAACAATTGACATGGACAACACAGGAATTCTGATAGTCCATTTCAACTAAGTTGATGTGAGCTTAAAGAGTGAGTATTGATAAATGCAAACTAAATTAATACATACCACTAGATACTCTAATCATCTGGTTTACAATATCTATACCAGTAATACTTTCTGTGATTGGATGTTCTACTTGTAACCTCGTGTTCATTTCCAAAAAATAAAAGTTCTTTTTTGAGTCAACTAAAAATTCCACAGTACCTGATAAAATGAAAAATAACATGTGTACATTTTCAAAATCAATCTAAGCTGTTGTACTGATATTAAAGTTATTAAAAAGATAGATCTAATTCACATTACCATTGGAATGTGCAAGACAAATGACAGTTTTATATAAGCAGAGTGAAAATCTGCTTCAGTGTTCAGCAATCAGAAAACAATAACAACAATGTTATTGTTACTTGACAGTTCGAGTTGACAAAGGACAAAACAATTTTCTTTTTTGGGGATTTCGATTTCTATTTCTTTAAGATAAAAATAAATAAAATCGGATATATTTTAAGCACATGAATGGCTATTACACTGCTTAGTTTAGTGCAATTAACTCTTGTTCAAAATACAAATGTATAATATTGCATATTATAATCACTGTTCTATGGTGCTTGGACGTAACTTGATCCACATCTGAAAAAAATTCACATCAAACCATGCTGGGGGTCATCTTGAACTTGCAGTGAGGTGTGAGAATTTTGAGTCATGAATTTCTACCCCATATAACTTCTTTTCGATTTCAATTGGATGAAATCATCATATAAAAGTCTATAATGTTCTCCTAGAATTTTAGGAAGACTTTAATAAATGGTTTACCAGCAGAATCATATCCTACTGCTTTGGCTAAAGTTGTGGCCTGTTCTCCCATAGCTCTCCTCATGTCAGGGTCAACAAATGTGCTGAAATATTAAAAAGTGTCAGATATTCATAAGTTAAGAATTTTCATTGCAAATATCAAACATGCTAGCTACTGTTTATTATTTGCACTTGACCCGTCGGTTTCAAAAGTTTAAATAAGGATTCAAAATAGCAAAACTATAAAAGAAGGGACATATGCAGTATTGATACAAAAACAAACTAGGTTCACATTTTAGTACAACTGCAGTAATAAAGAAGATGGACTGTGAGCGATTGCTCACTAATGATACCCCAGGCCATTGTGTGTTAGAATATGCAAGTATTCAGTAAACAGGAAGTTGATAAGTGATAGATGTGGAAACACATTACATGATATAGCATGCTCATATTAAGCATTGTACCACATTTTAGGATGATAACAAATCTCAAGAAGCTTTGATTTGTAGTTCCTGAAAAAAAATGTGACCAAAAAGCCCTCTATCAGAGTGGGATTATAAATAGAAATGATATAAATTAACCAAGAGAAATGCATACTAACATTTTTTTGACAATGGTCAGAAGTTAAATGTAATGCTATTAGAAATTTCTATTCACAATATAAGATATATCACTTTAAAAGTACCTTGGAGCTTCTTCTATAACCTTTTGATTTCTTCTTTGTATAGAACATTCTCTCTCATTTAACCATAAAGCATTGCCATGTCTGTCACAAAGCACCTAAAAATAAATATGGAATTAAGTATGAGTTGACAATAACTTATACAATGTATTACTATTCTAACATGACGTTCTTCAAACGCTTTGAGTACACACCTGTGGTAAAATATGAATATATTGTTTGGGCTGTTCTGATCGTACTCCAGCGTCATATGCTTTTCTATGAATGAGCTACCCGACGTCATAGAACGATGACGTAAGAATATAAGCATTTTACGGGAAAATACACGCTTGTGAAACCGAAAATCATCACAACAAGGAAACGTAAACAAACGATGCTAAAATGTGTTATATAAGCCATTTTTTGTATACATATAAGACATATAAGTACAATTATCATTTAGATTCATCCAAACCTATCTAAATATGTTATTGTAAATAGTTTAAGCATGTCATTTATTCAGTTTGCTTCGGTCTTTTACGTCAATTTAATAGTGCCTTTATTTATGGGAAGGGCAAATAATGCCTTCATCTAGAGCGCTTCAATTCAAAAAAATTGCCGTATTTGTCCTATTAGAATCGAAATAATTCATGGGGGCTTGAATATATCGTGATTTTACCACGGGTTGTCCCTTTATGCCGATATTTTACCCCTCGCTATCGCTCAGGGTAAAATGTTTGTCATAAAGGGCCAACCCATGGTAAAATCACGATATATTCAAGCCCCCATGAATTATTTCTTAATTTTCATTCTGATTATAACCACTAACAAAGTTAACATAGTAAAAAAGTAATTTCAAGTGGCAAACAAACTATTTATAGGCCAGAGATGAAAAAATAATTTGATCCAGGGAAGACTCTGAGAATGCAAAACATCCTTATTTCACACATATTCAGTATACTACACATTTACAAAACAGATGCAATATAAATATAATATTGATTACTTTGATACCTAAAATGCACCTTGAGTAAAAATTTAAGGGACTATAACCAAACTATTGCATAGCTGGTCAAAGTACAATTAAGCAAAATAACATTCTGATAGTCCAAATTTTCACATAAGTTTTGATTGTCCACTCGGTACCATATTACTTTCTTGTAAAACAAACTCTAATTCCCTTTTATTTCACAAGTATCACAAATAACAACAATAAAGGTAAACACATACAAAAGAGGGAGTTGAGTCCATACCTGTACTTCAATATGCCTAGGATTATCTATAAACTTTTCAATCAACATTCTATCATCACCAAAACTGGAGGCAGCTTCATTTTTTGACAGTCTATATGCATCTCTGTAAAAATACACGTTACATAATAAAAAATAGAATACATGGCTGCATAGCAAACTTAGGTTTGGATAAAAAAAAAATTCAGTGCATAAATCTCATTTTTTTTGTAATTCATGCCCCAAATCTTAACATTAAACTTAACAAGAATCACACATACATAAATTGTTCAGGAAATGAGACCCAATATTTTTTGAGACCCAAAATTTTTTTTTGAGTCTTCATTCAAATGGACAAAATCCCATTTTTCTAAGATTTTTTCATTTAATACGAATGAATCTTAATGCAAAGCTCGTCTATTTTTGACTTGTCAATAAAAACTTACTTGTCAATAAAAACTTATTACAGTTCTGACTAGAGCATAAAGGACAGGTTTATTTTTTCTGTTAATAATATAACAAACATAAGAGTCTAGCATGCCAATTTAATAATTACAGTCAAATTAAACATGGGAAAAACTAAGTTAGATAAACAAGTTTAAAGTCATGACAATTTAGAAATGGTTTGAGTCAACAAATTAAGGATATAATATCATGCATATATAGTAAGGAGGATACAATGTTATGTACAAAATACAGCCTTTGAGAGATAATCTAACAAGGTTTCTCAGAAACATACATTAGTTAACAAGTACAGTTTTATTCGAACATAAAAAGGAGTTACACTTTATAGTTTAAGGATAAACTCTGTTTCATAATATAAAAAAATAATTAGTTTGATATTTTAACCTCACTTAAAACTCTCATGCCTTTCTATAATTTAATCTCCATCATATGCAATGTCAATATTAAATCAATTGCACAAAGTCTGACCAGTCCAAAGGCTGGATTATTCCATGATAAATTAATAGTAACTCTTCATTTACAGGCACAACACTTACCTTAACTTTTCTAATTCTTATAAACATAAGTCGTTTATCAATGATAATAATCTAATTTGAAAGTTAAGTAGCAGCTAGTTTTCCCCAAAAAATGTGTGACACATTAAAATACATCCCTCTTCCTTCTGAACCATAATCCTCCCCACCCCCCCCCCCCTCCCCCCCAAAAAAAATGAGGCAAATTCTTTTTTCACAAAAGATCAGAATATCAACCTATAATTTATGAGGCATACTTTTTTATGAAAGAGTAAAACATTGACTTATGACTTGTATGCTACACAATAATGAACAATGGAAGTGTTTTTGAATTGTTGCATAATATTAATTTGAATAATCAATGCACATTGCTAATTTTCTTGGAGAACAACACATGGATAAGTTCAATTTGATTAAATTTCTTAGTCCAAGGGCCATACTTCTACAATGTCAGGAAACCAGATCCCAAATCTATGATCAAACTGTCATTAACCCTACAAATAACTATATACAAAAAATCCATTCCATATTTGCAACCATAGCAAAAAAGTCTTTCATTAAATTTTTGAAGTCATAGGGCATATGTTTTATAGATTATAATACCTGCACTCTTTGTCATTCCAAGCTATCCTCATACCTTTACCACCACCACCAGCTGACGCTTTCACCATCACAGGGTAACCTGAAATCAAAGATACAGTTTTAATTAAAGATATTTTGACAATTTTTATCACTGAAACATGATGTTTTTTTTACTGTCATTTTTCAAAAATAAAACTAAATTCAACAAGTAAAGCTGTGAGCTACTGCTCACTGATGATACCCCTGCCGAAATATTTGGGTAAACAGGAAGTTGTTAAGTGATGAATCTGAAAACACATCACACGGTAAAGCTGACTTAAATAAACCCTGAAACCTAATTTCAGAAATCCTTGTCAAGTAGTTCCTGAGAAAAATGTGATGAAAATTTTCAACTTGGCTATCATGTGTAAAATAATACAAGTGTTCGGTAAACAGGAAGTTGTTGAGTGATGAATCTGAAAACGCATCACACGGTGTAACTTACTTATATAAACCCGGAAACCAAATTTCAGAAATCCTTGTCAAGTAGTTCCTGAGAAAAATGTGATGAAAATTTTCAACTTGGCTATCATGTGTAAAATAATACAAGTGTTCGGTAAACAGGAAGTTGTTGAGTGATGAATCAGATAACGCATCACACCGTGTAACTTACTTATATAAACCCTGAAACCAAATTTCAGAAATCATTGTCAAGTAGTTCCTGAGAAAAATGCGATGAAAATATTCATGGGACGGACAGACTGACGGATGGACTGACGGAAGGACAGACAGAGGTAAAACAGTATACCCCCCTTTTTTAAAGCGGGGGTATAATAAAGCGGGGGTATAAATATGGAAGAGCTTTTGCATAACAAATACATTTCTTCAGCATGAAATTAACAACTAGAGGCTCTCAAGAGCCTGTGTCGCTCACCTGTATTTACTGATGCTTTGGAAATCATGCAAAATAAGGTTAAAATCATAATTAATAGTATTAGATATTAGATATTATAATGATATCTAAGATAATAACAAAAAACTGCAAATTTTTTGTAAAATTACTATCTCAGGGGCAGCAACCCAACAACGGGTCGTCGGATTTGTCTGAAAATTTCAGGGCAGATAAATCTAAATCTGATGAACATTTTTGCCACCTGTCAGATTTGCTCTAAATGCTTTAATTTCAGAGATATAAACCAAAAACTGCATTTTACCCTTATGTTCTATTTTTAACTAAGTTGGCCATGATGGTTGGAAGGCGGGGTCATTGGACAAATTTTTTAAACTAGATACCCTAATAATGATTATGGCCAAGTATGGTTAAATTTGTATCAGTAGTTTCAGAGAAGAAGATTTTTGAAAAAGATTACAAAAATTTACGAAAAATTGTTAAAAATTGACTATTAAGGGCAATAACTCCTAAAGGGGTCGACTGACAATTTTGGTCATGGCAACTTATTTGTAGATCTTACTTTGCTGAACATTATGGCTGTTTACAGTTTATCTCTATCTATAATAATATTCAAGATAATAACCAAAAACTGCAAAATTTCCTTAAAATTACCAATTCAGGGGCAGCAACCCAACAACAGGTTGTCAGATTTGTCTGAAATTTCAGGGCAGATAGATCTTAACCTGATAATCAGTTTTACCCTATGTCAGATTTACTCTAAATGCTTTGGTTTCAGAGATATAAGCCAAAATCTACATTTTACCCCTATGTTCTATTTTTAGCCATGGCGGCCATCTTGGTTGGTTGGCAGGGTCATCGGACACATTTTTTAAACTAGATACCCTAATGATGATTGTAGCTTAGTTTGGTTAAATTTGGCCCAGTGGTTTCAGAGGAGAAGATTTTTGTAAAAAGCTAACGACGACGACGACGACGACGGACGCCAAGTGATGAGAATGGCTCACTTGACCCTTCGGGTCAGGTGAGCTAAAAATAACATTTTATGTTGAGGAGATGCTAAGATCTGGGACAAAATTGGCCCTATCATTGACGCATTATACATAAATGTATCTAGTTTGTCTAGATAAATATTGTGTGAATCTATCAAATATAACAACTATTTTTATAACACTCATAGCATGTTAAGTTACATTTTAGCATTTATATAATTTAATCTAATAACTGCATCAATTCACTTTCAAACTTATTCATGCCAAGATAGATTGAATGTTGATTGTTATTATTTTGGACCTTTTGTTTTTACATTACATTATCAATTACTAGCATCTGAAACTTTACAGATCAAATGTTTCTATTTAACATCTTTTATGTAGATCTAGTGAAGCAGAAATGTGTATACCTAATGGTATAAGAATCCCCTACCTATTTCATTGGCATACTTGATACAACTGTCTACATCTTCTACAACACCATCATGTCCAGGGATCATATTAACTCCAGCTTTAGTAGCTATTCTTTTACTCTCTATTTTATCACCCATAGCCTTGATGGGGCCACTGCTTGGACCAATAAACTCCACTCCAATCTCAGCCTAAACATGAAACACATTGATATAACTTTTATAACCTAGATGACAGTTTATCTACTGATACCCAGATTTGTAATTTTGTATAAAAGGAAATATATAGTACAGAACTGTCTGGCTTTTTCATTACAGTCATAAAAATAGCAGGTTAAGACATATGCAACTTTATTTTCATCAAATGGTTTTGCTGTTATTCAAGATATTTTCTGAAACCTCAAGTGATGCTATATGTGTCCACATTCAGACATTTTTCTTTATTTCCTTCTGGTTAAGAAAATAATGTTTATAAATAGAGAGAGAGAGAGAGAAAACAGATTCTGTTGTAAACAAAATAAACTTCACACTTATTCATTTGATAATTTCATTATGATGGCTGATTCAAATAGTCCCTTAAAAAAGAATATATAATAACCAATCTTGCTGCAAAGATAGTATTTTCTGACAGGAAACCATATCCAGGATGTACCTGCAAAGAAAATAATGCATCATGAAATTCTGGGTTAAATGGCAAAGTATACAAAATTGTGTTTGTATGTATATATAGAGCGTTAAGTTCTTAACTTATATTTTGGTTGTGTATTGTATTGAGTAAGGTAACAAGGTTATAGTTAAAGACTCGTATAACTAGCTTACGTCTTATACATAGTAAAGATAAGACTTTGAAGTCAAAAGTTTATGCCATTATTCATTTTGAAGTTTATCAATATGTGAAATATGCCAATTCTATAGCTAGTAGCATTAATAATTTCTGTTGACCATTTCCTGAAGCAATTGTACCTAGCAACTAATCCATGGCAGCGTCAAAATTGGAGACCTCTAGATTGTTTTTTCTCAAGGCTATTTGTTGTTGGTTTGCTGTCTAAATAGTAACCCCTTATTTTTCTCTTATTCATATCCAAGATGCTCTTCTAATGTTGACATTGACATAAATACTGCAATTTTTCTAAGTAAAAGTGCATAACCTATCAAACTATAATTTGTTTTAATCATGTCCATTTTCTTTTGAACATTATTACATACTACTGATACCTCCTGTAAGTTACTTACTGCTTGTGCTCCAGTATCTTTGACTGCTTTTAAAATTTCCTCCATGTTCAGGTAACTTTTGCTAGTTGGAGCTGGACCAATACAAATATGTTCGTCTGCCATCCTAGTATGGACCTATTACATTTAGGTTTTAGTTAAAACTATTATAATGAAATCTTACAATGGTAAAGAAAAGAATTAAGCTAGGAACTAAGGTTATCACATCAGTATTGTTGACTAGTGTAATTTGTAAGTTCTAATCTATTATTATTTTGAAATATTGATGTAAGAAATGTAGGTATGAATTTTGGAGGGGGATTGATATACTCCCCTAGATGCATCCCTATACCTAATTACTTCGTTGCAGGTCACTAAGTATCTAATAAACTGTTGACACAGAGATATGTCTCACCATTTTGTAATTTTGATAGTATAATCCAAATATTGACTCCAAATGGCAATATTTAAACATATAAACTATGCAAAACATTCAGCCAATGAAGCATGACTTAAGGTGTAAGACCAAATAATCTCCATGGAAATGAAAAATGCCAATGCTTATAAAACTGCATTCCAAATACCTTTGACTTACCATATGTAGTTCCCTAAACACTAACCTAAACCCAAACTTTAACTTGAAAACTATGTAAAGTTTCAAAGTCAATGAACCTTGATAGGGGTGGGGCAAAATAATCTCAATGGAAAAGAAGACTTTCAAATGCTAATACTATCGTAGACTTAACATTAGTGGTTCTTTTTTAACTGATCTAAACACAATCTTTAACATGTAAACTATGCAAAACATTCAAAGTCAATAGGCCATGCCTGAGGGGGCTGAGCTCAAATGATCTCCAGGGAAATGATGAGTGCAAATACTTATGCATCTGCATACCAAATATCATTGACCTACCATGTAGTGGTTCCCTTTAAACTGACCTAATCACAAATAACTACATGTTAAGAGAGCAAAAGCTGCAAAGTCAATTGACCATTCCTCTCAACTTTCATTAAAGAATCTAAAACTTGATATTTTATATACCGGTAACTATTGTAATGAATGGTATCTAGAAGTAAACTCTAATAAAACAAAAGTAATTATTTTCAGCAATAATGGAAGATTGATAAAAGATAATTTTCATATTGAGAAAAAAGACATAGAATGTGTAAAGCAACATAAGGTCTAATTACTGAGAACACTGAGAAATTAATGAGGCTAGAAAAAAATTATTTAAAAAATACTTGAAAGTCTGTTTTAAGCTCTATAGAGACCTGAAGTCCTCAAGAAATATATTTCTACATCTTTTTGATCTATACTCAAATATGGTTGCAAGAATTGGGGTGTTATCAATATTACTCCTAAAACTCCCAAATCTGGTTTATTACAATACAAATTTCCCAATCAGATGGTTTGGGGTCCCATTCTAAAACAGTTAAAATCAACCCCGAAGTAGTTGTACAAAAAAAAAAGAATGCAAACCAGGGGTGGATCCAACCATTTATAAAAGGGGGGGTTCCTAACCCAGGATAAAGGGGGGGTTCCAACTATATGTCCCCATTCAAATGCATTGATCGTTAAAAAAAAGGGGGGTTCCAACCCCCCAGAATACCCCCCCTGCATCCGCCACTGCAAACCACCTGCTTTTCATGTCTTTCGAAATTCATTTAAATTACAATTCATTAAGGATTTTTGGCAGTGATGTCCTAACTTAATTTGTTACCTTTAACATTTGTACAATAGTTATATCATCTACATGTGCAACATTATGATATAAACATATAGTATATAATCTTTATTTTAGCAAAATAAAGAGACACTTACTGCTAATGAGTCTACATCACTATGGACAGCTACTGTTCTGATTCCAAGTCTTTTACATGTTCTGATAACCCTGCATGCTATTTCTCCACGGTTAGCTATCAGTATCTTATCAAAGGTCTAAAAACATACCTTATCATAATTATTATGTAATAACTGCTTCATATTGTTATATATGCATTTGATTCCTATGACATAATATGTTACATCTGTTGAAATAGTTTTACATGTATGTAGTATTAAGATAGAACTTAAACTTATCTATTGGTCTCAGTATTTAGGATTAATTTGATTTCAAATGTTGTCTGATCAATCAAAATCAATATTAAGAGTGATGACATCAGTAGACAACGACATTAAATATTCTCCAAGTGATTTTTTTTCAGTCAGATTATTATACTACCTTTATAAATTTTTTCAATATCTTAAAGTAGAATGCAGTTTAATCTTTAACATGTTTTTGATAACCAATGATATTTACAGCATGATAAATCAAATAAAGAGAATGAAAATGACTAATAATATTATAGAGCTTCTAAAGAGAATGAAAATGACTAATAATATTATAGAGCTTCTATCTCTATTAGTTTTAAGAATCTTTTTTTTTTATATAAAAATTTAATGAATTCAAAACTGAATAACAAGTCAATAAGTAACAACTAAAGTGCTTATATTAAAGTCAGATTACATGAAATATGAAATGCAAAGGAAAAGCAGGAGTTTATCCAGTCAACATTATTGATATATAACTGGACATGATTTTTAACTTTGTCTTGCCATACCATATGAAAAGTTGAGTATGTTTCTAACATTAAGCTAATAAATACAAAACTTTTTCCAGTAGGCAATCATATGATAGGAAAATATTGTTAATACAATTTATTTATTTTTCTTGTCATTTCTTGAAAATACAAATTCATATATTTAGTTTAACTAATTATTAATTTAGTTGAAAGCTTTTTTATTTATATGTTTTTGACATTTTTTTGCCCTATTAATACTTATACTGAATCTTTTCTGTGTCCTCTTATAGTATTTCAGCTTTTCATCTCTAGCGAGTATTTTTCATTACACATTTTTTTAACTTCATTTATTGATTGATTGTTGGATGGTTAACATCCAGTGGCAATATTTGACTGCTGTTATTGTTGCATGCTTAACATCCAGTGGCAATTTCTTTCCTCCAAAATTTCACTGGAGGCATTCAATTAGATACATTTGACCCTTAACCAGATGGAAATTATTCTTTACAATTTCTTTTATGATCATGTAAGCTAGACATTACAACACAAACCTTTTCATTTGGGTCAGATCTGTCATTCCAGTAATATTCTTTGTATCTCACTGATGTCAGGCATATTGACCGTCTAGCTGCAGCTGCACTCTGAAAAATTTGTACAATTCATTTCATCAAATGGCATATACATGTATGTGCAAGAATTTTCAGAAATCAGTAGCTATTGATCAAGCAACCAGAAGACTATCATATCTTATATCTTCCCTTGTTTTCATAGATGCAAGAAAAAGAAGATATGCACACTCTTAACCAGACAAAATCTTAGAGAAGAGAGGCGAAAGATACCAAAGGGACATTCATACTCATCAGATCCAATGGCATTAAACTATCATAGCTCAATTCGCAATCAAAAGTGAAGCAGAATAAGAGAGAGGCGAAAGATACCAAAGGGACATTCAAACTAAAAAGTCGAAAATAAACTGACAACGCCATGGCAAAAAAATAAAAGGACCAACAGACAAGCAACAGTACATAAAACACAACAGAAAACTAAAGACTGAGCAACACGAACCCCACTAAAAAAAGGGGGTGATCTCAGGTGCTTCGGAAGGGTAAGCAGATCCTGTTGTGTTGCTCATGTTAGTATAATCCTTGTGATAAGACTAATTCGGTAGGTCACATTCAGCGAAAAAGGGACGGAATTGTAGGTATGATAATTGGAACATAGTCGTCATCTGTGGAACGGATATTCCATAACGGTCAACCAACTCTTGATGGCGTCCGTATAATTTAATAATGATTCAAACTTCGCCACTTGGAACTCTTGGTTTAGGAATGAAAAAAAGTGCACTGCAAATTCCAGTTAAGTTTTTAAGTTTTTAATTTTCTAAAATATAAAATGCATTTGAATTTTATTTATCAAGGGCATGCTATGCCTTAAAACTTTTCCAGATACACATATTTGTCTGTACTCAGAGTAAATTTTAAGGTGAAAATACAGCCATGTTACGCTAAGGCCCAACTTAGTAACTGAAGATTGCATATTTTGGCTTTAATATTGATTCACTTATAGGGTCTTTGCATCGGAATTAAACACATTTATTCTAAAACCAGTTGTTGACATGACACGGGTTATGTTCTTCTCATATATTTTATGACGATATAATACTAAACCCCTAACAGGAGGGATTGTGCCTGATATTCATATGATGAAGACATAATCTTTCAATCAGTTTAATTGAGGTCTGGAGCTGGCATGTCAGTAACTGCTAGTAGTCTGTTGTTATTTATGTATTATTGTCATTTTGTTTATTTTTTTTGTTTCCTATTCTGACATCGGACTCGGACTTCTCTTATACTGAGTTTTACTTTTGTACTGTTGTGCGTTTGTTTTTTCTACATTGGCTAGAGGTATAGGGGGAGGGTTGAGATGGAAGCAGGACAAATCGCCCCACTGGCAAATCGCCCCACACCAAATCGCCCCACTTTTTCACTAACTCGCCCCACTTTTAAAAAAATCGCCCCAAACTGGTTTACCAACTCGCCCCACTTTTTAAAAAATCGCCCCACTTGTGAAAAGGGTTAAATCCCGTTAATTTTTCTCCTGCCAACTCGCCCCACTTAATGAAAAAAAGGTAAAATCTAGATGAATATATAATTTTCAGGTCTGCCAACTCGCCCCACTTAAATGAAAACTAATCTACACAGAATACATAAAAACGCAAATTTATTAGATTATTATTATTGAAATTAAATGATGTTTCACCTTCTCAAAATATAGTTGTAAATACATTATTCATTATCATATAAGTTTCGTATTATTGGAGAATAACTTTATTCTTGTAAGCTTAGTTATTTGCATAACAATTGAAAAGAAACCTGTTAATTGTATCATAATCCGATATTTTATCATAACAATTGAAGGATTTCAATTTGTTTTTATAGCACTAAACGGATTGGTTACTTTTGTCTTTGAATTAAGAATAATTAAACACTAACGAGCAATCAGTGAAAGGCAAATGTTACTTTCAAGTAAATATCAAAGAGAATGTCCATTCATGCATTCTAGTCAAAGCAGGTTTTGTTGTTGTTGAAAAATTGATTGGTAAGTTTTGTTTATGGTTTGAAAACAATAAAAATTGAGAAATTTATGGCTTGGTTTCAAAATTATAAAAAGTAAAGTAGCCTTTGTCATGCATTTACTATGTCTACTGTGTATCCTTGTGCTGTATTGAAGGCAGCATATCTACAACCAGACTCTTACGCCAGTGTTGTCGTGTCAACGGTCCAGTCGTCGAAGCAGACAGCTACTGAACTATCTAATGACAATCTATTGTATGCCATATATGTGTATTCATGTTCATGTTTCTAGTGCTGACATTTTATCTTGTACTTCGTTTTCATGTTATCATGCCAGTCCTTGTCATAATTGATTTAATGTATGTTTGTTTAAAATGTTATTGTTATGCATACTCATGTTTATCTAAGGTTTTTATAGGTATTGATTTTATTTATAAGTGGGGCAGGAACATAGATATACAACGGGATTGCATCTTTTTTCATAAGTGGGGCGAGTTGGCATTACTGAATTCATCGTGGTTTATCTATTTGTCATGAGTGGGGCGAGTTGGCATACCTTATTTCAGCGGGATTTTAACCCTTTTCATAAGTTGGGCAAGTTATCCAACCTATTTTCAATGGGATTTTACCCTTTTTCATAAGTGGGGCGAGTTGGTAAACAAGAGTGGGGCGATTTTTTAGAAAGTGGGGCGAGTTGGTGAAAAAGTGGGGCGATTAGGTGTGGGGCGATTTGCCAGTGGGGCGATTTGTCATGGATTCGGTTGAGATCTCAAAAAACATGTTTAACCCCGCCGCATTTTTGCGCCTGTCCCAAGTCAGGAGCCTCTGGCCTTTGTTAGTCTTGTATCATTTTTAATTTTAGTTTCCTGTGTATAATTTGGAGTTTAGTATGACGTCCATTATCACTGAACTAGTATACATATTTGTTTAGGGGCCAGCTGAAGGACGCCTCCGGGTATGGGATTTTCTCGCTGCATTGAAGACCCATTGGTGGCCTTCGGCTGTTGTCTGCTCTATGGTCGGGTTGTTGTCTCTTTGACACATTCCCCATTTCCATTCTCAATTTTACTGAGGGTCCACGATTTGTCCACATAAACCTTAACTATGGTTTGACAGCACCTTTTTGGAACTTTTTTTGTCATGGTTTCCTCAGAAAATTGAGAGAAAAAAATCAAGCCTCTAAATCAACGGTTAAGTTTCTGAAAAGGACGTGCATATTTAAATTTAAAAGTTTTGCAAAACAAAAGTAAATAGAGTAACTTCGTATATTCAGAATTTGTCCTCAATACTGGACACTAAATTGCAAACAAATAAACATTCTTGTCGATGATATACTTGCGACACATTTCGATTTAAGTATTAATTTTTTTAATTAGAACAAACAAAGTTACCTGACAGTGTACAGATGCTGAAAAAATGCGCTTTGAACTTGAGCACAGCCTCCTAACCGGTGATGCCATTTTCAATTCACCTTGACCCCAAAGAGACCCCGTCTGTACTTTCAATTTGTAATTAAAAATTTAAAAATTTGAATGATTACAAATATTACAAATTTTGTTTAATTTATTTGACGATAATTTGCTAAAATATAATTTTTATAATATTTTAAAATATGTTAAGCTACCTCTCGTGTGAACGAGATGATCTCATTACCATAATGTCAACTTGATTCCGTTGAAACTTACAAAACTAATTTTAGCCTTTCAAGTGACCAAAAAGTTGCAAATGTGCATTAAGGAAAGCAAAGAAAGCCCATATCTGATAAAATCTTATAACTTTAAGGTATGACACAAGTGACATCAGCGATAAATTTAAATATGAAAGTTGACAAACCGGAAAAGTCGGCCATTGTGCATGTCTGTTTTGAAATGAATGGACGCAGAAACTTCGTTGTATTAATGCATTAGTCATTACACTGATGCGATTTTTATTGAAAAGAAAGGGTAAAACTACGAAGATATGAATCACGTCAACATTTTACAGTTTTTAATTCAATGCAGTACTCGCGAATTTCACTTCTAGGTCATATCTGATAGATATTATTAGATTTTGAAAACTGCAGGATATGAAAGAGTGAAAGCAGTCTATATTTCTAACAAATTGTCAGTTTGGTTATTTATTTAAAGGGTGTGGATAAACAGAGCATGTTATTTTATATAATCACATATGTTGACAATAATAATATTGCACAGAGTTCTTCCACAGTATAACTTTTCATATTTATTGGCCATTGTGTAGTGTATCCTTTTACAACAGGTTGGTCTTTTCACAGCTGAACATTTGTGAACACCATAAGACCACTTACCCCTCAGGAAAACAGTATTATTACCATGATAACACATTAAAATGATCAAATAGATTTAATTACGTAATTGATGTCAAATGCCCAACTATGACTTAATTAATTCGAAAAATGACATCAAGCCATTATGATGTTTAGTTGAAAATGCATTAAACTAAAAATATTACACAAGAATTGTTGATAAATTATATGAAAGTGATGCAGAAATGAGAAGGTGCTTCCATAAATTGAAAAAAAATATGCCCAGCAACAAGAGGGTTAAAGTTGAGAATCAATATAAAAAAAACTTTTCTGGGTTCATCTTTCAAGTTTTTTTTTCTCCATATTTCAATTGTATGTGTTTCTTTATATATTATCTAACTGTCTTTACTTTTCAATTTTTAGAAATAAATTGTTCAAATAAGTTAAATTAAGATTATCACAAAAATGTTGTTAGACTGAAAGTGTCCTTGTAAGACTGTTCTTTATGGTTCTCTGGTTTTCATTTCTTAGTACAAAGCTGTCTAGGTGGGTTGATGTATGGTACTTCATGTATAGACTTATCTGTCAATTATACTGAACTTGTACTTTTAAATGTGAATAATACACTTTTAATACATAGTATTATTACCCTATCATATCTGTCTGATGCTATCTGTTGTTTTGATTTATCTGAAGTCAGTTCATGTACATGTAATTTCATGGAAAATTTGATTAAAAATGATTGATTTTCATAGAATTCAAATGCCAAGTCACTCAGGGAAAGCCTCTTTTAAGCACAATCCTTGTAATAAAAATAGATGCATAAATTGTCAATATTTGAAGTGTGATAGCCCTATACTTGTACATTGTATTTCAGTTCATTTGAATGATTTGTGGATATACCTATACATTATCTTATACATGTAGTTTCTTACTAAAACTTTGTAATTTCTATGAGAGATTTCTAATTTCAAGCTGAAATAAACTATCAGTCCTAAAATTGGTATGTGATTATACTTTACCTTTTATGCTTTTAAAAAGAGTTGGGAGATACCAAATGGGCAATTAAAATTCATTAGTCTAAGAGAAATTGACAAACCCTGGCAACAAATGACAAAATGACAAAACACTACATTGAAAACTAAAGACTGAGCTACACAAACTCCTCAAAAAACCAGGAATGATCTCGGGAGCTGTGGAAGGGAAATCAGATTCTGCACCTCATGTGGCACCTGTCATGTTGCTCATGGTAACAGGGTCTGGTCAAGGTGCCCTGGTTACACTAGCTGAGTCCTATCATCATTGATAGTTTCCTTGAGCTGTTTAAAAGCATCCCAAATTTTAATGATTAGTGTTGTTAAAGTTTTCTTTAAATTCTGAGTCAACAAACTGTTGCCAGCTAACAAAGAATTTTGTTGAAATCTAAAGAAGATACACCTTTCACTGCTTTTTCACTAAAACTGTCATAACTGTGACTTTGAAAACCCAATTAAGCCTAATACATAAAAAGGATAACAGTAAGTATAAGAAATATTGAAGCATAAGTACATATTTGTTGGACAGAAAAAAAAATATCACATAATCTCTAGATAAGGGTGAAATTATGTGGCAAACTTAATATGTAAGTTGTTTTGTCCTATCCTCTACTTTAGGACAAAATACAACACTATTTATATATCGAAAGCTGGTCTTATAGTGATCTGTTGTAACAAAAGATTATTTTTTTTTAGAAAATTCACTAACTGGTTAGACCATGACAATTGTGATGAGAGGAGGCCAGGCTGGAGGAGACTCTCCTCAAGAAAATGTTCAGAATCCTCCAGAGTCAACACAGCAGCCTCAACAGCAACAGCCACTACCACCACAACAGACTCCTGCTACTTCAACGACACAACCCCCAGCAGAATCAGAAAATGGACAAGGTGATGGGTCAGTTGAAATGACAGATGACCAAGAACCTGAATTTCCAGTGCAGGAGTTGGCCAGGCTGGATGAAATGATCAATCGTCCAAGATGGGTAGTACCAGTATTGCCAAAAGGAGAACTTGAAATTTTGCTTGAAGCAGCTACTAAACTCTGTAAAGATGGTAAGACATCACTTAAAGATGATTTATGAATTCATCATATGCGATATTGTACTGTAGGGTACAGTAAGTATTTGATGAAACCTTTCTACTGAACTCCATAGATTCCTTCACAGAACAGTACCATTTCTAATACAACAATATCACAGTGTACAATTGACCTTAACTAGCATTGAAATATTTATATGTTATATTGTACTGTATCGTACAGTAAGTATTTGATGAAACCTTTCTACTGAACTCCATAGATTCCCTCACAGAACAGTACCATTTCTAATACAACAATATCACAGTGTACAATTGACCGTAACTAACATTGAAATAGACAGAACCTGTAGATCATAAGATGTATAAACAGACCTGCTAAGTCTAAAGTAATGATAATGCACTCTGTTTAAGATATTCTACACATATTAAAAATAACCAGGAATGTTGATACACATTAAATAGAGACAAAACAAATTGATATAAGATCATGTATTAAAGAATTTTGTAAAAAGTTCTACATGTATATTTGCCTAAAACTTTAATATAATATAAGTGGGTGCATAGACATAATTATATGATTTTACACGATGTAAATAATTTTGAATTTGACCAACACATTTATTTGTAGGATTGGACACCAGAAGCGAAGCTTGCCAAAGATTTTTCAGAGAAGGTCTTACAGTATCATTTACCAAGATAATGACAGATGAAGCTGTCAGTGGATGGAAATATGAAATCCATGTAAGTTTAGTTGTTTATGTTTATATGGAAAAAACTGTCTGAAAATCACACATTTGACAGAGGACGTTTTAGTTCCTTAAAACCATGTTTGAATGAGTAGTTTACGAAGCAGATACACTTGCTATGGTTTCAAATAGCCAAATAGGAACTTTAAGATGGTCATTATTCAAATGATGCACAGTACAACTATTGTCCAACTATGAAAATAAATACAAGTTAATGTCATTTTAACAAGCATCAGACATCAGAATCTAACCCAAAAAAAAGTTGACGCAATTGTAGTAACTACTTGTTAACTGTAATTTTTGTAGATCAACAGATATTTGTTACAGAATAAAAAAAAATATTCATTGACATTAATGTTTCTACATGATTGTTATTATTTATGTGCAGATCTTTGGAAAATAAATCATTATTTTTGTAGAGATACATTTTAAAGAATGCAGAAAAGTTAATAGAACTGTGTGTAGCCAAGCTGGCTGAGGACTGGTACCCTTTACTAGAACTATTAGCTATGGTACTTAATCCGCACTGCAAGTAAGTCAAATCATCTACAATAGGTTAATCAAATATTGATTAATATGAAATATGTAGCTTTTTACCTAACTTTTCATATTTTTTTATGAAGTGAACTTAAATAGTATTTTCATTTTATCAAACACTCTAGTCTTTGTGCTGGACAAATAAAAGCTTCGAAAGTTGATTCAAGAATTTGTGCAAATCTTTTCATGAGGTTACTTAACATAATTAAATGGTTATATTCAGATTCCACACATATAATGGAACGAGACAGTCAGAATCTGTACAAGCTGGAGTTACTCTTCCTGATGATGCTTTGTTTGCAAGGCCTCCTGATCCAAGGACACCAAGGGTAAAGAGTTTTCTACAAATTATTGCATATTTATGAATGTTATTGGTTATTGTGGAGAAGCAGATTTTCCATTGAGATCTAAATGGTGATCATTGATTGTACAAATTTGCTTGAATTTGATATGCCATGGTTGTTTTAGATTTTGTATAAATCATAGTATATTTTATTGATGGGATATACTAATTTGTTGTAATTTCAGAAATAATTTCTAATATTTAATCTTTTTTGATATGAGTGAATTATGTATTATACACTTTTAATTTAGGTTTTCTGTGTTTGTATGGAATAAATAAGAAAAAGTATTCAGAGTTTTTTATACGACCGCAAAAATTTTTTGGGATCGTATAATGGTATGATGTCGTCATCTGCGTCGTCGTCTGAAGACACATTGGTTTCCGGACAATAACTTAAGTTTTAGTGAATGGATCTCTATGAAATTTTTTAAGAAGGTTCAATACCACAAAAGGAAGGTTGGGATTGATTTTGGGGATGATGGTCCCAACTGTTTAGGAATTAGAGGCCCAAAAGGGCCCAAAACAAGCATTTTTCTAGTTTCAGGATAATAACTTGTGTATAAGTATTTCGATTGCTCTGAAATTGTACGACAATGTTTAATACCACAAGTAGAAGGTTGGGATTTGTTTTTAATAGGGGTTTTGGGGCCAACAGTTTAGGAATTAAGGGCCAAAAACAAGCATTTTTCTAGTTTCCAGACAATAACTTGTGTTTAAGTGTATGAATCTCTCTGAAATTGTACTACAAGGTTCCATATCACAAAGGGAAAGCTGGAATTGAGTTTGGGGGTAATTGCCCAAAACGTTTAGGAATAAGGGGCCAAAAATAAGCATTTTTCTAGTTTCCAGACAATAACTTGTGTTTAAGTGTATGAATCTCTCTGAAATTGTACTACAAGGTTCCATACTACAAAGGAAAGGCTGGGATCGAACTTTGGGGTTATTGTTCCAAGGGGGGTTTCAAAAAGTTGGGGGGGGGGGGGGATTTTTTTAGAGGATTCATATTTTTTTTTTCAAATTTAGAATTTTTGAAATGTTTCAAGAAGAAATCTTCAATTGCACAGTATTGCGCAATAGATTTGTAAGATCTTTGACCATATTTATTTTGTGTCAGAAATCTATATAATGTCAAAAATTTGATCACAATCCAAATTCAGACAGTATCAAGCTTGAATATTGTGTCCAAATTTGTACCAACTGTTCAGGGTTCGACCTCTGCGGTCGTATCAGGCTGCACTCAGCGAAGAATTTTATTCTACACATGAATTTATGCATATAAGCTATTTATTTCTGAATGAATTAAATTTTTTTTTACATGAGTAAATATTATATATTGATATTTTATTTTGACATTGTAATAAAAAAAAATCTCTGTTTGTATGGCATACATGAGGAAAAAAGTTTGAATGCACAATTCATTTTAATTTATGTTTATCATCAATGTAGCTACAAGTAGCTTCAATTATGCAAATTAGATCATGTCAATGTTATGTTTAAATGGGGAAGTTTTTCTCTCCAGAAAATGAAACTAAAGGATTTTCATAATTGAGGAAGTAGTTTTAAGAAGACCAGATTATTATAATTATTTTTTTTGTATTGTATCATTTTAATGACAGTTATTTATCTACAAGATTGTTATAATTATTTTTTTTGTATTGTTTCATTTCAAGGACGGTTATTTATCTACTTTTTTGTTGGCCCTAAAAAAGACAAAATCTTAAAAAATGGTCTGAACATTATTAAAAATTATTATAATGTCCTGTATTGAGCATTCTCATTAACCACACCTTTACTGTAAAATGTGTTTTTTTTTTTTTTTCAGGGTTGGTTAGTTGATCTGGTAAACCGATTTGGAGAACTGAAAGGTTTTCAGATACTGTTGAAAAGATTTCAAGATGGTCCACAAATGTCTGTCCCACTTGTAGCTGCTCTTATAAAGTAGGTTCTGTTATTGTCCCCCGTGCAATTTGTTGTGTCTTTCCGGTCTTGTTAGCACTCTCACGTTTACAACTCTTGCCAGATTTGTATGAAACTTATATCATAGGTTTATATCAGCAATGTCTTGGAAGAGTTTGAAAATCAGTGCTGATCAATTATTTTTAAAAGAGTTATGCCCCTTGGAAACACTAACTATATGGAAAAACCTTGGATAGATAAAATATGTGCAATGCGGGGGACATTGGAACTCTGTTCTTTTATCTTTTTTTTAAATAATTTATGTTCAAAACATACCAAACTGCTTACCTTTAAATTTGATTTATACTAAGCATCTTGTGTTTCAAAGCACATTCCTTAATAATCTTTTTGTTGATTTTGCCAAAGAAAACTGTTTCCAGCCATGAATTAACAGGGGTTCAAATTAGTGGTGGTCCGAGGTCCGCGACCTTCCATTTTTGAAGTCGGACTCTCGTTTTGGTTACAAGCTACGCCTGACGGACCTTCGGTTTGACAGAAAATAAAAATAAACTTTGCTGACCTTTTCAAACAAAAATTTCCAAACAATCTCAAAATTTATGTTCATCATTATTATTCATGACAGCGATGTTCATTTTGTTCAACCGCTAGCTTTATACCGAAAATTGTCAACTAGTAATGTGTAAATCCGAGTAAAATCGTATCTGACTGACAAAACAACATTGAAAAACATTGGATGCCATAAACCGGAAATGAAGAAAATAACAAAAAACGGATCCGATTCCGGAGTGGATAAGGGTAATTCCGGGTTTGCCGATCAAATACAATGAAAAAATAATAATTCCAGGCAGTTGACAAAATACATCTATGATGATAAAATATAACCACTAGAATTGAAAACCAAAAGATATATTGAAAAGAAAGAAAAAGTAGGAAATATTTTTTTACAGAAACTCAAAATTACTTTTAGTTCATAAATTTTCATCTCAAAATCCAAAAAAATGTGACAGTAATTTTCTTTATCATTAATAAATATTGATATTATATGTAGATTTTTGTATAGTGTAAACGTATTACTACAATTCCAAGAGGTAATGTCTTCTCAATTTTAAAGGACCAGTACAAATCTGGAAGTTTCTTATCTTATTTTCACAGAGGAACTAATGCATTATAATAGTGCAACTAGATATGATACACTTGAACCAGAGACATATATACATATAGATTCTACCACTGCATCGAGTGTGATACGATATTTATCCACTCGAGACAGGTAAATTTTCAAATTTAAAACGCGAGGCTCGCCGAGCGTTTTAAATATTTAAAATTTAACTGTCGAGAGTGGATAAATATCGTATTACACGAGATTTGGTGGTGGAATCTGTTTCTCTAATGATTTTCAAACAATACGCAGGCAAATTTATTCCTTCTTTTCGAATGATCTGCAAAAAGATGTGTTCTTTCTATGTGACGTCATCAGGCATGGTCGCCTTTTTTCATGCCGTCACAATAGGAGATTCAGAGGAAAGCAAGAAAATTCGACGTCATAATCGGATTTTAACCAATGAAGAACTGAGATCAAACAAACCACACGTTGATTAAATTTTTTTTATACAATGGGTGCAGAAAGGGATAAATTGACGAAGAATTAGAGAAACATGTATATACGTCTCTGCTTAAACAGCTTTGAATTTGAACTGTTTTATAAAATGGTATAAGTAGTAATAAATTAACAATAGTTGAGTGACAACACACCCACCCATTATTACACCCTCCTCAATAACAAAAAAAAAAGATTATCTGAATTTATAATTAATATCAAAGACAATTACAATTGTTATTAAATATTTTATACAACAATGACTTTGACAATGAAACAAGTTGACCAAACACCAACAGCACATTAATTTTGTTACTTGTATCGTACTATGTTAGGAAATATTTCAAGTAAAAGTAGGACCTGGAATTTAGGTTGTGGACCTCTCAGTTTAGAGTGTCAAAGGTCCTGGACCTTCCAGTACCAAATGTTAATTTGAACCCCTGATTAAGGATTTATAATTTGTATACGCCCGTTTACGGGACGTATTATGGTATACCGTTGTCCGTCCGTCTGTCGTCAACATGTCCGACATTAATTCAAAAACGCTTTAACCAATATGCATGAAACTTTAGTAAATTGTTAATATCTATTGATGTGAGCTCCCTTTCCTTTTTTTATAAATTTCGGATTTATCATTTCGGAGTTTTGGGGTTTTATTCATTAAAAAAGGGGGGATTTTCCAGTTTTCGGACAATAACTTGAAAACACATTCACCAATTTGCATGAAACTTTTGTGAATTGTTTATATCTATTGACATGAGCTCCCTTTCGTTTTTTATAAATTTCAGATTTACCGTTTCCGAGTTTTGGGGTTTTATTCATTAAAAAAGAGTTTTTTTTCCAGTTTTCAGACAATAACTCAAAAACAATTTCACCAATTTGCAAGAAACTTTGGTGAATTGTTTATTTCTATCGACATGAGCTCCCTTTTGATTTTTATAAATTTCAGACTATACATTTCCGATTTATGGGTTTTTTTTTCATTACAAAAAGGGGGATTTTGCAGTTTTCGGACAATAACTCAAAAATGCTGAAAGCATTTTTTATGAAACTTTGGTAAATTGTTTATATCTATTGATGTAAGCTCCCTTTTGATTTTTATAAATTTTCGATTTTACGTTTCCGAGTTATAAGATTTTATTTGTTTATAGTCTGACAACAGATTTACTAAGTATTGCGCAACAGCACAGTGTATTGCACAACAACACAGTGTATTGTACAACAGCACAGTGTATTGCACAACAACACAGTGTATTGTACAACAGCAAGAAATCTTTAACTGAATATAAATTTAATTCATATAACCAATTTCAAGTTCTTTGACTACATTTATTCAGAAAACTATAATATGTCAAATATTTAATTACAATCCAAATTCAGACCTTTATCAAGCTTGAATATTGTGTCCATTTTTGCCCCAACTGTTCAGGGTTGGACATCTGCGGGCGTATCCAGCTGCGCTTAGCGAAGCAGTTTATTTTACTTTAATACATAGTATGAATTTTGTTTGAAAGAACTAGTTCATTTAATATAACTTTTATAAATGAATGCACTTTATATATTTTGAATGTAGAGGATATCATAAAGTTACAACCCAGTGGTCTCCTTAAAATTAGTATAAAAAGCCTTCAAGCTAGAATTTTATGCAAATCTCTGTCCATTATTCCATCCTGTATTAGGTTAAAGATATTGTTAAAAATAGTTTACATAGGAATTGTGGTCTTATTAACCTAAAAGTTAGTACACATCTTCATTATGATTTGAACTTTAAAAAATATATGCTAAAATAGTGGTTTTCCCTTTCATGGTAATGTAATAGTGTGAACAGGGCAAGGTGTCTTATGGACACACATTCTTTTTTTTATCAAAAACAATTTAACAAAAAACATACCTGCCAACCTCTGAAACCTTCAAAGAGGGCAATCTCACCCTTAGCTATAGCCTTGTTCAATACCTCCAAGTCTCATAACTCATAACATTCCATATGTTGATTTTGTTGTGAGTCTCACACTAAGCATGCTTTCAAACATCGTACAGACCACCAGAAGAAATCAAAAAGTTGATTGAACATGATGTGCAAAAAGATTCATTGCCAAGTGAACTTGGACGTAAAAATTGAAAATCTTTCATTCAAATCTGCAAGACATTTCGATTTGCAGTTATCTATTTCTTCTTTTTTACACTGCAGCTTGGTCCAGAAAAAGACTTCTAACTTGTTGGAGTTGACATAGCATAACTGAATTTAGATTACTTATATATCGAACATAAAATCAACTGACCAAAGTTTTCAAATGATCGCAGATTGTTTATTTATTTCTATTGAAAGTAATGAAAAAGACAGAGAATTATGAACGTGGGTTATTCCAGGTCAAAATATCCGAAAGCGGGAGATTTCCGGAATTTCGTCGTTTGCGTGGGAGACTCCCGCTCAAAACTGGACGGTTGGCAGGTATGAAAAAATGGGGACTTTTGATCTTTTGATAACATTATACTCAGAGTTTGCTGGACTTATAGTATTTTGGAGACTGTAAAAAGCATTCCTGTAGTTAAAAAGATTTTTATTCAAAAACAAAAGTGCATTGGACAGATTGTAAGGGCAGATGTTGGGAGGTTTCTCCCTTCTATTTTAGGCTAGCTAGGACACTAATACTTTTAATGGGCTGCAAGGCTAATTATATTCTCCAAACTGAATTATACCTAAAATTCTTTGATTTGAAAATATATTAGTTATTACTGTATGTCATTATATACAATTTGTAACCCATCTTGTAAAACCATTGATTGCAATTTTGAAAATTTTGTATTAACAGTACCTTATATTTTTCAGACCCTTTGGACAGTGTAATGAGGTACTGACGCCACATACAGTAGAGAAATATATGATGCCAATTGTTGTAAGTTAAACATAATAATACACTGAAGTACAAGTAAAGGCAGATTTGGTTACTGATGACCAGCCTTTATTACAAGTCATTTTTATAAGTGACTAAAATCAGTTCTTTGTAGATGGTAGGGGAAGATATACTGCGGATTTGATAATAGATGTAGGAATGAACGGCTGCACGTGGAAATATATAAAATAAAAGTGTTTGTCAAATGTATACATGTATTCTAGTTTAGGGCTGTTCAAGAATTAAATGTATGGGAGGGTCGGACGGCAGTGCTATTAATTATGCATGCCTGGTGGGTGCATAATCATTTTGAAAATTATCTATGGTGTTTCATAAATGAATTAAATTTTGTGCATTGTGGGGTTTTCCGTCATTGGAAATTCATGAAAATTTTTCAAATAATGTTTTATGATGGGGTTGCAAAAAATGAAATAAAATTAGAAGCTGTTGTTGTGAAATTTGTGTGTCAGATTCAATTATTTCGGAGATTTTTTGTCTATGGAAGTGTAATTATCCTCCAGTTATCTCCCTTTGCCTACTTCTGTCAGCATGGATGTTGCCCTTCCCCTTGCCAAGTGGATTTGAAAGATTTCTCATGGGATACCCAGAACCAAAAAATAAAATTGTTTTTCCTGTAGTATAATAACTGGATCCAAATAATATAACTTAATGTATACTTTAACTGATAAATCAATTGTACTTTTCCATCCTGCTCCCTCCCGCCTAGATTTTAGAGGAGAAAAGAAATTAAATTATAATACTGCCATTCAAATTTCTATGTTTCTATGCTTCATTTCAATGCTGAATTTTATAAGTACATGTAATATGCTCTGAACAGGAACTCTTTACAAACGCAGAGAAAAAGTATTATGATACAGAAGCTTAACATTGCAGACATTTAAACAAAAAAACAAGAGACTACAGTTTGGACAAGCAAGACTCCCTTGTAAAACTAATAGTGATATACTTTGCTCCTGTGGGTTAGCATTAATTATCCTACCCTGCATGCAGGAAATTTCATTAGATGTCTAAAATAAGTTGTCTTTCCACTTGATTTGAACTTTGGTGGATAGTTGTTGCATTGGCAATCATATCACACCTCCTTATTTTTATATTGTATCATTGTAGACAATCCATCAGATTAAATGAAACTCACATTAATTTCAACATATAAGAATTGAACATTTTTAATTCAATTTTATGCATGGTGGGTATATTTACCACTTTTATATTGTGCATGGTGGGGGGTAGTAGGTAATTGAAATTAATGCATGATGGGTGCCAAAAAAAATGCCTTCCAAACCCCTCATACATTTAATTCTGGAACGGTCTTTAGTAAATCCTACTCCTTAAACTTTATGACAAGTGGGAAGAAGGAGGCACTACAAATGAATACTAATATGAAAATTTGGGTTCAAATGACTATTAAGAATGCCAGTATTTTTTTTTTTTTTTTCAGATTTTGTTGTGTGGGGGTATAAAACAATACTTTAAATCCTAATTCTTCTTGTCAAACTTCTATTGTTTACCATAATAGCCATCAATAAAAAGAAAAGGGGAAAATGAAAACTCAGTTGTATTAAATCACCATTATGCTTTAGTACTTTGTTATTCACCACTTAAGTTATAAATTATTTTACAGGAAATAGTGCCCAAGTTTTTAGATTCTTTGACTGATGAAGAACTAAAGAAAGAAACCAAAACAGAGGCCAAGAATGATGCTTTGTCCTCAATCATTAAAGCTCTGAAGCAACTTGTCTCCAGACTTCCAGACCAAGAAGAGACCATTAAAAATTTGGAAATATTTAGACTAAAGATGATTCTTAGGTAAAGATTCTTATTAGTAAAATGAGCTCATTTCGGAGCCTTTAATAGCTGACTATGTGGTATGGGCTTTGCTCACTGTTGAAGGCCGTACTTGACCTATAGTTGTTAATTTCTGTGTCATTTGGTCTCTTGTGGAGAGTTGTCTCATTGGCAATCATACCACATCTTCTTATTTTTATATGATATGCAACAGCAGTGTTTTATATAGGATTAAGTATCGGGAATGTGGCAGAGAATATATACTTATCTATGGTTGTAAACTTATGTTTGTTAAGAAATTAAGTTTTCTCATCTTTAACTACTAAAAAAAAAGGATCAATACTGATTAAAAAGTATTTTCCTGTTATAGGTATTTCAGATAAAAGAAGCCATTAATGATATTTTTACAAGCTCTTGGTATCAAACACTGTCTAAACAGTTGCTCAGTTTGTTTTTATTCCCCCGCCGAAGCGGAGGGGGCAGTAAGTTTTATCATTGTTGGTCTGTCAATACGTACATCCATACGTCCCGAAATTGGTTTCCGTTCTCTAACTTAAGTTTTCCTCAACCAATTGTTTTCAAACTTATACACAATGCTTATTACCACAATACACAGATCAAGTTTGAATTTTGGTGGCGTCACTTTTACTGTTCTAGAGTTATGCCCCTTTACAAATTTTTTTCTAAAAATATCAATGATGTCTTGTTCAAGTAATTTTTAAAATTGGAGTTATCTTCCTTTGTCCATGATTATAGTTGGATCAACTACAATCAATGCTTTATACAATGCAATGTTTAATTTTGCCTTCCACTGATAAAACACAGATCAAGTTGAATTTGGGTAGTGTCACTTTAACCATTATTGAGTTATGCCCCTTTATAAATCGAAAAATTGCAAAGTTTTTAGTTTCCGTTCTGTAACTTAAGTTTGCCCCAACCAAATATGAAACCTATACACAATACTTATTACCACAAAACTAAGATCAAGTACAAATTTGGTTAGCGTCACTTTTATTGTTCTTGAGTTATGTCCCTTTATAATGTTGTATGTAAGCAGTGCATCATCTGTGTCCATGGGGACACATTCTCCATTTACTTTTACTATTTTCAGATTGCTGCAGATTTCCTCATTCAATGGAAAGATGAATGCTTTGAATGAAGTTAACAAAGTAATATCAATGATATCCAATGTATCAAGTCGACACTCATCTATGGATGAAGATGAATGGCTGACAGCAGAAAAAATGGCAGTATGTAGGGGAATTCGACTGCTTGTCTTTTTGCTTCTGTGAAGAAAAATTTAAATAAATGCCTAAAATGTTGAACTTCATGATTGAAGAAAATAATTTAAGTATACATGTTGTTTTTAAAAGGTTTATAATGTCTAGCTTATTTTTATTGTCAGAGATAACATTAGCTTATTTTAATGAATATTGAATTCTAAGAAACATGGAAATTTTCTAGGAATGTTTTATTAAAATGATCTATTTTATTCTCACTTGATGTGCACTGCATTCAAACTGAAAGACATAGGAAACCATGAAATCAGAATAACTCAGAACTCTTGAAAATAGAAAGAAAAGGTGTGAAGAAAAACATTATTCTTTTACAGGACTGGATTCAAAATAATCAGGTTTTGACAATTGTACTAAGAGACAGCTTACATCAGCCACAATATGTTGAAAAGCTGGAGAAAATACTCAGATTTATGATTAAGGAAAAAGCTTTAACATCTGAAGACTTGGACAAGCTTTGGGAAGCTCAGGTATGTTGTCATATAATTTTGTTCTATAATGAAATCTTGTACTGATAATTTTTTTTAGATTTGTACTGTATAGTCCTTTGTGCTAAAATTTTTTTTTTTAATATTTTATGTCGGATAAAAGTATTTATGACTTTGAATTACAAGAAATCGAAGATTTATACCGAGAAAATCAGCATATTTTCAATAATTGTATTGACTTGGACAGGATCTTTAAAAAAAAAATTCATTCTTATTTCTGATATGGTTTATAAGCAAATGTCATTGTTGAAACACCTGGCAAAATACATCATTTAAACAATACCATAATTAACAAAGAAAATAAGACTGGAGATAGCCTGACTTGCTCTACTATATTGCAACACTGCTAAGATAACCCCAGGTTATTTACATATAGAGTGTAATAGCATGTTCTCATGAAGTATGATAATTGATAACTTTATTATTATAGCTTTAGTAGGTCTTAAATGTTCTCATTTGTGTAATTTATTATTCTTTTTAAGTCAGGAAAACATGATGCAATAGTGAAGAATGTTCATGACCTGTTGGCCAAACTTGCCTGGGACTTCTCGCCAGAACAATTAGACCATTTGTTTGAATGTTTTCAAGTAAGTATTCCAATTTTTTAAATCCATTAAATTTCAGGGTTGAGTGTAAATAGTTCTTATCTTTTTCCTATTATTTGACTATTTTAGGTAATTGACCTTTAGGAAAAACCATCATTATATCTTTTTTTGTCACTGCAGTAACATTGTAAGTAGAGTTATACTTAATCTTTCTAGGGAAGCTGGACACAGGCCTCAAAGAAACAGAGGGAAAAGTTATTAGAATTAATCAGACGACTAGCAGAGGATGATAAGGAGGGTGTGATGGCACATAAAGTATTAGGATTGTTATGGAACCTTGCCCATAGTGAAGATGTACCTACAGATATCATGGATCAGGCTCTCACAGCACATATCAAAATATTGGATTACAGCTGTTCACAGGTAAAGACAATATCTGTATTCAAAAACAAATTTGAAATAAAAACACTGGAACTATTTGCTTTCATATCTTGCAAAGTGAACAATAAGTCCATTTGTCTTGAAAAAGGTAAATTCTTGTTACAGAGAACTAAGAATAGTTAAAACTACAGTAATTTAGATAGATACATATATAGAGAATAGATTACAGCTGAAACACACTATGAATATCATACATAACAACCAATAATGAAGAACTAGAGTAAAACAATGTGATGTCTTATAAAAACATTTGGTCTGACCATTAAAAGCAAATGCTATGAACAATAATGTGGAAGTAAAAATGTAATGGAATATTGGTAGGTTTTAATTTCCTCATTGTACATTGGCCATGACATTATACACTGAATTTGGATTTTTAATTTCTTACAAATTTTATAATCTGTTGTAGGATAGAGACCAACAGAAGATGACATGGATAGGAAAGTTTGTAGATGAGTTGAAAAACGATAAATGGGTACTGCCTGCTTTAAAACAGATTAGAGAAATATGCCAACTGTTTCCTGAGGTAAATTATTGATGTATTCAAAATATTCAGCAAATAAGTATGATATGTTATACAAATATAGATATACATAGAATATGATACACAATAGTCCCTATACAGTTATCAAAGATAAATGTGGAAACACATTCATAGAGTGCATTAAATAGAATTACATGTGTGGTAAAGTGTGATTACACGATCTCTCTACTTTTGCTAAGTTGTGCTCTTTCTTTTTTATTTGCATTCACCAAGCCTATATAAATTGTGTGTTTTTGAAGCTATTTGAAGTAACAAAATACATGACTTTTTTTTATTTCAGGCTCCACAGAACTTCCCTCATGCACCACCAAGAACACCTCATGTTTACTACAGGAATAATGTTATCAACCAGTTACAGTCTACACATTCTATTGTTATGTTGGTGGCCAAGAATCTGTCAGAATATATGGAGAAGTCAAGAGTATTTGCTAAAGGTGAATAAGCTTTAATTTATATTTGTTTAATTGATATTTCGTATCAAAGTTGCTTATTCTGCATAGTGCACATTATCTTGAAAGTTTTATTGTTTTGATAAAGTCATAAACTTATGAATAAATGTATATGATTGATGAAGTCGGTATACAGTTAGCATTACTTGAATTTTTATTTTTGTTATTTCTTACCTGGTGTATTACTTTCAGCAGTTTATAATTGTAAAATTTATTTTACAGAGCATCCAGATTTGGATCCAGCCACTATTTTACCTGATGGCAGATTTAATCATGTGGTTCAGATACAAGAAAGATTAAAGTTTATGAGGTTTGTTCTATGTATATTTGTGGTTAGTTGTTTTAAATGTTGTCCTTGATCTTAAAGAAAGAAATACTTTGTTGGAATGTATTGCTTTAATAAGTAGAGACCAAATCATTTATTTAAATATAGAAACCATGTTACCTGAAAAAAGTATAAAAAAATCACCTATAAACTGACAAATTTTTTTTCTTGACTTATTTAACCTGAATATGCATGAAATGTCTGTTATTGGACAATTAAGCCAACAACAATCACTCCAGCATCTAATTTTGAAGGTATGAGAGGAATAAGTTACTGTTTACTGATTGTTTTTATCGTGTTTGTTTTAGGTTTCTTCTAAAAGATGGACAGTTATGGTTGTGTGAATCTCAAGCCAGACAGGTGTGTTGAGTAAAATTTTAATTTTCTTCTATAAAATGCTGTTTATTATTTCATATAGGCAAAAGGAAGACAGGATCATATGAGGTTTTCTCAAAGTAATGAATATCTAATCATATTTTTTAATAATTCTGTAACATAGTTGAACCATATTAAATGAAACAAGTTTTTCATTTTGATGAACACAGCAGCCATCCTCTACTTGTTTCTTGTTTATTTTTACAGATTTGGCAATGTTTAGCTGAGAATGCTATATATGGAACTGACAGGGAGTCTTGTTTTAAATGGTTTGCTAAGGTAATTTAAGTAGATTAGGTATTTCATTTTGGTTTTATAGTGTTATTTGAGTTGTTGTCTCGGTGTCCATGTTCATACTTCACCTTATGATCATGTTCTTCAGTAAATTAGTATTATAATATACAGCAAGCTTTAAATCATACAAAGACTGAATATATTACCTATGCATATATACACGCACAGAAATACATTTGTGAACACAGCTATGTTAGACTTGAACAGGAATAATGATCTCATTGTCTACGCAAGACACTCTTTATATTACTTTGCTTTTGCATATATGAATTGATTGTAAGAGATGATTTTGGTGTGTCTGGTTTAATGGGTTGAGTGCCACTCTTTCTGCATGTTAAAAAGTTGACGACAATTATTACAGTTACATAAACCACAAGTGACCTGTTGCAAGTCGAATATCAGCCCACACTCAACATAAACTTATTCCAGTCTTAATTTCCTGCTTTTTATACGACGGCAAAAAATTTGCGGTCGTATATTGGTATGACGTTGGCGGTGTCGTCGTCGTCCGAAGACACATTGGTTTTCGCATTCTAACTTTAGTTTAAGGGAATGGATCTCTATGAAATTTTACCATAAGGTTCAATACCACAAAAGGAAGGTTGGGATTGATTTTGGGGGTTATGGTACCAACAGTTAAGGAATTAGGGGCCAAAAATAAGCATTTTTGTAACTTCCAGACATAACTTGTGTGTTAGTGTATGGATCTCTCTGACATTGTACAACAAGGTTCCATATCACAAAGGGAATGCTGGGATTGATTTTGGGGGTAATTGCCTCAAAATTTTTGGAATTAGGGTCCAAAAAAGGGTAAAAAAACAAACATTTTTCTAGTTTCATGTTAATAACTTGTCTGTAAGTGTATGGATCTTTCTGAAATTGTACTACAAGGTTCCATATCACAAAGGGAAAGCTGGAATTGAGTTTGGGGGTAATTGCCCAAAACATTTAGGAAAAAGGGGCTAAAAAAAAGCATTTTTCTAGTTTCCAGACAATAACTTGTGTTCAAGTGTATGGATCTCTCTGAAATTGTACTGCAAGGTACCATACCACAAAGGGAAGGCTGGGATTGATTTTGGGGGTAATTGCCTCAAAATTTTAGGAATTATGGGCCAAAAAGGGGCAAAAATAAGCATTTTTCTAGTTTCAGGACAATATCTTGTGTGTAAGTGTATGGATCTTTATGAAATTTTACTACAAGGTTCCATATCACAAAAGGAAAGCTGGGTTTGAGTTTGGGGGTAATTGCCCTAAACGTTTAGGAATTTGGGGCCAAAAAGGGGCCTAAAAACAAGCATTTTTCTAGTTTCCAGACCATAACTTGTGTTCAAGTGTATGGATCTCTCTGAAATTGTACTGCGAGGTACCATACCACAAAGGGAAGGCTGGGATTGAGTTTGGGGGTGATGAATCATAAGGGGGTTCAAAAAATTTGGGGGAGGGATTTTTTTTTTCTTTAAAATTTTCCATTTTAAATTGGTTATTTCTGAATTATATATAAAAGCAAATAATAATGATATGGTTTGAATAGGTAAATTAAAAAATTTTAAGTTCTTAGACCACATTCATTCTGTGTCAGAAACTTATGCTGTGTCAAATATTTAATCACAATCCAAATTCAGTGCTGTATCAAGCTTGAATGTTGTGTCCATACTTGCCCCAACTGTTCAGGGTTCGACCTCTGCGGTCGTATCAAGCTGCGCCCAGCGGAGCATTTTATTATCCTAATTAAACCACTTTGTAAAACCTTCAAAATTGATGTATTGTTTAATTTCGTATCATACTCATTTTGCATATAATATTTGCCACTGTCATCAAATCTTGTTATTATTCAGGCCTATATATATATATATATATATCTATTTACATTTTTATTTTAGTTAATGGGAGAAGAACCAGACCTTGATCCAGAAATAACAAGAGATTTCTTTGAGCAAAATATCTTACAATTGGATCCCAGTCTTCTGACAGAAAATGGCATGAAGTAAGTTTTAATTTAACTTTTTTAACTGTTTTAAAGATATTAAAGCCAGATTTGGTGTCTCAAAATAATCTGACATATTGAAATTAGGCTAAAGTTCAAATTACCTATTTAGCAAAATAGTAAGTCAAAAGATTTTCTTTATTAGAATATCAATTGGACAACCCCAACATTAAGAAAACTATTATTTAGCAGGTTCTGAACTGATGTTAAGTTGATGTTATTTACAATATTTGACTATGTTCCTGGTTGACTCTATTAATGATTTTTTATTTTCAGCTGTTTTGAAAGATTTTTCAAACATGTCAATTTGAAAGAGAACAAATTAATAGCCAAGAGAAGAGGTGGCCATATGATTGATGATTTAGAATTAATAGGGTTAGACTATTTATGGCGGGTAAGACCATGTTTTAGATTATCTGTATCAAATCAGTTTTACTTTAGTTTGAATTTCATCTACAGATGTTTTGCAGTCAAGGTTGCTATGTTGAAAAAGCTTGCTTCATTTCTCAGATTAGGGGTTCAATTTTCTTGGAGATATTTGCTTCTAACAAGTTTTGTCCTATGATTATAAACAGAAAACAGCTGTTTTAGATGAAAGTGTTTATATAATGGTAATAAATACATTGTTAGAGGAATACCATGGTTATAAATAGGTATTGAGGAAGATATTATGATATATTTATAAATAACAACAAGAGAAATTTCCTGGTTATTAATAGAAACCAGGAAAATTTTATTTCAGATATATTTGTAAATATAAACCTGGGAAATATATATTAACTTTTATTTTTAAAATAGAAATCTGGGAAATTTGTAGCTCAAACCAGTTTTAAAAATATCACAAGGAAATTTACAAACAAAGAGGGAGTGAAAAGTAATTGAAACTTATTGAAGGCAAAGAAAATGAACATTGAAATTGTCTCTGGTCAAATCAATAAATAAAGGAACACAATAGTCATTTGATTTATATGTTCAGGGTTTTGTTTTTTTAAAAAAGCATATATAAATAATGAACTATGTTTTTTATCAATACCTGTCTTTGGAATCTTTCGGTATTTGTAAAACAGACATCAATTTTATTTGTTCTCTATGTCTGTCATGTTCTGTCAATTATGAATAACTCCCAAAGAAAGATGGTTTCTGATAAAAATGTTAAAGCACATTTGATATTGAGAATAGTGATTTTCTATTCCACTTTATAGAAGTCATGTTCTATATTAAGTGAAGAAAAAAAGAATAACTTGTATACTATTTTCATTTCATTTTATATTCAATAATGACTGCTTATAATGTTCGACTATGCTAATAAAATTAACTACCATTAAACAACTTTTGAAAGAATATAGCTTCAAAAATTATAAAATAATTAAGAAGCTGCAACAACATTGTTGTATAAGATTTCACCAAAAAATTAAATTAATAAACAAATAGACCAAGGATAAAGCTGATTCTAACACATCTTGTCAATTTCAGGCTGTGTTACTTAGTCCAGATGATGTTGCAAATAAAGCGATAACATTATTAAAAGACATTTTTACAAACTTGGGTCCACGGTTACAACAGAACCAAGTGGATATACATGATGACTTTATACAGTCGTGTGTAGATAGGTTAAAAGCTTTATATGATACTGTGTCTGTGTTAGAGAAGGACAAAGACAGTACAAATAGAGTGATGCAGGAGACATCCAGGATGGTTAGAGTGCTGACAGTGTTGAAGGAATATGTAGCTGAGTGTGACGAGGCTTATACTGATGAGCGATCAATTCTACCTCTTAGCAGGTTAGTCAAAATAATTTTGGAAATTCATTTGTCAAGATTTAAACTCGTTTAGATGGTTTGAATGTGAATATTGTAACTTCATATTTAAAATGATAAAGATACTGAATGCATTCTAACGCAACATTCAATAAAACATTGTGATTGATTGATTGATTGTTGGTTGCTTAACATCCAGTGGCAAATATTTCATGCATGTTCAGGACAATAAAACTGCAGGGAAATCTGAAAATAAATGGGAAAAGCACAGCAGTGCTGCTTATCTAGCTTGTCACTTTAGTATTAAATCAGTATATTGCTACAGAACTATTTCAAAAGAAAGTTTAAGGAAGCCATAATGCTTTTAACATCATCCAATCATTTTGTAAATATTTATAGAAGGACTAAGTAAGTACAAATATTGTAAGGGCTGATGATCTCCTGTTCCTAGAATACTTACAAAAATTTAATTCTCTGTAGAATCTAACATATCTACATGATTATTTGTTATACATAGATAAAAGAAGATGTGGTATGAGTGCCAATGAGACAACTGTACATTTGTCAATCATCAAACATGAATAGCTAAGACAAAAGTCTGAGACCTGTTTATATTTTCATGGATTAAAACATTTAGAAAAGAAAAGAAAATGAAAAGTTTTATTTAAATTTCATTGTTATAAAAATTATCTTTTTCAGGGCATGTAGAGGAAAATTAGTGACTTTAATTGTTCGATTTCCTAGTCAAGGTCGTCAGATGGAAGACATTGAAATTTGGTCTCATTCAAATGATACAATTGGACAAGTTAGAAGACAGATTTTATATAAACTTAAATTAAGCAGTAATATAAAAGTGGATTTATATGTGAATAATGAACTATTAGATCCAGCAGAGGATAAAAGATTAATTTTACAAGTGCCATTGAGAGAAAAAGCTGTAAGTCAATATAAGAAAAATAGGTTTTTTATGCATATGTAAGAAATTATCTTTCTTAATATCTAAAATCTATTAGATCCATGCCAATATTGAAACTTTTATTGAAGAACATCAGGATTGCTAACTAACTTGACTAAAAGCTTTCAAAATAAAGCATTTATGTATAAAAAAATATGTTTGAAGAAGCTGAATAAGGTCCTGTTGCAGATTGTTATGTACTATTCTGGTGAACTATAAGTAGAGTAAGTGTATGATATTAAGGTGGTACATAACACTACAGGGAGATAACTCTGTAAAAATCAGCTGAACGTTTTAATCACGTTCTATTGTTAAGGAAATATTAAGCTTCTCAATGATCAAAATTAGTGTTTGTCAAACTGCTATATATCCAATGAAATTTTTCCGATAAACTGTGTGGTTCAAGTTTTTTGAAATTTTCATATTTTTGTCAAAGGGTCAAAGTAAATATTTTGTCAAAATTTTATGAAAATTAAATGAGCCAAATTAATTTTAGTCAAGGTGTTTGGTTCACCGTAAAAGGATAATTAAACACACACTGGTTAAGAGTCCAGAACACTTTTTCAGTAAAGAATTTTGTGATATGACTGAATAGTTTACAAAAATAGCCTAGATATCCATAAAGTTATGGACTCTATAACCAAATGACATCAGAAGGGAGCAGACCAAAGAAAAAAGTAGGACAAAACAACTAAAAGAATACTCATGTTATTGTATATTATAATTTTTTTAGTTGATATCAGCAAAGTTAGTACAAGTAGGAAATAACATGCCATCTAGTCCAGATAGTAGTTCTGATAGCTCAGCTGGGTCACCTCATCATACTTTTGATGGTCCTAATATAGAGGCTGAAAGTTGTTTACCTGGTGTGGTAAGTTGATTATAGCTAGACAACGGAACATGTTTATTTTTAAAGCATCTTTTAGACATGCCTAGAGTACACTCATAATGAAAGGTCTATGATTAAATTATAAACAATATTCTTACAGAAGATGCTTGATTCATACTTGAAGCTTGCTTCCAATAATAGCTAATTGATTCCTAAGTAGGGTTACTCTGTAAATTGATTTTCAGTACATTGTGATGAAAGGATGTTAAACTGAGACGACAAAAAAAAATGAACTCTAAACCAGCTTGGAAAGTTCCCCGATTATGTATGGAGTGACAAGTGCTTCTGACCATTTAGCAGTGATCTTTTATCATATTTGTTAGAAAGGTCAGGTTAAATATAGGAATGGAAACGTTAAAAGAAATAAATGTTGTTTTGTGTAATATATGTCTTGTAATGATATATTTATATATATATATATATATATATGCATTGTTTGTCAGCCGGAGAAAACGTGTACTTTATGTTTTGTAGATAATGGCGAATACAGCTAAGTATGCCAAGTTTATGTTCCAGTTATCAGATTTAGGTTGTTCACTTCAAGTTCCAAAACTTAGGGATACTGCCAGAACTCTTCTTAAACTAATGCCTGCAGGTAAGCATAGAGATTTTCATGTAACCAGAATGTGAAGTTAAACATATGTTTACTATTGTAATTTGTACATCATTCCAAACTTGTTAAAATTTGAATATATTCGTTTCTCAAGTATAACAACTCAATTTATTTCATGTATTTAGATAAAACAATCTGGAAATACTTATATTTTACACTGGAAAGGCACTGATTAAGTATATTGGGCATTGTTACCCAATATACTTAATCATGAACATCAGTCTTATTAACATTATCTTATTATGTTTTCTTCTTCAAATAGTTAGAAAAATATGAAATATTTATAAGCTCCAGTTATAAAGTCTTGATAGACCTTTACATATGAGGAAAATTGAAAACTTAGATGCTGAAAAGTATTTGACGTATGAAACTTTATGCAATACAGTAAACAAATCATCTGAGTCAGAATGCTTTTCATACAATTTGTAACATGGTGTGAATTTATTATGTCGCATAGGTCTATCAATAACTATAGGTCTATGTTTTTTTGTGATTTCTTTTCAGATTCTCATACTGTAGACAGATTGTGTAATATATGTAATGAGAACACTAGGTCAGACACAACTCTTTCTCAACAATTAGAAATAATGTTCTTCAATTCATCACCTACAGAAGCCCTGTATAATATTGAGGTGAGACTTGATAGCAACCATTTCATGTCATAATGATCAGAATTTTAAAATTGTAGTTAGGTATTTCTTTATTATTAAGAATATGTTGTTATGCTTTTTATTAAATTGTTAACATGTTTGAATGGAGATACAATGTAATATGGTTAAATAGATTTTTCTGCTGGTAAATTTGTTAACATTTTTTAACATTATGCCTATTGTATTGTATTTTAGGTTGCTTACAGTCTGTTAATGCCTGCAAATGATCCTATGTCTGAAGACGCTTTCAAATTTCAGGTATGAATTTAGAGTTATATCTGTTTGCAATCAATAGAAGAATAAATTAAATTTTCAAATAATAATTTTATTTTGTCTTTCAAAGGAAAGGTTATATTTTAAAGGCTTTTTTGGAAAATAAATGGTACTTATAATTTTGGAACCTTACAGTAAAGTCTTTCAAAACATGTAAATATTTGGTAAGACTTCTTGAACTTTACTGGGAGGTCATAAGGATGTTTTGTCAGATTGTAATATTAAATAGATAAACATATTTTTGGAACATTTTGCCTAAATTAACATTGGACAGCCTTGTTTTACAGAAAACTGTCAAGAACTGATGATTTTCCATGTTGTTTTATTTCAGTATAATTATGTAAAGAGTGGAGGTGTACAGTTGGCACTTAACATGTTAACCAAGAATAACTTCTTACCTACTGCAGATCTGCCAACACGCAGGTATGTCAAAAACATTAATGTTTGGAATAAACTTGTTTATTTTTAAGTTAAAACAAGCAACATCGCCAACTGCAAATGTTTTTCTTTAAATCCTTCAATCTTGCTGATAGAGGAGTTTTATGAAAGTATCAGTCTTGACAAACATTAGCAACAAATTCTGTTTCATATCCTATCACATTTATTTTAAAGTGGTAAATATTAGTGAGGGGTTTATAGTTGCTAATTTAATGATAAGGAAAAAATAATGAAAAAATATGCCTTGCGTTACATGTAATTTGAGCTTGAAGGAAGGTAAGCGTCAAGGACAAGAAAACACAAAAATAAAACCTGCCTACAAGTTTGGGATTGAAATTGCGAGATTAAATATCAGCAGAAATAAACCACTTCTCTCTGTTTCAGGTCTGCTTATGTAACTGTGATGAAGATCTGTAAAATAATGTTAACTACCGTCCTCAATGCCAAGCTTCAAGTGGTGATAGATGCTTGTAATGCTGATCCTCAGTCACCTAATGTAACTCAGCAGGAACACAGTCATGCTGTATTAATACAACAGGCATTACAGTTCATACCTAACCAACAGTCAGAAATCATGACAAAGAATGTAGCCATGAGACTAGGTCAACATTTAACAGATCAGGTAACAATAGTTATTTCAAGCCAATCAAATAATGGGACATGCAGCAATTGGATGACTGAACAACTTGTTGACCAGTTTGTTTCTATATTTACCATTACTAAATAAGTGTTCATGGTTCACCTAACAAACAAGCAGACTGAGGATATGCATGAAGTACACATTCAAATAGATCAGTTGTAACTAATTTTGTCAATTATATTCAGTTTGTTGCTGAAACTATTCAAAATTTGTTACCTGTTGTTCAAGTTACACTATTGTGATGAGTGGTCATGCTCACTCTAAATTTCTTTCAACAGTCCAATAACTATTTTGTCTATGCATTTGTTGTCAGGTGTACATGCCAGTCTGACATGGATCAACAGATCTTGACCTCATTTACACAGTTCAGTAATTACTTTTAATTTCAGTTAAGTAACTTGATGCTGCTTCTTCATAATACCACTGAAATTTTTTATTTCAAGCATAACTATTAACTCCTTTGAAAGTTTCTATTTTTTCATAGTGCAACAGAAACTTTGCACTTCAAACAGTCATTAACCCACTTTCAAAGCTAAAGTCTCTTTCTTTTTATCCCTATATAACCTTATTGTCGATACATTATTTATTGTAGGCCTCTAAAGTAATTCCAGATTTGTCAGTTATAAAAGCAGTACAGAAAATAGCTTGGTCCTCCAGTAGTTGTTCATTACATTTGGTTCATGCATCTAATGAGGATATTCATAAGGCTCACGAGAAGGTTAGTTTGGTTTAATTTTTAATATCAATGGAAAAATCAACTAAGAAAAATTGCATTAGAACATGAGTAGTTTAAATAATTTTCTGATTACATGAAAGGTAAGTTAGAATTATAAGAAAAAATATACAAGTGATCAAAATAAAACAAAAAACACACTAACAAATAATATTGAGAATTAACAAATAGTCTGCCGAAAAACAGTCTGACAGAATTTGAGAAGTAGCAGTTAAAAATACTAATTTGAATCACTATTATTTTCAGCCAAAAGACCATTTGGAAGTAGAAGATTTAGTGGTTGCTAAGGAATCATTAGAAGTTCTGACAATCTGTCTCTGTCTATGTCCTCCTGCTCTAGAAGCTCTCAATAAAGACAAATCATGGCAGGTCTTCATCAAGGATTTGTTATTGATATGTAAACACAGGTATGATTACATATGACAGTAAACATAGAGTAAAAGATTGACACCTTGTAATTGAGATCTTTGATACTATCCTTAGAAGGATAACTCTTCCTAAATTGTTAAAAGGAATATAAATGAAACTTGCCACAGTGATATTTGTACCATATAGAGATGAGCATGCTGCAAAATAACTCTGGGTAAAGATTTTGAAAGAAATAATTAAATTTGATATCTTGCATGTAACTTAACCCTTAGGACATAACTTTTCGGGGAATATTATTAATTTCATTTAATAGAATACCTTTGCACTTTATCTTTGTTCTTGTTTTTTTCATTTTATAAAAAACATTTGAAAAAACGTTTATGCAATTTATGTAAATATTTAAAGGACTTATTTCTGATATTTTTTTTGGCATTTGAGATAGGATGTTACTAACTAGGAAAAAAACATTTATATATGAACTGTGTTGATTTCAGATCTGTACGAATATCTGCAACTGATCAATTTTATCTAATGGCAACCAGATGTTGTGGTGGTCAGAGACCTGTTTTGTTTTTTATTACTTTGTTGTTTTGTGAGTTAAATGTAAGTATTATACAAAGGTTTTCTTTACTTACCTGTTAACTTATATAACCAAAAGCAAAATTTTATTTGCAATTTACTGTTTGAATAGGTTGCACAAAATACTCAAAATTATACAGAAATGATCCATTTAGAGCTAAATCTTGATAAGATTTTTTTTTCTTTTCACAAGAAAAATTAGGGCAAATACATGTTGTTTTTGGGTTGTTTTTTTTGTAGTCGGTTATTATCAGTCATTTTGCTTTTGCATTATTTCTCTAGCATTTAAAGTAGTTCAAGCATTAAAAAAATCCAAATAAAGTAGGAAAAACCATCTTAAGTATTTCATGCACAGGCACTAAAATATAGATGAGTTTTCTAATTATTCTGTTATATATTTTGTACAGGAAACTGTGAGAGAGTATGCTAAACAAGCAAATGAATACTTCAATTTGTTATGGAAGTAAGTATTTTTAAATCCATGTTTTGCTAGCATCTTTTAAATTTTCTTTTATATATATAAAAATGGTGAAAAATTTCAACAAAATGTTAAACTGTTATTCGTTATTAGAAAAAAAATAACTCATTTAAGTTATTTTAAAAAAAAATATTATGCCTTATTATTATTGATGAACTGTATCCTTCAAAAACAATATTGTATGACTTTGTACATGTGTATTTACCTGCATTATATTACATTTTATTTATTTTAGGTTGTTAAATTATGCATGTAGTACAGATATAAGATTACCTAATGCAGATAAACTGTTACATAATGAAATTTTGTGGTTGAAAAAATTGAGGGTAAGTAAATATTATTCAAATCATAAATAAAAATTGTCAATTGAAGACATGAATACCATGTGCAGCATCATTATTTTGTGCTTAAAAATACATTCATGTATACTGCAACTATTTTACACGAATTTTAAGTTTAAAGATTAAAAACATGAATGGTTAAACCTAAGAACCAACACCGAAATAGATCAGGAAAATAACATCGATGATAAAAAAAAATGTATTGACGCAGCAATTTTACAGACATTTTTAGTTAGTTTTAACATATTTAATTGTTCAGAAACTAAACAAGTTTTAACATATTTAATTGTTCAGAAACTAAACAAGTTTTAACATATTTAATTGTTCAGAAACTAAACAAACAGATGAGACACAAGTTTAACAACTTAGTTATGTATTCTCCAGTCCAATGTCTTAAAATTTTTAGTTATATGCTGTTATCAATGAAAAGGCCTTCTAACTATGTCTATGAAGATGTAAATTTATCTCAAACTGAAATAAAGTACATTGACTGCTATTTTCAGGAACAAGTATTAAATACAGGAGAAGTTGAAGTTGAAGATGCTCTATTAGAGGGGCATCTTGGCATCACAAGAGAGCTGTTAGCATTCCAGTCACCAGAAAAGAGGTACCACATTGGTTCTGAAAAAGGAGGATCAAATCTCATAAAGGTCAGTATTGTTTAATAATGATGGATGTATTAAATGTATTTTTTTATGTACCTACTGAGAATTTCATATGTACCTTATGTTATTTTCAAATTTATATTGTGGTAAATCAAGCATAATTTTTGTTGTAAAAGTTGATTGGTAGTATAGCAGTATTATATGGTAATGTCTACTTACATGTATCTCCACTAGGAACTAATTGAAGACTTCCTGTTTCCTGCATCAAAGATAGTCCATCAAAGTAGAAAAGTAAATGGAGAGTTTCCCACAGAACAAGCTAATCCTGTGTGTACCACTCCACTAACAATTACGGCAGCATTTGACCTGTTGGTGGCTTTGTGTACACAATGTGTTCCTAATCTTAAATGCGTAGCTCTTATGTTGATGGAGATGTTCTACAACAGTAAGTCTCATTTGATTTTTTCAGTTTTGGTTTAATATTTTCAGAGCTTGCTGTATATTGTGTATATTATTGAGTAGGAGTGCAAAGAATATGTGAAAAAGACTGAACATTACTGGCAGAGATTTGGCATACTTAACATCATGGTGTAAAAATTAGAATATGTATGAATGTGGAATTTTTGTGTGTAAGAGTATAAGCAGATCTAGACCATTTAAGTGTGCTTATTAAATGATTGATTATTAGTAAGTAGAGTAGAGGGCTACAACACCAATGTTAATAAAAACAACTGGGTTTGGAATACTATAAATCAAGGTAGAAGTGGAGAGAAAATGGTACCATATCTCTCCTTTTGATCTTTCGTAAACTTGGTATGACCATATGACGTTTTTGATACAAATTTTGTTTTGTGATCTTGATCAAACAAACTTTTACAATATGAACGAATTTAAATTGTTTATCAGTTAAACTGATAAATATATTTTGTTTTTTTAGATGATGCTTCATTAACTGAATGGGAATACTTGCCACCAGTTGGTCCTCGTCCTCATAAAGGGTTTGTAGGTCTGAAGAATGCAGGTGCCACATGTTATATGAACTCTGTCATTCAACAGGTTAGTAGATATATATAATCTTGTTAATAAAAAGGCAATGGAGTTTTTTATTATTAAAGAAAGAAAAATACTTATTGTAGAATTTGAGGGCTACTGCAAGATATACAAGAGGATGAATTTTGTTTATATAGATTTAATTTTTGTTTATTTATGAAAAATTTCAGAACATTAACTTCTCATAAGAAGGAGCATTGTATGATATTTATGAGCATTTAATATGTGTGCATGTGTGAAAATTTAGAGCATTTCAACATTGACCAAGGTGAAAAAATACTTTCTTACTAAAAATACAACTTATAGTCTAAGCATTCGTTAGTACAGTAACTAAGAACAAATTTCATGAAATCAATACCAGGTGAACAATATATTTTATAGCTGTTTATGATAGACAACATCAGATCAGATATATTAGCTATTGATGGAGCTGCTGATGAAGCCTGTGTAGAGGAAGATTATGTTGATGAAAAAGTAGAGAGTGAAGTAAGTAATTAATATTCCACAATCTTTGATATTTCCTAAAGAATGAAATACTGTACATAAAAAATAATAATACAGACTTTCTTCCATAGAGTTCAGTAAAAATATGATTGAAACATATGCTCTGAGTTAAAAAAATGATACAGTTGTTTTGAACTCAGATGTGTAGAAAGTTTATATAAAAGTACTTTGTGGCTTCTGGTAAAATATACAGTCTGTTTAATGTATATTTAGTTTTGACAGGTCAGGCTTAGTTGAAATCTCAGTTAACTCAAGATTATTAGAAAAAGACTGAACATTATATGATAGTAGTTCATGAGAAAGTTGAATGAATAGATCTTATTGGACTGTTCTGTTTCCCAAGTACTTCCATAATTTTTATTGACTGTCTTTGTAAACCTGTTTCTTTGCTATTTAATCTATTCTAATATAATAGTTGATTACTTTGCAGACAAATGTGGATATGGGTGACGAAGAAAGGAAAGATGAAGAAAAACCAGTGAGCAGTAAGGATGATGAGAGGAAAGAATACAACATGGGTGTACTCAAACAAATACAGTTGATATTTGGCCATTTAGCTTGTAGCAAGCTGCAATTTTATGTCCCAAGGGGATTCTGGAAACATTTCAAGTAAGTCATGTGCATGAATATTATATATTTTTCATTTTAAGATCTCATGGAATTACTATTGTAACTTAGAAATTTGAAACCATAACATTAAATTACAGATAAAATTTGAAAATTAATTTACTTCTGGTGTTTTTTGTGGGGGTATGAACATTTTTCCAATGAAAACAACAAAGATTGGTATACCAAGATTATCGAATACTTCCTAAACCATTAATGTTGTACATTTATGATTAATATTATACATTATGTAAGCATTCAAAACAGCTGACCATTATCTATCCATTTAGCTTGTATCAACTGATCATCATTCCAGTATGAATTTGCAAAAATGAATAAAGTCCCACAAATTTACCATTTGAAATGTGATACACATTTGTATGTTGCTCATATTTTAATATGTATGAAGATGGTTCTTATAATGGTTAAACCCTTAATACACATGTAATATTGTGTTTTACAGGTTGTCAGATGAACCAGTGAATTTGAGAGAACAACATGATGCCTTAGAGTTTTTTAATAGTTTAGTAGACAGTGCAGATGAGGCTTTAAAAGTACTCAATCAACCACAAATTTTATCCAAGGTCTTAGGTGGGTCATTCGCTGACCAAAAAATATGCAAGGACTGTCCCCATCGTTACCAAAGAGAAGAGTCTTTCACGGCATTGAACATTGATATTCGAAATCATCATAATTTATTAGAATCTTTAGAACAATACGTTAAAGGAGATTTATTAGAAGGTGCTAACGCATATCGTTGTGAAAAGTGTGATAAAAAGGTGAGTAGATGTTTACTTCATATTATGTTGTTTTTCATTGAAATTGTGAAAAAAAAATTAACATTTTTGGTGTTCTGAAAAGAATTTTATGCTTTATGGATACAAACAACCATGAATTTGTCTTTCATAATAACAAAACTGAAACTAAAAAGAATTTAAAGTTCAAGAATATTTTTGTTTACACTGTTAGACTTGTGACAGAATTATGACTTGAAAATTTGATATTTTTCTGTCTTCAAATTCCGACCAGAATTTGTATGACCTTTTTTTGTTTGTTAGGTTGATACTGTTAAAAGATTGTTAATAAAGAAGTTACCACAAGTGTTGGCAATACAGCTGAAGCGATTTGATTATGACTGGGAAAGGTAGGTATTATTTGTTCAACAAATACTATGCATATCTATTAATGAGTACTTTCATGTCATGATATTGTCAAAACATTGACTCAATGCCTAATAAAATCTTTACAATGACTGTGTGAATGTCCGTTACAAAGTATTTTTTCTAGGAAAGGCTAAACAATAAATGAATCAAAAGGCTAGTCAAAATCTCAATTTGAATTTTTTGAATACATTTGTAGATTTATATTTAAATGCATCTCTTGTTTAAAGATCTTTATTTGTCTTTACAGAGAATGTGCAATAAAGTTCAATGATTACTTTGAGTTTCCACGAGAGTTTGACATAGATCCTTATACAGTACAAGGAATGGCAAAAATTGAAGGTATACATATATATTCTACTGATTATGACACTGTGTATCCCATTCTTTTTTCTGTAACCAAACTGTATTAGACTGAAATTTGTATGGCAGTATTCAATATCTCACTTGAATTCATATGTTTGAAAGTTTTTGTCCATTAGCTGTTGTTTAAATGTTCTCAATAATCCAAAGATGACAAAAAATAAAGCTTATTTTGTGATATATTTATCAGATATGTGTTTGTTTGTAGGTGAAATAATTGATATAGATGAATCTAAGCCTCAGAGTACCAAATACAAGCTTATTGGAGTTGTTGTTCATAGTGGACAAGCCAGTGGTGGTCACTACTATTCGTATATATTACATAGGTAAGCATAGCTCAGTATAGATTTCAGGGATACGCTTATTGTCACTTTGATGTATTCTACATGTGGTCACTACTATTCCTAAATATTACATAGGTAAGCATAGCTCAGTATAGATTTCAGGGATACGCTTATTGTCACTTTGATGTATTCTACATAGCTATGAAATTATGTACTAAGGTTATGTTTAATTCCTTACCTCATTGTAGCTCTATGTTGTAGCTAAATATTACTTTTTTTATAGCATATAGCCATCTTTGTGACCCAGATCGAACAAGCCTAAGTTTTTGAGCAGATAAAATTGATTCCTCTTCTGTCATTCAAAAAATCCTCTATGTTTTTTAATGGAATACATTAATTGAAACAGTTGAAAAACAACAGTGGTTTGTGAAGTTTCAAAATATGTTCTTGTAGATGTATTGTTGTATTTAAGAGGACAACCGTTTGACTTATCAAAGGACGTAGAAGTCCAAGTGAGAAAGTGCATTTTTTATACCTGCGAGTTCCTTCTTGAGACGTTTCCATGTCAGTTGTTGATTTAATATTGAAAATTTGACTGAATTATACCTTATACGGTTTAATGTTATTTAATTTGTGTGTCTATTTTGAAAGAGGTCACGTTGCTCTTGTCCATTCATAAAATCTTCGTTCATTCATAAAATTATCGTAAAATCACTACGCACGTTATAGTAATGTAAAAGTAAAGATCTCTAGACAATGTCAAATGTCATAATGACCCTACACAATGCATGACCATCATCTTTTCATTTGATGGTTTAAAGGGGCACTAGCTACGAGATATAGAAAAAAAATAAAACATGATCTTTTTTTTGTTCAATCATTAATGAAAGTGAAATAGTGAAATAAAAATTCGCTTTTAGCAGCCAGTTTGGTTCAGTTTTGTCAAAATAAGCAAAGAAACATTGCTAATGAATTATTCACTTGCAAGTGAATAATTCGACCTCATTAAATCCGTATTCATGTGAACTTCAATTGAACCTCTTAGCTAGAAATGGGTTATGCATGAACTAAGCGTGTTCAGCTAGTAAAAGGAAAAGAATGTCAACATTGAAAGTGAAACAAGGGTAAACCATTTGATTGACTGTTTCGATCTACAAAAACTCATTTTTATACAGGTAAAAACGATTATTAACATATTGTTTTAACCTATAATATGAAATTAAACAGACCTAGAAAAATCTAATTGAACGAGTTTGCTATCTATTTATATCTATGGTTATGTTTACAACCGGTTATATAACCATTGGCAGTCTTTGGAAAGTCACCTCGGTGGTTAATTAGATGGCGTCTAGACTAAAATACACACAAAATGCTGATACATAATTTTGAGTTTATGCATCGTAAATTGTTTATTTTAGACTTTTTTTTTATTTGGATGTATGTTTTAGTATGTTATAAGTCGAATATGAGAATCGGTGAACATGAATTTGACAGCTAGTGACCCTTTAGAAATAGATCTCTCTAGCATTGACCATATACCAGTTAGATCGTTTTCATAGGGCGGTCCACCCGCCCTTTCCCGACTGATACCATGTACTCTTTTAATATGCCCTGTCCGATTTTGTGAATTTTTACACGAACAAAATAATGTCTGATTTTGAACTTTTCCCAAGGTAGACAATCATGATCAGCCAATCAAAATCGTTGTTTCTCGTGATTATTGGGCTGTATTTGATCAGCCAATCAAAATGGTTGTTTCTCGTGATTATTGGGCTGCATTGCAAACATGCTAAATTTTGAACTTGTTTGGAACATCGAATCTGTTATGACTTTATACATATTTGTCTCCCCCAGAAGCCGGGTAAACAGATCGTCACCCTGGGAAATGTTAAACATTGTAAAAATGACTTTCTGCTAGATAAGTCTTTTATTATTATATGGTTAAAACATCATTACTTCTCACTAGATAAGACCCCTCTCAGGTTTAATTCTTTTACATGTGGATGAAAAATAAAAGTCACAAACACATTAACTAAGCAGCAATTGCTTTAACAGCCTTTAAGGCTTTGATTAAAGGAATTACTTCTGTCAAATTTTATCATTTTTACAAACTTTTAACTTGAACAAAAATGATGATTAATGATATAATATCTTACATTGTAGAGGTGAAGATAATACTGCTAAATGGTACAAGTTTGATGATGGGGATGTGTCAGAATGTAAAATGGATGATGATGAGGTACTTTATTAAATTAATCACCAAATGCTTTAAGTATGGGATGCATTGACTTTTTGGGTAGTGCAAACTTCACACTTATCAATATCAGACTATGAACTTGATGTTTTTTTTCCTAGCAATTCCTTTAAACCTTAAAGTTTTGAAAGTAAAAAAAAATAAGATATATGAGCATAAGAATCAAATCCATCCAAAATCACTTTTGCCAGAAGAAGTTACAACCTTTATTATGAATGGAACATAGATAAAAAGAAAACTCTACTTGATTCCTAGTCTCATGTCCAGAATGTGTGCATGCATACTTATTTTATTGATGAAAACGTAAGCATTATCATATCCCCACAAATAAAGTTTTGGGGGGTATATAGGAATTTGTCTGTCTATGCATGTGCCTTGTAAGCTGGTTAGATGGATATTGCTGATATTTTACACAGTTGTAGAACACTATCTGAGAATGAGCATTTCAAGGAATGATATTGGTAATGCATGTTAAAGGAGAGATAATCAAACTTACTTACTTCAATATTGCAATTTTTGATACCAGCATCAAGGGAGTATCCTCTTGTTTCTAGTTCATTAAATTTTCATTTTAATCTCATACTCTGTTTTTCAGGAACTGAAAAATCAATGTTTTGGAGGGGAATATTTAGGAGAGGTGTTTGATCACATGCTAAAAAGGTGAGGTTATATGTCATTATGTAAAATTGTCTTAGTGTTGGATGTTTTATTTCTCCAAAAGTAAGGTTGATGTTATCTCCAAACAAAATTTGTTCTTGACATTACCGTTTTTCAACAAATTTTACTAATTGTTAACTAGACACTATTTTGATAGCTTATACATGCATTTATGTATATATTATTCCAGAAATAAATAGGAAAAGGAACTTAATTCAAAGGTTTACTGGAATTTACTGGTGATCTATTTTAAAATTTCCCAAAATGGATATTTATTGCAGATTTTGAAAGGTCATATCCATTCTCATTATTAAGCTGTATTAATGTTTCCATACTGAAATGCTTGTTCCATACATAATTATGTATGGGGCAAGTAATGGTATTAATGTATTATTAGAATGGCTTATAGAAAACAGAAAAGATGGTGGAATGCCTACATCCTGTTTTATGAAAGGGTAGATGAAGTGGATAATGAGAAACACATCTACAAGACACTCCAAGACTTAACTATTGGTTTGTTTACATTTAATTTACTTTTGAATATTTTACATTCAATATAGAAAGAAACATTGAATTTAGATATAGAAAGTGATTACACTTAATAAATTCTTCATGGAATAATTGTTTTGGTTATCATTTCACATATATGACAATATAAGAAAATTGTTTGTACCTTCTGTAATAATTATGTTCAGTATTTAATCAAACAGTAGACAGAAAATTAACTAGCATGTCATATTTCTGGTTTAATGAATATCAGACACTGAATTCATTTATTATATATGGTATTGTAAATTCAGTAATTATTGCGTGCATATATTAATGCAATTTCTGAAGAATATATAATAGTGCAAGATTAATTAATGCGATTTCAGGAAAAACTGCATACAGATATATGTATAAGATATCATAATGCAAGTTCTTATTGTATTGCAATATTCACCCAGTCACATTATCCACATTTATAAAAACCCAGCATTAGTTTCTGAATTTACAGTAACTTAATTTCTGTGGTTTTCATAGGTATACATGAACAAGGACAAAATATAAATTTCATATAGGCTTGTATGCAAAATTTTTTTAAACCATGAAATCAAGTTATTTACGAAAAAAAAAAACAATTTTTCTTGAATCCACGAAAATAAAAGATCCATAGTATGTGCAGATTTCATTTTCAACTAGCAGCTTGGCTAATTTCATAAAATTTTGTCTATGTGATGAAATAGAGAAGCTACACCACCCTGGTGAAATATAATCTGTGTATTATTTCAGTAAATAAACCTTACCAAGTGACCATGCCAACTGTGATAGAGAAGTGTGTTAGGAAACGTAACATTATGTTTATGCATGAGAAGAGTCAGTTCTGTGTGGAATATTTCCATTTTATGAAGAAACTGCTTAATTGTAATCCCATCTATACTCATTGTCCACAAGATAAATTGGTAAGTTTTAAATGGAGATTATTTTTTTTCTGTTCTGTATTGACAGGGTTGAATGTATGCACTATTTACTAAGATATATGTTTTTACGATCCTGAAGGATATTTGAGAAGGGGTGGCTGATTTAGATAACCATTGGAAAACAAGGGTATATTTGTTATTACTAAAGTGTACATTATTAAGATGAAAAAATGCTTGCAAACTTTCAACACTTACCCCAGATTTAAGGTTTGCATTCAGACCAGATGTGAACGGCATATTTATACTGGCATCATACTAGTGATGGTTAGGGTTATAATGTTGATAGAAATAGTAAAGATACATGTTGTGTGGAACAGTTATATAATCTGTTGAATTTTAATGATTCTGTTGTCATTTATTACGAATAGGACAATCTTCCAGGAAATGTTTAGATCTTGAAATAAATGAGTATTAATCTTTATTTCTTAATCTACAGAAGTAAAAATTTGTAAACACATTGGTCATATGAATTCTGAAGATTAATATTTCTAATTTTTACAGTCCAATGATGCAGAAGTACTTGCCATGATTAGCACAGAGCTGGCCTCTAAGTTTTTGTTTAATGTTGGATTTAGAACAAAGAAGAATATACGGTAGGCATTTTCAATGATTGTTTTAAAAAAAATGATGTAATAAGGAATGAATTATTGGAATGAACATTTTATTTGTAAAAAGAATACATAATAGATAAGTCCTTGTTAAGATGTTTATTATGTAGTAAAATATAGTAGATTGTAAATTTACTTTGGAAAGATTTTCTGTTTGTATATATATTTGTATAAATGTAACAAGCCTAATACTATTTAATTTTAAGATAGAATGATATACGAACATTTGAAAATTTTTGTTTCAGGGGACCAGCAAGTGAATGGTATGAAACTCTAAGTAGCCATCTACGACCCAGTAAGAAAGTTCGCAGCTGGTTTGCAAATAATGTATTATTTGCCCATCCTAACAGATTTGCTGAGTATTTACTAGAGTGTCCTACCTCAGAGGTTAGTCCTATAGTTTTGGCAGTATGATAGTACTTAAGTTATACATGCACTTTTCTGGTGACTGGTTCAAGTTAAGCCATACATATCCTTATTTAATACTGTATGACTATATAAATAAGGTAAAGCTAATGTTATAAAGTTAATATGAAATAAATGAGAAAGGAAGAATGAAAATGATATTCATCTTTTAAATCTTAGATTACTTTATACATGTGCAAGCATTGAGTAAAAATACCATCAAGATTTGAATTTGCTAGATAAACAGATATTGAACTTATTTTTGATAATTTAACAACATTCTAAAAAAATAAAAAATAAAAACAGAATGAAGTGTGTTAACTTTGAATTTATGATATTCAGTAAAGCACCTTCTAGCTCTTTTCCATTTAAGGCATTTTCTGGAATTCTGTAACAGTCAAAAGTTTTGATTAAAGAAAGTAAAATCCCATCTGGTATTCTGTATAGCTAACCAGCATGAGAACTTAACTGTTCATCTTGAAAATAAAAAAGTTCCTCACCAACTGTTTTTGTTTAGGTTTTACTTAGATCACAAGAAATGAATTAGGATACTTATAAACGATTTTAATTTTATTATTTCAGGTCAGAAGTGCTTTCAGTAAAATAATTGTGAGCTTAGCTCATTTCTCTGTTAGAGATGGTCCTAGTCCCCCACCATTAGTTCATGGCTTAATTGGTAAGTTGTTTTTGAAGAAGAGGAAAGATAGGTTGAATGTACACAGAATGCTCCAACTTGTAACTCTTGCAATAAATTATCATTAAATTAATTAATTCTTAACATGAATGGAAGGTAATCAATAGATCAAGAGGCTCTAGGATGGACATATGCAGAATACTTGTGAAATAATTGAACACACTTGATAAATGATGTGGATATATTTACAGGTTTAAATTGACAAACAACATAAACACAGATAAAGCTCTAAATATTATGTAAGAATTGCAGTTTTCATATAGTATACTTTAGGGCATTTGTGGATGAGTGGTCTTGGTTGTTAAACTACTGTATCACTAGCCTGTCAACACTTGAGTATGAACCCTTCGTTTGACTCCAATCTTAATTGAAAAGGATTGCCAGCTTTTCTGCCAAAGGTTGTGGTTCTCTCTGGACGCTGCGGCTTTATCCACCAATAAATACTTACCACAACGAAATAGCCAATAGTGCTGAAAGTGGCATTAAACACCAATCAATTTTATTTTGAGTATTTGAGGCTATTTCATGTTAAATTGTTTTATTTACTTATTTTTAAGTATGAGAAATAAAGAAGAAAACTTGTATATTTAACTAGAAAATTTTGTTGATGTGTTTGTTATATGTTGATGTATTTATTATCTTTGTAGCCCCAGGTCAGACTGCAGATCCCAACATGACATTGAGTGACCATCTACTTCTAGCAGTACTACAGCTGTTAAAGAAAGAAGTTTCAGAACATGGAAGGCATTTACAACAGTATTTCCACTTGTTCCTAATGTATGCTAGTCTGGGACCTGATGAGGTATAACTTCACTTTATCTAATTTTATTCATAAAAAAATCATAATTGATTTTCTCTTAAACTACATTTTGCTATTCAAGTTATAAATTAGTATCAATTTACTATGTAAATGGAAAACAGAATCTTTACAAATTTAGAAATCATTTTCTGTCTAGTGAAACATGTAAAAATTTTGTTTTTGTTAGATGTTGTTACGTTAAGAATTCTTAGTCGTTCCAATGTAGGTAGATTTGAAATCGAAGATAAATACAGATGTATAAACAGGAAGTTGTATTAATTATACCCCCGCTTTAAAAAAGTGGGGGTATACTGTTTTACCTCTGTCTGTCCTGCCGTCAGTCAATCCATCCGTCGTATTAATTATACCCCCGCTTTAAAAAAGTGATGGTATACTGTTTTACCTCTGTCTGTCTTTCCGTCAGTCCATCTATCCGTCAGTCCGTCCGTCCCATGAATATTTTCGTCGCATTTTTCTCAGGAACTACTTGACAAGGATTTCTGAAATATGGTTACCGGGTTTATATAAGTAAGTTACACCGTGTGATGCGTTTTCAGATTCATAGCTCAACAACTTCCTGTTTACCGAACACTTGTATTATTTTACATATGATAGCCAAGTTGAAAATTTTCCCCAATTTTCTCAGGAACTACTTGACAAGGATTTCTGAAATTTGGTTTCAGGGTTTATATAAGTAAGTTACACCGTGTGATGCGTTTTCAGATTCATCACTCAACAACTTCCTGTTTACCGAACACTTGTATTATTTTACACATGATAGCCAAGTTGAAAATTTTCGTCACATTTTTCTCAGGAACTACTTGACAAGGAGTTCTGAAATTTGGTTCCAGGGTTTATATAAGTCAGCTATACCGTGTGATGCATTTTCAGATTCATCACTCAACAACTTCCTGTTTACCGAAATATTTCGGCGGGGGTATCATCAGTGAGCAGTAGCTCGCAGTTTTACTTGTTTATGCTGCAGATTGTTTTTATTCTTGTGAATGGAAGAAAATTAAGAACAATTAAAAAGTGGAATCAGGGTTGGCAAAAACCCGGGTTTTATGAGTATTGCCCAGTCCAGTGGGAAATACTGGGAAAACCCGAGTTTGACCGGGTAATACTGGGCAATACTGGGTAATATGAAATACTGGCCTGAATTTTAAAGAGGATTCATCACAAATGCAATACATTAACATGATTTTAGATTTTTATAAAAATAAGATATAGTATTTTAATTTATAAGTTCACTTGTTTTAGACTCTTAATATAAAGTGTATAAATCTGAGAAAATATTAATGGTCAAGCAACTCAAAGACAAGTGTACATGTACAAATGTACAAAGACAAATGTGAAAATTTCTTAATAGTTCTCCTAAATTTATCTAATCGCCATTCTGTCTAGATTGGTTAAAGTGTTGACTTAAAGTCGAAGAATTTAATTTGTTTTTTTTTTAATAAATATAGTTATTAAGAATTAACAATTATATATAAGGAAAATTACTTTTAAACATTTTTTGTTCATTACTAAAAATGTTTACAAAGTTTTAGCCTATGTTTATGTACATCACTAATTGATAAGTAATTACTCAGATTATAACACAGATTTGTTTTTATAACAATAATCAGCCATTTCATTTCTATAAGTGTTCATGGCCTGTCCCCTTAGGGTGTTTATTTAGCAATATGATTGTATAACAATTAAAATTTTCAATTTACTTATATGCTGCAATGAAATGCATTTTTTCAAAGCTTGGAAATTAACAAGGTATCCTGAAATGTGCAAAACTTGTATTCTGCCTATATAGAATTAGTGAGAAAAGAAAGAAATTGACTTTTCAATCTTCAGGAATGACTCTCAATGGTTATCTGTATAAAATGTATATATTTAGCTATAATACTATTTAACTACAACAAGTCTTTACTATTTTGTGTAAAAATAAGCTTGAAAAATCATATTGCCCAGTATTACCCATTTCTGGGAGTATTGCCCAGCCTGGGAAAACCCGGGCCCGTGTAATACTTTGCCAACCCTGAGTGGAATAGCTTGGTCTTTCACAACTGAACATCTGTGGTCTTGTATTTAGACTAAATAGAAATGTTATTCAAAGATATATATATCCTTTGTATACCCCAAAAAATCTTCTTACAATAAATTTGTTTTATACATGAATATTGAAAGATAAGGTCATACAAATTAAATCAATTTTCAGTTTAAAATGAAGCAGAGACATTTTTTTTTATTTCTACCAAAATGATATAACCATAACTGGTGTTTACACAAGAAATTATGAGTTCACAGATTTTTTTTTCACAATGAAAATGGTCTGAGGTTTCGAGTGCAATAGAGAGGACTTAAGAACCTTGATTATTTTTTACTTGTCTGAACTTTGCAATGTTTTATTTTTGCAGAAATTACAGCTGTTAAAGTTAAATGTTCCAGCAATGTTTATGTTAGTAGCCTTAGATGAGGGACCAGGTCCACCAATCAAATACCAGTATGCTGAACTGAATAAATTGTACTCGGTTGTGTCTATACTGGTCAGATGCTGTGATGTATCTACCCGTTGTCTTTCTTATGCTGTAAGTTATCTAACTTTTTGAGGAATGATAATAACATAGAGTCACAATTTGCTTCAATTTATTTTTTATCTTGTGGTCATTCAAGTATTACAGAACCTTGACTTAATTTACTTAATTTAAGCAAGGTCAGTATTGCAAAGTAAAAATTAACCATGCATATATTTTTTAATATATTTCAATAAAAAGTTCTTCAAATTTAATAACACATGCATGTCAGTTAGGAAGGAAGGACCCTTTTGAAATATCTTAAAGTACAGTTGAAATTTTCTTTTAAAAAGTAACTAGGAATTTTACAACAATATTTTAATTGTAGGAGTCATCATCCAAGATGAATCCTTACAGTGATGGACCACCCAAGCCGAACCCTTTTGGAGACCCTTCATTGCCAACTCCATTGATGCCAATTCAGCAACAAGTAATAGAACCAATGTATGGTAGAACTAGTTATGTAAAGAAGTTAATAGAGGATTGTAATAGTTCTGATGATACTGCCAAGTTACTCAAGGTCAGTTAGTATTTACCTCAAAATTAGTTTTAAAACAAATTTAGGAACCTCAGCAAATGTTGTTTTTGTTTAAATCATAGTGTTCATGTCCTTCAAAGAAACTGGTGTTTTCAATTGCAGATCTTTGGTAGGCTCTGTTAAAAATAAAAACAAATTGTTCAGACTTTGGGCAGTTTACAGCTTGACATATGAAAAAGACGCTAGTTTTTTGGTTAAGACTATGGTTGTCAACCTAGATGTTTTTTTTGGATGTTGTTTAATTGGTGTATTAAAATTTTCAGCACAATTTATAAGAATTCACCAATTCTGTGGTGAAGCATTATGTTTAAGTCATGATTTATGATTATTGTTCACAAAAACTAAATGAATGGTTTTATTTTGTAGTTCTGCAGCTGGGAGAATCCTCACTTCTCATCTACTGTTCTTGGGGAACTTTTATGGCAGGTAAGTGACAGTGTCTTTTTTTTTTAAATACATAGTTTTCATTTCATATTAATGATAAATTGCCAGTGGAACAAATGTCTCTAAGATCAAGCTCTTTGTCCTACATACTTTAATTTTTCAAATGTGCACTAGATGTTTCAAATGATCTTTTTTATGTTACAGGTTGCCTACTCCTACACCTATGAACTCCGACCTTACCTTGACCTGTTATTACAGATGTTGTTATTGGAAGACACATGGCAGAATCATAGAATACATAATGCATTAAAAGGTTAGTATTTCCAATCTTTTAGAAACAATTGATAAGGATTAGTTTTAGGGGTTTACTTTTTTAATAGAAAAACAAAGGATATTGGGTATCCATCCATGACACAAAATCAGTACATGCACAGCAAAAAACACACAAAAAGCAAAGGAGCTGCGCTTTTATTGCTATTCTTCATCTCAAAGTCAGAGTGAGGCCTTCAACATGGAGCAAAAAAACTCTCATCTCACTGCAAGATTAAGACGGCTTCTAGCACTGGCATGAATGGAATATTTTGCAAAAATGATTTGAATAGACTTTTTTTTAAAGACGTAACACCACCAAATCGGGCCGGTTCAAAAAAGGACAAACTGGAAAGTAGTACATATTAAAAACAAAATAGTTCCTACGCATCAGATGAAAGGTGAAGGACTGGTGATCCTCGTAGAACACAGATATGAAGTACCTGGTTTTGTGTATCCAAAATTCTGGTAACCAGTACGTCTGATGTATAAATTACAGTATATTGATCCTGCCCCCATAAAATGTTTAGAAGTGCAAAAAATTTAATGTGTAAAGGAATGAGGGACAAGATTAGGTTTACATTTGTCTGCAGCTTACAACTATTGAGAGACATCAGTTTTGTATTGTTTATTTTATACATAATCATAATATCATTAATGTATTTTGAAGGTATTGATGAAAAAGATGGGTTATTTGATACAATACAGAGAGCTAAAAACCATTACCAGAAAAGGGCATACCAGTGTATTAAAATGATGGTGTCATTATTTTCTGTGTAAGCATATAGATGAATATATTCTTTATAAATATTCCATCAACTAGTTAGCTTAATAATAATATATCGTTTCTGATTAAGCTATGATACTCTGCCATCATTACTTCTGTTGCATCTCATTTCTCGTGGGGATGTCAGATTTCAAAGAAGTTTCATGTTTGGGTTTTTTTAATAAGTGTTATTGTATTATTGATGCATATAAATCCTCTTAATTTAAACTCTGCAAAGATCTGTTTGTATTATAAAACATAAGAAACACCATATAATTCACACCATAATTTTAGTGAAAGTACCAAATATTTGTGTTTGTTATGTTAAAATTGACATTTTCACATTTGTATTGTGAATCAGTGAACATGACATCAAATAGATTGACTGAAATTCAGGAATAAATTAGTTTCTGAATAATTGTGTTGGTTAAACATATATGACATTTTTTGTAATAAGAATATTACCTTTTTAAAAGAAAATTAATGTGTCAAGTAGTTAATACTCATTATGTTATTACAGATGTCGTCCAGCTAAAGAAATGCTACAAAGCAATGGTGACTTAAAAAGAAAATGGACATGGGCAGTTGAGTGGCTGAATGATGAATTAGAAAGGGTAAGAACAGAAAATTCCTGCACTAATTGAAACATTTGCAAATTATTTAGTCTAAATTCTACATAAAATTTGTGTAAAAATCAATATAAAATTTCTTCCAAAGTGTTGAGGTGACCTTCCATCTGACAATGACTGTTTAACCAAACACTTATTCGTTTAACATCACAATTTTTTAAAAAATTATGTAAAAAAATGCAAACCTTTTTGAGACAAGATAGTTTAATGGTCAACCTATAGGTCTGTAAAGTTTGAATATTTGATGTTTTATATTGACTCATGTAAGAACCTTTGATCTTTGCTGATTTAACAAGAACATTTTTTTATAAATTAAAGGTTGGCAGTAATATTTGATCTATAATGCTTAGACAACTTAGAGTAACTGCATAATTGAAAATTGGAACCAAAAATTAAAACATAAAAGGAAACATTATCTTCAACTAAGTTGTCAGGTTTATATTTTTTTTTGTGTAGAGACCATATCCAGGCAATACTCAGTATACCTACAACAATTGGTCACCACCAGCTCAGTCCAATGAAACTTCTAATGGGTAAGTTAACCAAGGAAAAGTTGATCAAAAACAAATACATCTTTTGATTGAACCTAGTCTGATAGTCAATGAATTTTATTGAATCAACTTTAAATGGATGACTCATAAAATGGACAAAAGTAACAATCATCATGTACAAAATTCTAGTTTATATTTTAGATGATTATGTAAATAATTTTTTTACTTTTCCTACAGATATCCTTATTTTATTTGAAAACTGAATATGTAAAATACACTTTGATTCACACTTTATAACTTGTTCACAGAATTACAGGATTTGTGTTAATTTGACATATTATCTTATGATTATTTTTATATAATAAGATTTTACCGATTCGGTCAAAAGATTCAATGGTTAGGGTAGGACCAGTTTATATTCTTACAGAAAATTACTTAATTATTTTTTCAATTACCTTTTAGCTATTTCTTAGAAAGATCTAATAGTGCCAAGATAACACTGAACAAAGCATATGACTTGCTACCAGAAGAGGTTAGTAATGAAGTTTTCAATATTTTTGGCAATTCAAAGTTTACAATGTTTAAATGACAATAATTCAACTGTGATGATTGACTTTAGTAATTGATTTTGACAGACTTTTTTGTTAAGACATTTATAGATTTTTGTATATTTGATTACATGTACATTCCTTGATGAGTACATTTTGTTGATTTGAGATAATAGTTGCCTTTTTAAACTATGAGCCTAAATAAAGGCAACAGTAGTTTACCGCTGTTCGAAACTCATAAATTGATAGAGATAAAAACAAATCCGGGTTACAAACTAAAACTCAGGGAAACGCATCAAATTTAAGAGGAGAACAACGACACAACAAAAACACAACATTAAAATGTAACACACACAGAAACAAACTATAATATAACAATGGCCATTTTCCTGACTTGGTACAGGACATTTTAAGAAAAAAATGGTGGGTTGAACCTGGTTTTGTGGCATGCCAAACCTCCCGCTGTTTTGGCAATGTTAAATATAACATTAAAATGACAACATTACAAGACATGACTACAATACAAATAAATGGGAGAAAAATGTGAGTACTTTGAAAGTGATCCATTTACAGTAGGTTGTATTACTTCTGAATTCTCATAATTTTCCTGTAAGCAAAAAAAACAAACTTACCAGGACTCACATTTTATCAGCTAAAGTGTAAAATATTATTTATTTGAAAAATGTTTTTAAAGATTTTTTAAAATTCTTTTATAATTTCCATTGTGTTGTGAAATATATGGTCCTTTTTCAAATGTGAATTTTAGGAACCAGAAGATTCTGAGCTAACAGATGAACATGAAAGTCCTCATCCTGAAGAGGGTGTACAGACCTATCCTCCACGCCCAGCCGGAAGCTCCCCTCAGCCAATTGAGAAGGAAAAGGGAAAGGAGAAGGAGAAGGAAGAGAAAGAATCAGATAAGGAAAAGGAGAAACAAGAAAATCAAGAGGTTCCACCTAAACCTCATGTTCAGAACAATCAGGTCAATACCTCCCAGTCACAGCAACCAATTCCTCCTAGTAATCAAATTAACAACCAACTGAACAACCAGCAACCAGATACAGGGGAGGAGGAGGGTTCTAGTAACAGCAATAACAAAACTTCTGTGGAATGATTGAGATGATTGAACAGTGTTATTTATTTTAGTGCTTTTGAGATATGTTATTTATTGTATAAATGTTATGTATTGCTGTATATTGGGGTATTTATGTTAGATTTTTTAATTTTTTTAATTATTTTTTTTTTTCATTTTTTCCTCAAAAATTCAAAAGCATTAAACAATTGAATGGCAAGGTTATAATAATTTTTTCTTATCATATTACTTGAATGATGTAAAAGTCAAAGCTTAAGTAAACTATTAGTTGCAGTTTTCATAAGCTTTTCTTGGAAAATTAACGGCATCATACAATTTTTATTACTCCAACAATCGCTTAGGTGTTACACATGTATGCTTATCTGTCAGTCACAACATAAAACTATTCGTATAAAAGCTTTATATAGACAAAAGATCTGGATAATATCCCTAATGTTAGTGTCTTGTTGTTTGCAATTTGACCGTTAAGCATTGATAGACGTACATGTCTGTCTTACAGGGTTCACTTGACAATGACATCATTTTCATGGTTCATTGATTAACCCAAAATTTTCATAGTTTGTAAGTTAAAAGCTATAGATGAGCTAAATAAGGTCTATAGAATTTTTGTAGGATGTACATGTACGTACATGTCTTTCTGACAAGGATATCTGAGCTTGGCCTCATTTTAGTGGTTCATTTATCAACATAGTAGGTGATGTCTTCAGTTACAATGTGTAATATGTTAATTAAATTTGGTGTGTAGAATCGATGGAAGGTATGAATCTGTCTGGCAGTAACATGAGACCTTTACCTCCTTTTCAGGGTTCATTGACATTTGTGTTTTTTCAGTTATGAGTAAAAGGTGAATATATTTTGTTTACAGAATCATTGTGAGGTGTACATTTCTATCTAATACCTGTTACTTGACTGTGATCTCATTTCATAGTTTATTGAGTCACAAACAGTTTAAATATTAGACCAGTTACTAATTTGCATATAAAATTGAGACCTGCTATTTGTATTCAGTTACATAATTGTGATGTTCCTTGTAAGTTTGATATATACACAAAGTAAGACCTTAATCTTATAGACTTTTGACATACTCAATCAAATATAATTATGCAGATGAGATATTTCCACTCTTGTTTACAATGAATATATGTTGGAAAATATAAATTCAGTTTCAAAGAAGTAGTAATCAAACTAATGGTTCATTGCTCTGTCATAAAAACACAAATCTTTACACAAGGCATTGTAATTTATCTTACATTCGGTATAATCTGGCGTGAAGATGATATCATTATACTTTTATTTTGATATGACAAATAAGGCAGAAGAAATGGGCCATTGATCAGATGGTTTATTTATGTTTGTTGTCTTAGAGGAAAGAAGGTTTCAGCTATAAAATGAATGACCTTTAAAGTTTGTATGATGAGTAAATGTTATATTTGTTTAGATATCTCAATTTAAATCAACTATTTATTGCTCTTGCAAAATTTTGATGTACAATCTAATTTAACTTTATAACAGAAATAATGAAGATAATGTCAATATATAACATACTTTTTCATTAAGTATTTTCCTAAGAATTTGTATTAAATGTTCAAAGAGAACTGTTATCATTTAAAACATAATTACAAATCTCTTTACTATGATATATAGCGTTCAAACAATAAAGTTAAAAGCATGAATGTATACACACATTTTTAATATTTTCCATTAAGGTTTTAATCATATATGTGAAAGTCTGATTTAACCTTTTCTTAAGATGAAGATGTAGTTATTTATATATACTTCTATGTAAACTATTGCATGTGTTTTTGATGTTTAAAGTGCTTTTCATTATGACATATATTATGTCAAGTGATACTTGATTGGTTCTACGTATATCATCAGAAATATGAACTTTTCTAGTAACAGGGGAGATAACTATAAGAAAACTGTGAGACAGTGTGTTCAAATGTCATTCTCTGAGAACTGTAAAGAAGTTACTTAACTGTTTACCTAGAACCAGTCTGACTGTGAATGTAAGTTTTTGTATGATACACAGGAGTGTACATGTATAGTGTAAAAAGATGTAAATAATCAAACACCAGTGTGATACATGTGAAGCTACATTTGTAAACTTTGTAAATATATAAAGTAGATAATAGTGTTCTTTTATATTTTAAGTTTATTTCGTTTTGTATATATGCTTACTCCTGAGTTCACTTTTTGTCAGTGCTTTTATCTGACTTATTTTAAATTATTTTCTATTATGTTGTGCAGTTTAAGAGTTTCTGCTATGTATTTTCTGTTCTTTCCTTCTTTGTCTTTATCTTCATTTCTTTGAACTTTATGTTTATTTTAAGTGCTAGTGAGAATTAAGGACCAAATATGCCTGTAATATGTATGAAGCTAAATTAATGTATGGATGTTCAAGTCTTTGTGCTTGGACTATTGACAAGTGGAAGGTTCATACTCAAGTCATTTACTATTGAACAAATTTTTAGTTGTCATCATTCAAGAAAATATTTCAATACAGGGTTTACTTATGGAATGAAGTTTCAAATTGAATTGAATTAACCTTGAAATTTTTCTGTTATTCATTTCCAAGCAAAATAATTGATATGAAGCTGTTTCAGAGTTTTTTCATGGTTTATAAAGGAAACTCAATTTGACTTAAAATAAGCTGTATTGCATGTTTTTAAGAAAAAAGTTATTTTTTTTAAAATTGAATGATTAGATTGTGTTTTCATTCTGCTTGTTTTGTGAATGGTATTTTACTGTCCTTTCCAGAGCAGACTCTTTTCGTTAAATTGTATACATACAAGCATTTCAAGATTTTATGCAAGTACCGGTAGATTAATATTGTGACAAATATTTATGTATGATTGAAGAAGCCCAATAATTAAATATCTAGTACAGTTATTAACACGATAAAATGTCTAAATAAAAAAATAATATTTGTTTGCATCTCTTTTTTGTGATGATGATGATAGTTAGATGCTTGGATGTGTACAGTAAGAGAAAGTTTTAATCCTATATTTTGCTTTCTGTTTTAATATACAATGTGATATTTTATACCTGTCAGTTGTGGCACATTAATAAAATGTTGGTTCATTTGTTACATAATGTTAATGTATGGTGTGTTTTGGATGATTGAATGAAACACATCACTTTAAAAGCTTGTATTAATAAATTTTCAGAAAGTTGTTTGTTTTTAACTTATATGAAGACCCAAGCCAAGTGAAGCATCATCAGCTTCACAGTCTGAACCAGTTTATTTATACCCTTCAAAGAGTGTATGGTATGCTGCAATGACCTTGTCTGCATGTAATTTTTGTCTCATATTAAAGTTTATGGTTTACTTCAGTGAAATTGTCAGTCTGTAATTTTTTTCACCCATTTAAAAGGTGGATGGATGGTATACTGCAATGGCCTTGTCTGTAATTTTTTCACTTATTTAAAAGGTGGGTGGATAGATGGTATACTGCAATGGCCTTGTCTGTAATCTTGTCACATATTCCTGGGCTTCTGTTGGTATTTGGTCTGGAACTTTATAATATTGAGATGTACTGTGTCAGCCATTTTCAGATCTGCTTGGCAGTTACTTACAGTTTGACGATTCTTTATAAAAATAAGTAGTGGTATGATTGTGAATTTGACAACTATCCACCAGAGAACAAATGACTTAGATGTAAGCAACTATAGGTAACCAATAGTTTGTTTTATCATTATATCCACCGAGCTAGGATTATACTTTGAAAGACATCATGTGCAATTCCTGTGTATCAATTACTAATTTCAAGGCAGAGATAATTTACTGGTATGGAGTTGTTAATTCTTATTGTCTTTTTAAAACATGTGTTTGGTCTTAAAGAATTTTTTTATTAACTATCTAAACATAGGTCAGTGGCCAACATTCCAAATTTGCTGTATTTAAAGCACTTTCCAGAATTTTTTTAGTAGGAATGCTCAGAGAAAAACCTCAGTAAATCCAAAAATGTGTGAATACAAGAAGCTCCACAACCAACAGGCATAAAATTACCAAAAGCCATGTAAGCAATTCTGTGTAAAAAAAAGGTCTCTGTAAATACAAGAAGTTCTACAACCAATAACAAAAAAGTCATTGGAAAGTTGACATTGAATTGATACAAAATACCTGTAATCAGACAATCTGAGAACTAGGTATTTCCATGTTGATCCATATTCCTGAGTTCATACAAGGATTTTCAGATTGCTAAGTACATTGTTTTTCTCTTTTTTTATACCCCATCCACTTAGTGGTGGTGGCAACTAGTTTTACACATGTCTGTCATTTTGAAATCAAACAGTCTGGATTTTTGTTTGTTATGCCTGTGAATATTTATATGATTTTTATGCACTAGTAAGTATATAATGATTACGTACAGATCAAGTTTGCATTTAATTAGGTTACCAACTTTTAAATTTTGAAATATGTCTAAAATGACGGAACTTCAAATTATTGGATTACTTTTTTTTTGAGATCTGCAGTTGAAAGGAAATAACCATAAACAAAATAATCAGTTTTAAAATCAATTCCACCAACAGTAAACTGTTACAATTATTCACAAGTGAAAGTCCAGTCTTAATTGGGATGTTAAATCCATTGCCTCATGCAGAGAGAAAGCTATGCTCTCTGCACATTAAGAACCTTTGTAACAACTCTTTGAGGCAAGGCAAAATTTCTCTCCCTATTCAATAGAACCTCATTTTCAAATGGCAGTCTTCATCCTGGACAGCCTCTGTTACAGTGCCTATCTATTGTATTTATTGTTCATTTGTTTTCATCCTGAACATGCATGAAATAATTGCCACTTGACGTTAAACAACCAAGAATTAATCAATATTATTTTTAGCTCACCTTTCCAAAGGAAATGTGAGCTTTTGCCATCACTTGGACTCCATCGTCGTCCGTCTGGTGTAAACTATTTCAAACATCTTCTCTGAAACTACTGAACCAATTCCAACCAAACTTAAGCTGAATGATCCTTAGGGTATCTAGAATAAAGTTTGTGTTTTATTTTCTGTTTCGTCAAAAAACATGGCCTCCATGGCTAAAAAAAGAACATAGGGGTAAAATGCAGTTTTTGGCTTATATCTCAAAAACTAAAGCATTTAGAGCAAATCTGACATTGAGTCAAAATGTTTATTAGGTCAAGTTCTATCAGTCCTGAAATTTTCAGATGAATCTAACAACCCATTGTTGGGTTGCTGCCACTAAATTGGAAATTTTAAGGAAATTTTGCAGTTTTTGGTTATTATCTTGAATATTATTATAGATAAAAGATAAACTGTAAACAGCAAAAATGTTCAGCAAAGTAAGATCTACAAATAAGTTTATATGACAAAATTGTCAATTGCCCCCTTAAGGAGTTATTGCCCTTTAAAGACAAATTTATACAATTTATCACGTTTTTTAACTTTAAAAAATCTTCTCCTCTAAAACTACTGAACCAAATTAAACCAAACGTAAGCTGAATGATTCTTAGGTTATCTAGAACAAACTTTGTGTTTTATTTTCTGTTTCCTCAGAAAACATGGCCACCATGGCTAAATATAGAACATGGGTAAAATGCAGTTTTTGACTTGTATCTCAAAAACTCAAGCTTTTAGAGCAAATCAGACAAGAAGTTAAAGTATTCATTAGGTCAAGGTCTACCTGCCCTGAAATTATCAGCCAAATTGGGTATCTGATTTTTAGGTTATTGCCCCTGAATTGATGATTTTAAGGAAATTTTGCAGTTTTCTGTTATCTTGAATATTATTATAGATAAAGATAAACTGCAAACAGCAAAAATGTTCAGCAAAGTAAGATCTACAAATAAGTTAATATGACAAATATTCTCAATTGACCCCTTAAGGAGTTATTGCCCTTTAAGGACAATTTTTCACTATTTATTCATCTAGATATAAGAAGATGTGGTATGAGTGCCAATGAGACAACTCTCCATCCAAGTCAAAATTTATAAAAGTAATCTAGTTTGCTTACTTTAAAAAATCTTCTCCTTTGAAACTGCTGAATCAATTTCAGCCAAACTTGGGCTGAATGAGTTTCAGAGTATCTAATATAAATTATGTATTTTATTTCCTTGTACGTTAAGAAACATAGCCACTATGGCTAAAATGGAACATAGGGGTAAAATGCATTTTTTTGCTATTGAAGAAAATATGACAGATACAAAGAACATTTAAATGGCATTTTTAAGCCGCTCATTAATATATATTGAAAAGCAAGAATAATCATTGATGAAAGATTTAAGCTAAAAATTACAGGTGAGCGATTCAGGCTCTTGAGAGCCTCTTGTTTAATAAACCTCAACCCTAGTTCTTTACACTTATAAATTTCAGTAATGAGTAGTTCAAGGACTATTGTGGTCGTCAACATCATTTTTAATTTATGTGAAACAATCACTAGTATTTAATTAGCGAAGACTTATAGATTTGATTACCTTGAAAAAATATATTCACTGCTTAATACAAATCTGTTTATCTGAACTAATTTGTTGCATTAAATGGGATAAACCATTTTCACTAAGATTCACCTTTCTAGCTCACCTGGCTAAAAGGCTAAATAAGCTTTTCTCATCACTAGGCATCCATCATTGTCAGTTAACTATTACAAAAATCTTCTCCCCTGAAACTACTGGAACAAATTTAACCAAACTTGGCCACAATCATTATTGGGTGTCTAGTTTACAAAATGTGTCCAATGACCTCGCCTGTCAAGATGGCCCACTTGGTTAGAAATAGAATATAGGAGTTAAATGAAAATTTTGTCTTTAAAATCGCTATAAAAAGAGAAAATCTGACAGTGGCAAAATGTTCAGGACTTTGAGATCTACTGCCCATTTATGTCAAAACTGTCGGATGACTTCTTATAGGAATTATAGCTATGAAATGTCAAATTTTATCAATTTTTGAGATCTACTGCCCATTTATGTCAAAACTGTCGGACTACTTCTTATAGGAGTTATAGCCATGAAATGTCAAATTGTATCAATTTTTGAGTTAGTTTGATAGGAACTACTTGTGATAGATCATTGATATTTTGTATGAAGTTGCATTTATACTATCAGTACATACCAGTTAGATGACTATTTTGAGGCCCTGCCCCTAGGCCATGGTCCAGTGACTTTGAATTAATTAGCTATTTTCAATGTTAAGTTTTCTGCTTAAGTAAGTTTGATAGGAACTACTTGTGATAGATCAATGATATTTTGTATGAAGCTGCATTACAATCAGTACATATCAGTTTGACGACTATTTTGAAGCCCTTCTCCTTAGGCCATAATCCAGTGACTTTCAATCAATCAACAATTTTCAATGTTAAGGTTTCTGATTGAGTTAGTTGCATAGGAACTATGTGCAATAGACAATATATTCTATAAAGTTACATTGCTGTCTGTACATCTCAGTTTGTCAACCATTTCCAGGCCCTACCCACTAGTTGGTCCAGCGACTTTGAATTAATTAGCAATGTTGCTGTCCATCAGATTGGTTTTTTTCTGAATTTTAAGTTGACAGGCGAGACATATCTCTGTGTCAACAGTTTATTTTCATTTTTGTCTATTATTTTGAAAACTATAAAAAAAAGAAAAAATTTTATCAGGAAGGTGGGGCCAAATAATCTCCATGGTAATGAGATGTGCCAATGCTAATACAACTGCATACCAAATATCATTGACCTACCACTAGTGGTTCACCATGAACTAGACCTAATCACAAACTAATACATTGACGCTGCCATCGCCGTCACCGCCACCGCCGCAGACGCCGGAAACAGCATACCTATGTGTCGCTTTTTGACTATGTCAAGGCGAGACAAAAACTATAATATACAAAAAGAAACTTAAAAAAGCCAAAATTATCAACAAGTCAAGATCTAGAAATAAGTCCACATGACAGAAATTGTCATTTGACACCTTATTGAAGTTATTGCACTTTAATGACGATTTTTCCCAATTTTTCGCATTTTGAAAACTGTAATATAAATAAATAGATTGAAACTTTATATAATAAAAGTGATCAGAAAGACAGAATCTTCAAATAAGCCATCAAAGCTGAAATCTTTAGTCGACTCTCTATATGATTTATTTCCCTTTTAAGATGTTTTACCATTATTGGGAGTTTTTACTTATTTCATTGTATCTTGACAAGTGTAATAGATACAAATGTAGATAGAAACTTTAAAAAGCAAAAATGATTAGCTGGAAAAGATCTACAAATATGCCAACATGACTAAAATTGTCAGTTAACTCTTTATAGAGTTATTGCCCTTTCATGATGATTTTTACCAAAAAATTGCTATTCTTGAAGATGCAAGTGAGCCAAGCAGGCGCTGTAGAGCATCTACCGGTAGTTTAAAATGGAATAGACTCGTCTCTTACAATATTAATGGATTTATATACCATCCAGTACAAATGCACCTTTTTTTTTTTTAAATGAACTGGTCTACATTTTTCTGAGAAAACCTATGTTAATTCATAAATGATATTTTAACACAGCTGTACTCTTATATAATAAATGTTGTTCTGCAATATTCAAGTCCATTCTCAGAAACTAATTGCTACATATCAATGTTAAGTGATGTGGCAGCTGATGCATACATAGCAGGAGACAATTACCCTGTCTACGCAGCCAGACTCTCTCCTTTTGGAGTTCATGCAATACCCTTGGCTTTTGTTTGAAACCTTGATTTGTCTCTTTAATAAATTTACAAGATTTAAACATTGGTCAACTATTGTAGCCTTAACTTAAGTCATCCACACAGATTTCTTGGTTAAAGCAATGCTTTTTATCAACATTTGGGATACACTTTTATTAAGTTTTTGGATAGGCAAAAATGTCTTACCAGCAAAAATTATGGCTTCTGGAAAGACATGGATGCCATCATTTAAATCTCAGTAAAAGTACCAATCATACAATTAAATTAAAAAAATCAATTCAATTTTTGCTGCAGACTCGGTAGAAGTTTGGACATATGCTACTTTTTTGTTCTAATTTTGTGATGAGTAGAACACAAACAAAATATGGCTGTTTATATGTAGAACTGCCTCTGTGGTTGTGTAGTAGTATGCTTGCCTTGATAATGGGAGGTTGAGCATGAACAAAGACAACTTTTTAAAAGCATTTAATGGCAAAACATATATCAATCTGTATAAAAAAACACATACAACAATACAAACATGTAAGAAGTGACTGGAAGAAACCAAGAAGTGCTTCTTTCTTCACAATTTTGGAATGATTTCTTGTTACAAATAAGATTCTTTGTGCAAAAATAAATTTTTAGTGAAACTCCATCATAATTAAAAATATTATGCAATGGGACTATAAAAGCAAAGAAATCTTACTTTTAACTCAATTATAAATATTGGAATGTAATCTTTTGAAGTAAATGCTCATAAAAAAGAAATGTGAATTCATGGTAAGCTCATGTGGCCCATAAGCTCTGTCATTTGGGTCATTCCACTATCAAAAATGGCTTTCACTATAGCACACCACAAAATCCAGTGGTATAATCTGTTGTTTTGTTGTGCAAAACAAATAATTCCAAATTGAAGAATCTTATCGAAATTTTTAATTGTGCTAATTAAACATGATTTTCTTAACAGTTATTAATCACTGGAAACTACTCATCCAAAGGCCTTAACAATTAAAATGGATTTGCTATTTCTTAAATAAATCAATAACAGAAACAAAACAAAACAATAACAAATATTAGCAATGAAAGCATGAGTAAAGCACCTTCTTCCTTTTTTCAAACGAAAAAACAACTTTGAAAAATACCAGTCCTAATTACTTTTTAAATTCTAAGCCTTTTTATTATCAATTCCATGTCATACAGTGCTTCCCTCATTTCCGTAAACTGGAAATTTTTTGCACCATCTTTTATTCACTATTTCCTGACTGATTTAAATTCATGATTGTCAGGTGTTATTTTAAAATTTAGATTCCATGAAATAGTTTTATTTTTTGCTCATAATTCTTACCACTGAAATAGTGAGAATAAATCTTCCTTCACTATATATTCTTTCATTCTCTATACACAAATGTATAATGACCACATAAAAGAGGTCCGCTATTTTACAAATATTAAATTTTTAATTTTTCTGTGGAAAATAAATTACAATGTCATGAATTACATAAAAATAGAGACATTAAAAACACCACCAAGAAGTATATAAGATACTGATAAAAACATGTGATATGTCTACAATTCTACACACAACCAGTGACAATATTTGAAAAAGTATCAAAATCACACAACCATTACCCTTAAAAATCTATAAAACAATGGAATGGTGCCTTCATGAATATGGCAAGTATAAACTACTAGCAATGTTAAGTGCTTCTTTTGGTAACAGTTACTAAAAATTTTCTTTTTTAGCTTTTCTTATTGGAATGAATTTTATCTTAAAGGGGCATTAGCTATTATTTAGACAAAAATCAAAAATTACGATTCTTTTAGTTTCAAGTATTAATAAATTTTAAAAAAGAATCTTGAAATAATATTTCGTTATAAGCAGTCAATTTGGTCCAAATTTGTCAAAATAAGCTCACAAACATTTCGCTGATGTATTATTGACTTGCATGTACTAGGCTTGTTCAGCTATTGAAAGGGAAAGAATGTCATTGAAAGTGAAACAAGTGTGAATCATTTGGTTGACTGATTCGATCCACAAAAAATCATTCTTATACAGGTAAAAGCAATGTTTAACATTTTTATTTAACCTATAATATGAAATCAAACAGACCTACAAAATCTAATTGAACGTGTTCGCTATCTATTCATTTTTATGTTTTTATGTTTATATTTGGTTATATGACAGTCGGCTGTTTTCGGAGGTCATCTCGATGGTTAATTAGGTGGTGTCTAGACTAAAATACCCTTGAAATGCTGATACATATTATTGAGTCCTTGCATTGTTAATTGTTCTTTTTTTAACTTTTGATAATTTGGATATACCTTTTAGTATGTTACAAATTAAATATTAAAATTTGAGTCAAATAGGTGAACACGAATTTGACAGCTAATGCCCCTTAAATAGTTCAAAGTTAAAGTCATACTCCCATGTTTCTGATATTCTGTCAAAATTCAAAATGACTAATTATTGATAGTTTTAATAAACCTATATTCTAAAACTATATTTTGCAAACTGGTCCTTCAATGGCAAGCTGAACCCCTGTTTATAGAGAGCATACAGGGAAACTTTTTTAAGTATATAATTATCATGCTTGAGAAAATTAATTTCTTAGGTGATTCTTTCTTAACTGTTTATAAAAAATATTTTCTTACAGGGTTTGCAAAATAAACCATCCTTGTTTACAGGAAAATGTATATAAAAGATGCAGTTTTACCTTTGCTTCTTCATGACAGGTCCTCATCTAGCCATAAAAGGGACCAGTAAAAAATAGAAGAAGTAGTACAAAACAGTCTCTGTTGGTGAAAACTGTTATTGGTGTGGTTTCTTCGAAATTTTCAAACCAAACTTGACTAAATGATTAAAAAAATGTTCCTATGTTGAATGATCAATGTCATTGTGCAAGCATGGAATATTGTTCAAAACACAGATAAGGAATGAAACATTAATATTTTCATCACATTTTCCACAATTTTAATTTTACTGGTAGTCATATATATATACTCTTGTAATTCGAAAAGCTTGTGTCATTAGTTTATCCAGTCTTCTGTTTAATATATGAACCTTGTTATATATTTTTTTCATAACGGCATAAAGTTAAAACATATGAAAGTTTGCATTCTGGATATCATGGGGCAAAATACAGGACTTCTCCTTTAATAATTGGAAGCCTGTTCTACATATGTATATATAAATTGTCTTTCAAGTAAAAAAGATACCATTTGGAAATTTGTCATTATAAAACACAACCATGGTTTAAATACAAATTAATTATTGGAATGTTAAAGAAAATATGCTTTTAACTGATATGTAAATATGACCACTTTCTTAAAAACTGACATATAAATTTTTCCACTCCATGATATGTTTGTACATGATTAAATTAATAAAAAAAGTTAAAAAAAAACAAAACATTTAGCTTCTATTGGGCGTGAAAATATTACTAACTGCTAGGAAAATTTGTTTAGCAGCAATGATAATAATACATATTTGTGTATAAATAACAAAACTCTAACTTTGTATATTCTTTTTCATTTTTTCCTTTCGTGAGTCAGGTTGATTATCTTGACCACTTAATCTCGTACAACACTGACAGCAGAAGAAATGTAAAAAGGTAGGAAAACAAAGTTATTTTGTTAATAACAGATTGAACTATCCTTAAAGTTTGGCTTGATAAGTCAACACTAATGCAAAAAAAAACTTGTGAACTAAAAATTTTGTTAAAGCTAAAGGTGGGATTTCTGGATTGGTCATTCTATGGTTAACAAATTATTTCTATTTTAACCTATCATAAAGAATTTTTCAATAAAGAACCTACATATCTGACAAATAAAAAACATTAAAAAGAAAATATCACATCATCTATAGCACAATAGAAACATACATAATTTCTTCAAACAACAAAAACATATTTCAATACAAATGTATTAAGAATGTCATATATTGCACATCTAGCTAATGAATCGGTTTCTAAACTCACTTGTCAATTTATAGGCTCTAGGCTATTGTACAACCAACCAAGATGACAATATAACATTGTAATTTATGTGATACTACTGATGTTTTTAAAAGTACATATAGATCAACATTAAAAAATACAAATTTTGAGTACATATAGTAACTTTACCACCAAGAAGTATGTATAAGATTCTGATAATAACAGATGCCTGTACTATAAATTCCAAAATTATTTAAATTAATGCTTTGTTTTCAATAATGTGAAAAATGCCAAAGGATAAATATTTCAATAATCAAACCTTGCGTTTCAATTTGCACTGTTAATACCCTTCTACAACATGTATAAAAATCACACTAATTTATCATGTGTTTTTTGCCTAAAAAATTGCAAGCACTGAATTCTGTATTTACAAGAATATATAATATATTGATAAGTTATTAAATTGAAATCATTTCTAACTTTCGTATCTTTCTGAAGTTACATTCTTCCAACTATGTGTATACATTGATCTCTACTTTAAAATACATGTTTTCAAAAACTGTGTAAGCTGCATTTAGTGACCATTACATTTGAAACTGATAAATTTTCATATTAAAGAGAGATACTAGTACATTTAATGCTCAGCTAATATTGTTATGGCTCAAGCTCATACATTATAATGATTTTGCAATAAAGCTAATTATCACCACTGAATAATTATTTTTTCTTAACTCTTTTACTGTTTTATGACTTTTCCCTTTTTCTACAAACCATTCTGAAGACTTCATAATAGTAATGATAATAATACAATAATTTACATAATTTGGCAAATTGAATACAATTAATCTCATGTTTTTTAACAGTTATTTTCTCTGTGCCTTCTCCATTTTTCTATGGACCATCCGTAAGTTATCCTTGGTGGTATCTAATGATGGATCCAACTGTAATGCTGTGGTATAAGCTTTGACGGCAGCTTCAAATTTACCCCATCTGTGGTACAAAACACCTGAAAACAGAATTTTTCAACATTTCAGTGGGATGTGCACATAATTTTTTTTACTGTATTGACATTTGGTCTGTACAGACCTGTGACCAGCTACCTAAAACAATCAGCCACATAGGCCAATCAGCTCCCTAGGTGACTCAGTAACATAGACCAATAACTTACCTTGGGCCATCTAGATTACTCAGCCAACCAAACCATTTAACCACTTAGACCCTTACTAAAACTAACGCTGTCTGCATAGTATGACATATACCCCCTGCACATGCATTTTAGTTGTTGCACGGCAGCAGATTAAAATTCAGAATCAAGACAAAGTGAGTTTTAGATTTTTGGCTTTCAGCATGTTCATTTTATATAATCATTGCCTCTGTGTGAGGTTGACACATGGTTACTGGTAATTCAATCTGACAGAATTATACTCAGGAAAAATGTCTGAGGATAGTCTATTGTAAATTCTGAATTTAATGATTGCATGTATTATTGTATTATTGCAAATACCTGACAACTGTCCAAATATGTAATTTTTTTTTTAAATTACACAAAATTTTACTGACATCAATGTCAAAGGTCAAAACTTAGGTCACAGCAACCTTTTTGGAGGTAAAAGGTTGAATTCAAGGTCGAATGACCTAGTTTAAGTATGTGACACATCAACTTCCCATACCAAGCAATCAAGGTTTTACTATCACAGAGGTCAACTGTCAATGTTAAGGTCACATGGACCAGACTTTGCAATGTGACACACCGACTTCCCATTTCGAATTCATATACATAGTCTGGTCAACCTAAGTTCTACCATACAAAAAGTTATGCAACTGACATGACATGACAACAGTCATGCCCCAGACACGAAGCAGGACAGACAGGCAGACAAAATGTGTCACATGGATAAAGTTGAAGACGAAGAACATTTTATATGTCAATGTCCCCTTTATAATCTCTTGAGAAAATAGTTATATGATAAACTTTTGATAAGTTGTAAAAATTTCGAAATGTTAAACACAAGTGTCAAGAAAACCTAGAGTTGTTGAAAATTATTCAATTTATATTAATAAATGTTTTGAACTCAGAAAACTATCAATATAGTACAGATATGTTTATATGTAACCCATTAAGAATATATGCCTGTTAATATTATATATAACTGTTATGCTTTTTACTTATATGCTTATGGCTCTGGTCTGGCTGTGGTTTAAGATCTTAGAATTGAGATGATTATATTCATATTTATATATAATTATCAAAATTATTGTGTCAATTATTAAAATCATTGTAATAAATTACTTTGCTCTTCATGGGGCCTTTAATTGGAATAAAATATCTTTAGTATCATATATCAATTAATCACAAGTTAACTATACCAATTATCTACAAGTCAAATAAGTCAAGTACACCTAAAATTGAGAATGGAAATGGGGAATGTGTCAAAGAGACAACAACCCGATCATAGAGCAGACAACAGCCGAAGGCCACCAATGGGTCTTCAATGCAGCGAGAAACTCCCGCATCCGTAGGCGTCCTTCAGCTGGCCCCTAAACAAATATGTATACTAGTTCAGTGATAATGGACGTCATACTAAACTCCAAATTATACACAGGAAACTAAAATTAAAAATGATACAAGACTAACAAAGGCCAGTGACCACTTAGTCACCTACATCAATCAATCACAAGTCAAGTACACCTAGACCACTTAGTCACCTACATCAATCAATCACAAGAGAAATCAGTCAAGTACACCTAGACCACTTAGTCACCTACATCAATCAATCACAAGAGAAATCAGTCATCTAGACCTAGACCACTTAGTCACCTACATCAATCAATCACAAGAGAAATCAGCCATCTAGACCTAGACCACTTAGTCACCTACATCAATCAATCACAAGACAAATAAGTAAAGTACACCTAGACCACTTAGTCACCTACATCAATCAATCACAAGAGAAATCAGTCATCTAGACCTAGACCACTTAGTCACCTACATCAATCAATCACAAGAGAAATCAGTCATCTAGACCTAGACAACTTAGTCACCTACATCAATCAATCACAAGAGAAATCAGTCATCTAGACCTAGACCACTTAGTCACCTACATCAATCAATCACAAGAGAAATCAGTCAACTAGACCTAGACCACTTAGTCACCTACATCAATCAATCACAAGAGAAATCAGTCAACTAGACCTAGACCACTTAGTCACCTACATCAATCAATCACAAGAGAAATCAGTCATCTAAACCTAGACCACTTAGTCACCTACATCAATCAATCACAAGAGAAATCAGTCAACTAGACCTAGACCACTTAGTCACCTACATCAATCAATCACAAGAGAAATCAGTCAACTAGACCTAGACCACTTAGTCACCTACATCAATCAATCACAAGAGAAATCAGTCATCTAAACCTAGACCACTTAGTCACCTACATCAATCAATCACAAGAGAAATCAGTCAACAAGACCTAGACCACTTAGTCACCTACATCAATCAATCACAAGAGAAATCAGTCATCTAAACCTAGACTAACAAACACTACTTTGTCTCCTAGACCCAAAGATTGTAAAGTACAGTTCTATCATATAAAACGTATACAATTTTTAAAGTCTAACCATCAAACTATTTTGTCAGAATTTAATAAGTCAGGGATTTTACAAAGTTTTTAGTAAATAGTCTAACTTATCAGGTGAAATGATGTTAACTTGATATCTATACAGAAAAAAAGCTGATATTTTTCTTACATTGACCTAATATTGTATAAATATGCTGTCCAACATACAAGTAACCTTTTCTATATACACTTCATGTATATGTAACATAGTTCAATAATACTTACCTAAATTGGCATACATTCTGGAATCTTTACTACTTTGTTGTATAGCTTTCAAGAAGACAACTTCACTTTCTTTGAACTTATCTTGTTTACCCAAAACATTGGCTAAGTTAAACAACAAGGAAGGATCACTGTTATATTGCAAAGCTTCTTTACCAACTTTTTCTGCTTCTGTGGTTAATCCTACAATCATAAAACAAAACAGAGAGCTATTATACAGTGTACACAAAATTCCTTGCAAATGTGCAATTACTTTATCAGTTGACAAATGAATATTGAAAATAGAGGCAATAATTCAATTCAAACTGTTGCTTGCAAAATTTTTTAACTAGTCTTAAAAACCATATAAATGTAATATTACTTGAATGAAACAGTAAACTTTACTTTTGATAAAACACAACTGAGCTTAGTCGTCATCCTGTTCTTGAACATATAAAACACAGATACATACCTATATTATCTAAGAGAATAACCATATTTCCCCAGGCATTTACATGGTCTGGTTTCTGTTGTGTAGCATTTCTGAAGGCTTGTATTGCTAATTGGTTTTTCCCCATCTCAAGATACTGTCAAAACAGCAAAACAAATGATACACTTTTCAGAATAATTCAAAATATGAAATTTTACATGTGAATTATAATAAACGAACTTGTTATAAACAGATAATGGATGGGTAATTTGTACTGCTGATTGTTTACAGCCAACACATCTAATAAAAAGGTATGGGGGAACATTACAGAAATGATATGAAAAAACTCTTCTTTAATAATAAGCAGTAATTTTAATTCTAACTGAGATAAAGAATACTTATCTGATTACAATAAAAAATAATGTTACTGAAGTTACTTCACAGTTTTAATGACATTAAATTTTAAAGAAATATATATGAACAGAAAAAAGCAATTAAGGATATAAGGACAAAGTGTAACAAAAAATGATACAAGCAAAGCAAATATGTCACCTTTATAGTGTAATTTACAACTAATCAAACAATAATGTTGTGAATAGTTCTGGAAAATCAAAATCCTGATAGCATGTACACCTTCAGGGTGTATAAAACATACCGCAAAGTCAAAACTTTTTAACTTGATAATAGTATGATAAGTTGAATGGACAACCCTTTAGTTGATACACAAGACAGATTAAAAAAATAACTACCATATTTCCAAGATTATAGTAACAATCTGGATATCTTTTTCTGTGTTTTAATGCTGTATAGTAACTTTTCTCAGCTGAGTTGTTTTTATGTAAAGAGGCTTGTACTATTCCAAGATTCATCCAAGCTGCTGCAAAATCATCTCTGAAATATAAATTTCCAATATAATCAACTTGCTTTACTGATCATGATTGAATTTCATGTTGAAAATCATTGAAAATCAAGATTTAACTTCTAGTATCACATAAACTTGACATAATCAATTGAACAATAAAAATGAGATCAAGGCCAGATGAACCCTGCTAGACAGACATGTACACCTTACAATCATTCCATACACCAAATATTGTGGTCGTAATACTAACAGGATGGTGGCCATATACACCAAGCAATTATTCTATTCACCAATATTGTTAAGCTTTGCTGATACTATCAAAGAAAAGGATCTTAGCATGTAAACTAAATGTTGACCATTGAACCATGAAAATGAGGTTACAAGGCCAGATGAACCCTGCCAGACAGAATTTAGCATCTTCCAATCATTCTATCGCCAAATATAGTTGACTTATTGCTTAAAGTATTAGAAAAACAGGCCTAACCACAAAAGCTTAATGTTGATCACTGATCCATGAAATGAGGTCAAGGTCTGGTGAACCCTGTCTTAATAGAAAATGAAAGGATATGGAGTAAATGTACATGGGACAAAATCGCACACAATACATAGAAAACATAGAAAATTATCAATGAACAGGGCTTTTATTCCTGTTCTTCATCTTAAAAGATGATGTAGGGTCTTCAACAATGAACGAATCATTCATACCCTACAACAAGGTCAAGACGGCCCCTAGCGTACCTTAAGGGGTACTATTGATAAAAATAAACCACAGTTCACCTTCTTGCTCCCCACCCACCTCGGAGTGCCAACTTGTGTGATGCTTGTGTACAACGGTTCTCCAGTCGAAAGCACCAGGGATACAAGAAAAGTGCAGTAATTTTGAAAGACATCGATCGCCGCTAAAATATGCCTTGAAGTTACACATGTCAGGAGTGGTCAATGAATTACATAATTTATAATTACAGGCGAGGTTTTTCAACATATATTTGTCATACATTGCCCAACAAAAGACCAATAATTTCGAAACAACAAATGATAGACAATACATATAAAAATGTCATGTGTAGTTGCTTACATCCAAGTTCTTTGGTCTCTGGTGTACAGTTATCTCATTGGCTATCATATCACATCTCCTTATTCTTATAACATATACCTTGCAATGAGTATATATACCCAACATAGTCCTTGTATTACTCATAATAACTTAAAAAATCATGTGATAATAACTATAAATTAGGCCAAAGATAGCAGACATATGCCTGACAGAAACTTCAGAGCATAAATCATTTATTTACAAGGTATGAAGTATTCAGGTCATTTATCTTCTGAAATATCAAACTTTATACAAATAGATAACACTGTCGTCAACACCGTAAGAGCATTCCTTAGTGTCGCAGACAAACAAAAACACTTTTCAACGCTGTAGCTTAGAAAAAGCTATAGGCCAGACTCATATTTCTTTCCCTGTAATACTTGAAAAGGGAAGTTTCTAGCCTATGAAAAATAATGTTTTTTTTATGAATTTGCATGTATTTTTAGAGAGTGCTTATAAGCAAACAAAACATGGCTTTACTATTTAATTAAACCAATACCACAAATTATAAAATACCTGATATTAACAGCTTTTAACAGCAATTTTTCTGCTTCTTTCAAGTCTCCTTTCTCTTTTAAGATATTTCCTAAATTATTCATTGCTTGGTCATATTCTTCATTTAATCTGAAGGTTAAATAAATAACCTTGTATAAAGTTTGATCAAATTCCAATACACTCAAACATCTTAAGAGTAATATAAAAATGAAAATGCAAAAATTATGAATTACAGTAACTGTTATGTTTTTAAATAATGTCTTAAAATTAACTCAATTTAAACTCATGTTTGATATGATTTTGTATGATAAAAATGATGTTAAACAGACTTTTAAATAAACATAAAAAAACATGTTCTCCAACAGTAGTGTGCTAAATAACAGTTTAGTGGGTTAGTTATGAAAATAGCTCATTATTTCCACAATAATTATACCATGTGTCCAATGAATACTCATCATTCTCTGAACACCTGTAATGGCTGAGTAAATGACAGGCAAACTAACATATCTGTTGTCAAATATATTTTTTGGTAGAATAGCTCTAATGACATAGATATTTTATGAAAGCTATAATAAACTACTAGTTGGCCATATTTTCTATAAAACTATAAACTCTGAACACTTTTAAAAAAAGAATTATTAAAACAGCATCTTTTGAGCAAGAAACATGTGATAAACTTACTCTATTGCAAGTCTGTATTTCTCTATAGCTATATCAGCATTACCTTTATCACCATTCAGCTTAGCAATATTATAGTGTACCTGTAATACACAACTTAGATATTCAATTTAGTTAGAATTTATCCTGTATAGAATTTATGATTATCATTTGTGCAATAAATATCTTTTTTGACTTTACTGAATTTAAACTTGAGGCTCAAAAGAATCATGTACTACTTACTAGGTACCAATGTATACTACTTAATCAATCATTGTAATAATACAAAAAGATTTCCATTTTAAGATGTATTTTTTCCATTAACCTCTAAGTAAAAATATGTTTGGTGATGGTGAGTTATCTCTGATTTTGTACATGGTCAATGTTAAAGGGAGTCGTATTCAAATTTAGTTTTGAGAGTTAGTTTCATTATCTCTCTTTTGAGATGTCTAACTTATTTTGTTACATGGACATATTTATGTAATGTACTACTTTTGTGTAAAATTTCGTAACATTCATCTGATAGTTTGGAATAGTTGCTCCTATAATAATAATAGAAAGACAGGCAGGATGATTCATATGTATACCCTGACTTTATAAGAGTATAACTATGGAATTAAAAAAATTAAATGCAACACCAGTTTTAACATAACTGAACTTGTATGATATGCTTTGTGGAGCAGAAATTGCTTGATTTCCCTGAAGTAATGGGTCCAACTCATGATTCTCTGAGGTTTAACTTATCTCTGTTAAAGCACAACAGGTATGTGTAATAAATAAATGAATTCAGTGTGGTTTGATTCCCATCAAGGCTGGTGCAAAGCGGGCAGATTAGCCTAATGGCTATGTGCTAACTCTATTGTTTGATGTCTAAATATAAAGCCAGCTAAGTCCCCGCTTGCTTTCTTCTTTCTTTCTTTTTCTTTCTAAGTCCAAAAGACCTCCTTTAAGGATAATAAAGGACAAAGAATTTGAAATATTTCTATATTTTCAACCACCATTCAGAATGTATCAACATAAAACAAACCTTTGCGTTAAGAGAACAAACTTTAGCACCAGACAGGAATAATGGCATTTCTTGTCTCCATTGGTCACTTCTATGTACAGATCTTATTACGAACATCAATACTAAATAGTATATACAATATCTAATTATCTGTAAAAGAAAATGAAAAGTTCACTAAAATAACACAGACAATTATGCCATAATGTCAACAATGAAGATATGTCATTAGCAACATCAGTGTACACTTCAATGAATATTGCAACAGCAGTGGATGCAGGAAAGATTATGAACCAAAGCGGTATGGGCTTTGCTCATTGTTGAAGGCCGTACAATTACCTATAGTTGTTAATTTCTGTGTCATTTGGTCTCTTGTGGAGAGTTGTCTCATTGGCAATCATACCACATCTTCTTTTTTATAATTGGGCTATTTTATTTAAATGTATTTTTAATATTAGGTTTTTATACGCCCGTCAAAATTTTGACGGGACGTGTTATGGTATACAAATGTCCGGCGTCCACATGTCGCACGGTAACTTGAGAACAACTTATCCAAATTTCATGAAACTTAACATAGTTGTTTCTTATGATGGTCAAACGACCTGTATACTTTTTGGTGAAAATAAGATTAAAACTTTTTGTGTTACGGGACTTTGTAACTAAAACAGGGGGTATTTTTTTCACATGTCGCGCCGTATCTCAAAAACGATTTATGATTATTGCTTAAAACTTTACACACTTCTTAGTTATATTAATCTAAAGGTCTGTATACTTTTTGGTGATGATTCAAAATTTTATTTTAGAGTTATTGAGTTTTTTGTAAAAAAAAAAAGGGGGGGTTTTCACATGTCGCGCCGTATCTCAAAAACAATTTATGATTATTGCTTAAAACTTTACACACTTCTTAATTATATTAATCTCAAGATCTGTATACCTTTTGGTGATGATTCAAAATTTCATTTTAGAGTTATTGATTTTTTTTTAAAAAGAGGGGGTTTTCACATGTCGGGCTGTATCTCAGAAACGATTTATGATTATTGCATAAAACCTCACACACAAGACAACAGGCGTATCATGCGCGCGTGGCGCAGCTGTTCATTTACTATGATGTAACTTTTGGGGATTTTTTCCTTTATATCTATGTATTATTAAGTGAATAAATGAATAAAAGTTGCTTTAGTTATTCCTAAATGATATACTACATATATTTTACCTCTCTTTTGTCTTTATCTTGGCATAGTTTACTAACTCCTGTCACAACAATAATACAGAATCCTGCTGTTGGAAGGTAAAGTGCACGCTCTGCTATCACAAAACCAACACGGAAAAATAAGTTTGTAGCTGGTAGGAATGGTATAATTAGGAATGCTAATGCCATTGTTATGTTTCTGTAAATCAATATATTCTATATCAATTACGTTTATTTGGAAAAAAATCAACAATTTACTTTTAGGTCTATTTCAAACAAAGATAAAAACAAACATTAACAATAGACAAATACTATTAACATGTTAATTTAATGATGTTTTCAAAGTTTACACAAATATGTGATAAGGATAGTACTTGATGAACATTAGGTAGCAATATACAGTTAGGAAAAAAACTTCCCCTTTCCTTGCTTTCTTACAAATTAAGCTTACTGTTTGTGTCATACGTATGTAATCAGTATCTTCAATAGATTTGATTTAAAATGATTAAATATATTTTCTTTTTGGTGTATCCATGGGAACATTCTGCATTTATTTACTATAAAATACTGCAAAAAGTGGTGTTAAGATGTCAAATATTTCCCCAAAATTTGGCTTAAAGTAGAATTTCAATCTCTTTGAATGATGCCTTTTCTGAAACTGTTTACAAATATCTACCAAGAGATCAAATAAAAATCATACGTCTTTCATCTCAATTTTTTATAAAATTGTGTCAAAAAATTCGTATGAAAAAAGTGTTCGTAAACATTACAATAATTTCTAGACCTATGGCCGGTCTGAATATGAAAATATGGACAGTCAAACAAAAAATAGCCTATAAAACATGTAAAAAATAATCTTGATGTTCAGATAAACCCACTTTGAAGGCCTAATTAGTCATCAGCTGTCTAAAAATGAATTGTATTGCACAATTACTTTCATATTTGAAAAATCCACCATGGTTAAAATGCAATACCACACTCTCATAACTGTGTATTGCTACCTTAGTGCCATTAACCATAAATAGGGGTGGGTCATCAAGACAATATTGTGAAATGGTTGTTTTGGTAAATTTCTAACTTCCACATCTATCTATTAGGAGATCTAACTACCTATGGTTCAGGATACATATCAGGGTATAACTGTTGGATATATGCATGGTACAAACTAGGTATCCTCAATGAGTTTCAGATGGGACTGAATGACAACCAGACAGATGGAGTACACCTGTTGTTTGACCTGCTCTCGCCTCTGACATTGCAAGTTAAAATTATGTTTATTAAAGACAGCTATATTGGAAGTCGCATCACCTAATAATAATTCTGAATTTCATAACTTGATATAGACCAAGTCTGGTTCTAATGAGTTTAAGGTAGATGATTTTATAAATGTTAATTTCTTTTTAAGGGAGATGATATTTTAAATGTTAATTAGACACGAAATGATCTCAATAGCTCATACTATCTCTTTGGGGAAACATAAGCTAAAAATGTTTTGCATTGATTATAGAAATAAGGAGAGGCAATAATGAATTGATGATCATAAGCAAGGGAGAAATAGTCAAAGGACACTAGTTTATATAGGTTACCTTTTCTGTTGGTTCAGAATTCCATTCAAAGATGTAAACAGTAAAGATGCTAATATTATCCAGAACACAATAACAACCACTATCCTCCAATCAGAAAGAGATTCTATCACAGGAATACATCCCATCGACCAATCAAAACACAGCCACCAGGGATTTACTAACAACCAGCTGTTTATACTGTATAAATAATTATAATTTAATGCCTGAAAAAAAGATTGATTATTATAAAAAATTTCAATCTTATCAATGTAACTGGTTAACTTCATCAAATCATATTTTTTTTTTAATTATCATGTTTTATCTTTAACTGGATCTCATGATTTTCACAGTATATAAGAGATTATTGACATAACTTTCATTGTTAATAAAAAGGAAGCAGAAACATCACTATGGTGCTAACATGGATAAATAAAAGTTGCAATTAAAAAAATAACCAACAATGTATATAAGGTTAAAAACACATATTGGAATACCATGACTTTATTCAAAATGCCATCTGTTACTGAAGTAAAATATATTAAGTGAAAAATTTTAAAACCAAATAAAGAATGTTAAGTTTCAAAAATTTAGAAATTCAAGAAAAGGGTTTACTAAGAATTAATTATTCTTACCCTAAAAAGTGATCCATTTACAAAGGAATGTGGATTATCAAAGACTTGGAATGTTGGTGTGGTAGAGCCCATTATTCTCCACCTAGTTGTCAGAATAATGAGTCCTGAGACCAATAAAATTATATGACGAAACAATAAACATTTCTTCCATGGTTTAACAAACTCCTGAAAAAAAAATCAAAAATATAGTGTGAAAAATTCAGTATGATTACAATTGAGCAAATCAATTCTTAGAAATTTATGCATTTTCTGATACATTGATGATTTGTACCAAACATCCAGATGAATTGGGCATTTAAATTCAGGATCTACATATAGTTTGATTGATTGATAATTGATAGCTTAACGTGACATCAATACAAAAAGCTGTATTCCAACAAAATAAAGTTTGATAACTGCTTCTTGTATGCATGAATCAATCTTGAAAAAATTGCATTAGCCACAATCCTGTCCTCTTCACCTCGATTGTGACATCACAAAACTATACTCATCACTGAATTTGTATTTACCACGAAGAACACAATGGATGCCACATGTTTAGCAGGTTCTTCTTACTGTTCCAGAGCAATTAAGATCAGCCCAGGTTTTGTATGGGTTTGTGCTGATCAGTTTTCTAAATTTTGATCGTTTCTTTAATGAGTCATTCTCTCCATACACATTTTCAATACATTTGTATGATTGTTGCAGACATAACCTCATCCTTTTTCCTGTAGTTGATACATTGTGACTTGTGTTTTTTTGCATGTATGATTTTGGGGGTTTTCTTCTTTTTTTTTTAGAGTTCAACTATATATTAGCATAAATAGTTGTTACATAAATAACGGGTTGTGCACTGTATTAAGAGCCGGTATAACTAAATTGAATTACTGTCATTTGACATATTTTCGACTGATGTTTAGTTTTTCAAAATTTTATGAGTATATGGAAATCTATTTATAGATACCTTGGAATTAAGTGCAGTTGTTATTAAGTTATTAACTATACTTCAATAACTTTAGTATAAGATTTACCTGCTCATCAGCTTTAATGGTTTCAGTCTGACTCTTGATGCCAATTATTTCTAACAGATCTATTTTACATATTATAAGTATGTCATAAGCACTTATTATTCCCTGGAATTGAAAAAAAAAATTGTTAAGGTTTTTAGTTTCATATATGTTCAGGAAAAGAACAAATTGAACAAAACAATACATAAATTAAGTAGGTACTGGAAAGTGAGTAAGTTGGGCTGGAGGGCAGAAAAAAAGGACCACCACTGGTAGAAATTGGGTCTTGCAATTGGCCACCTTCATACCCCTAGAAAAGTTTACACAAGTTTAAGGGTTCTTTAATAAGCAGAAAGAATTTTTGTTGGACAGTTTGTGGACACCATTTTGAAAGGAACCATTAATTGCACTGCATTTGGTCATCAAGGATTGCTTCATTGCAGCAATCAAATAGATTAAAATTGGAATAATTTATTCTAAGAATATTACACAGGTTTTTAACCAATACTACCATTTAATACAGTTGAAAATTTTCTTAAGTAACCTCCCTGTCTTAATATCTGTATCAATAATGAATAACTTACAATCACTGTAATCCCCTGTTCTTTACACATCACAGACAGAGCACACAGTAACATACTGGCTATTAACCATAAGATGGATGCTGAAGATGGTCGGTATAATGATTCATCATCAACATCTGAAATATTAAAACTCAATTACAGTCTATTTAATCACTATTACTGCATAAATTTGTTACAAAGCTCTAAATTTCTACTTACATGTTAACACGGTAAATTTCAAGATGCCTGTTTAGTTTTATTGTGTTTTGGGGTTGCTGTTTTTATTTAACATTCCCCCTACAACTTTTTTTTCATATTACTGTGGATTCATTTATTTTCGTGGGTACCACTTATTATGGATTGTGGAAAACTTGCCTTTTCTTGGATATGTGATTTTGTTGTTTTGCCAAATTCTGCATACAGCCTGATAGAAAATTTTTATTTATTGAACATTTAAATTCGTGGTTCATCTGTACTCACGAAAATTGGTATCCAACGAATAATCATGAATCCACAGTACTGTGCTTACAGAAAACGCTTTTACCTTTCAGAATGGACTGAACATTTTTTTCAAGTTGCAGTATGATCATTAGTTCAAAATGAATAACTGGTGAAAAAATGTCAGCTAATTTCAAAAGTAAGGATTAAGTTTGTATGCAGGTGCAGTGTAAAAAAATATTCTTGCAATCAATATCATCTATAATGTGTCAAAATGGCAGGAAAATATGATCCAACTACACATGCTAAATATGAGAGCTAATGAATAAAAGATCTCATAAGGGTTATGGTCAAAATTTATTTTCATGTTTATAGGCATACAGTGTTGCTATGAACATAGGATAATAGTCCAAAAGTCCTGATCATGAACTCCTGAAGAACTAACAAATCAAAAAGGAATGCTATAATGATCAATGAAGCATTATGGCAAAATATTCTCTAACATATCAGACACTGACCAAACAAATTAAAAGAAACGACAAAGATAACTGTTATAACCATACTGTATTCAAATATTAAATAAACCATTGTGATATCAATGGCTGAATTCATACATACATAATTAGCTTTCTTGTGTTTTATTTTTTTGTTTATATAATAGATATTTCATGAGATATAATGTGGTCACTAAAAGCCTACCTTTTAAACAAGCTTTGATGTAGCCAAGAAAAGACAAAATAAAAAATAAAGCACATAACAGATCTGCTCTTCCAACAACAGCTGCAATCTGTAATAAAAGGACATATTGTTAAAAATACAAACAAATACATTTTTTGACCTTAAAGTATGCTGGTAAATGAAAATTTTCATGGATAATCTGTCCAAATCATTAACAGCTTATGAAACCTAAAACAAATGCTTGTATTTTTAAAGAAACCCTGGGATATAAATTTAGTACTGCTACAATATGCATAGCCTGATTCAGTTGAAAATCACTCTTGCTGGTGTTGAGAGATTAACTTGAATCAGTACTACTAGGGGGGTGTTTAACGACCTTGACTACCCATGTGGGTCTCTCACAGTCAGTAAGAAACAGGGTAATTGCTGGTGATTTTGAATGATAACAATCAGATTTAAATACTTGTCATATTTTACCTATGTAGGATATATAGGTGTAATACCACCATTGATTTCCCCCTATTAGTCTTTGTTAAATATGCACTTTTAAAAAAATTGTGTAGAATTTATCTTTGTTTCAAATAAAGAAATACTTGGCATGATTGAAGTTTTATCCTGTCCAGTACTATAGAAAAAATTTCACATAACATTTCATTGCATATAAGAAAATAACCATCACTGGAAGTTAACCAATCAAATTTTCCCCCTTATTAACCTGTGTACAAGCTTTAGTAACCATGTAATCTCAAGTTTCCAAAATATTCTATAGAAACCCCAAATAGAAAAATAATGGTGCTTTGAAATACCCAAGATATATGTTTATGACCCAGAAATGTTTTACTGCAATGAAATGTAGGATCAATTACCTACAACTGTCAAATTCAAGGGAATATTTTTTTTCGACCTATTTTTGTATGCAACCGGATGTGACGTACTATGATTTGGTGGTATTACACCTAAAGACAGATGTGTCAATGTGATTCACTAATAATCACCATGATAATCACAATGATTTTAAACTGAATCAGTTTGTGAGTTCTATACCTTACAACTGTCCAAACTATAGAAATCCTTCTCTTTAACCCTACAGTATTCATATTCGACATATGAGAAACATGTCACGCATACAAAATAAATTTTAGAAACACAACTATCAGCTGTCTGTATTTGTATCAATAGTTGACATAAATTCAATCTTGAAAATGTTTTGAAAAGATGATGACAAAAGTGGTTTTTGGTCATTTCAAATCAATTATCTGAAATCTAATTGCTGGTTCTGTGTAAGCTAGAAAATCATTATTTGTAACTCTCAGAGATAGTTATTACTTGATATTTGCTTGTTCATACCAAGGGCAAATATTTCATCCATATTCAAACAACTCAAATAATAAATCTCCATGACTAATTAAAAGAAAGTCAGTGGGATACGTACTGATTCAGTATGGACTGGATGAACTGCAAATAAAACACCAGAAAACAGTGCAGCTCTGGGACAACCAAAGATAGGTCTACCATCTCTGACCTCACATCCTGCCATCAGTAGAGAGAATGTGGCTAACATTAACACAGATACAATTCCATGGAGTATGATGTTGATGATGTGAAAGTTCATAGGATAGAGACCACCTGCTAAACTGTAACTCCATCTGAATTGATAAAATTAGACTCATACAGGAATATTGCTTCATATTTTTTAATCAACTAAATGGGATTTAAGAGGACTGATTCAGTTTTGCTTCATATTCTTGTAACGTTCCTTAATACAAGTACAATTGTATAAAAGTTTTTGCATATACATATAGTATAATATCATTTGACATTTTTGGCAGTTTCTTTGTGTGTCTTTATGCATATTTAATAAAGGTTGCCCATCAACATTTAAATCAGTCCTCTTACAAAAACCTAAAATGGTAAAAGTTGGTATTACACAATGTATCATCATTAATTCTAATTCACCTCAAATGAAAAACTCTGCTTTTACAAATCATGTAAAATATTTTATACTTATTGACTGGGTATGAGTGGAATAGTAAGTTTATTGTCCCCAGATGTGCATCTATTGCCCTGAGGCATAGCCGAGGGCAATAATTGTATCCGAGTGGACAATAAACTTACTATTCCACTCATATCCAGTCAGTAAGTGTTTTATTATACCGAAAGAGACAACAGACATTAAATGTTGGAGCTTAATCAACTATTGTAATAATAAAAGCAGGAACACAACCATACTGTTTAACGTTTACTTCATATATATTCTAAATGCTAAGGACAACCCTAGATATAATAGGTAAAACGTGACGTCATAACTCCCACGGTATTCTCAACATTCTCCAATCCCGTAGCTGCAGTTAAAATTCCGCGAAATATAATGATGCTTGCGGTCAAATAGTTTCATCAAGGCAAATAGTTGGAAACTATTGACTGGTCAAATAGTTGGAAACTATTGTCTGGTCAAATAGTTCAACGCTTGCAATTGAAAAATAGTGAAAATATTGTGTACTTATTTTATATAGAAAATGATAACTGAGGTATAATAAAGTTTCTTATCTTAAATTCAAAGTGTGTATTAAAACTGTTCAAATGGCAATATATTCTACATTTCTACTGCTCATTACAAATCATAATTTAAACAAGAATATGTGTCCATAGGAGACCATTCCTACTCTCACTCACATTCTCATATTCAGTGAACTGCAAAATATGGGTCTATATATTCTAAATAAAAGTTCACATCATACTGAATATGTGTACTAATTTTCAAGTAAAAGAGACCATACATCATGGTTAAATATCTTAAACAAAAACTTTAACCTGATGCAGGAGGGAGAAAAGAACACTGACAAACACGCTGACAAAAGAAACATAATGACCCACATCTATCATAGATAAGGCATCATCCTTAAATTTAAAAAAAACAAGCATTCTGTGAGTATTGCATGACAATACATAGTCCCCTACCGGTTAAACATTCATTGTAATGGAGCAAACCTACCACTAAATTCTTCAAACTATTTACTAAAGAAAAGGGAAAAAATCCAAAATTCATTTATCTTAATACAATGTCTTTAAAAAAATCTTTAAAAAAAAATCAGTTATTTCCCTTTGAATAGAAATCTAGTAATTAATAAGTATTTCATCAAAAATTTAATTCTAGGGAAAGTTAAAAAAATGAGTTAATTCCCTTTGAACAGAAATCTAGTAATTAATAAGTATTTCATCAAAAATTTAATTCTAGGGAAAGGGCATTAACTGAACAAGGAGAAAAGCTAAAATCATGAAAATCGAACTTGACCTGTAACTTGTCATGATAAAACAATACACCAAATATCAAATCAATATCTTCAAGCATGAAGAAAAAAAGTCTGGAAAACTGATTTGCCGGACTGACGGAAGGACAGACGGACGGACGGACGGACAGACAGACGGACAGAGTGCAAACCTAAATTCCCCTTCGACTTCGTCTGTAGGGGACTAATAAAAAGAAAGAATATCATTCCAGTGCCACTTGCCTCTGGCATGTCTATGTATCTCGCTCTGCATCACAGCAGACAATAATCAACCCCAATTATAATAAATTAATGCTAACAAATCATTCTGACCTGAATGTCAACACTGTAAGTGGTCTATATGACTTATGGCTTGTTTTGGAGTCAAGTTTTCTTCCCCAGAAGTCATGATGAAACAATGACAGTAATGGTGTTTCTGGCTTCAGATCTTTGTTTCCTGTCACTGCTTCACTATCGTCGAAAACAAAATCACCATCATAACTGTTAGCAAAACAGATGACAGCTAAGGTAAATATAACCCATGCAGATCTTTTAAATGATAGTCTAGGTAATGGGATAACATCATCCCAGGTATCTGTTGAAGGCCATGAGGGTTCCTCATAGTGTCCATTTTGTTTGAGACTTTTCCTGTGACCAATCCCATTCTGCTGCTGTCTATTCATGGCTCACATCCTTCAATTATCATAAAATAATACTGTTATTGTCAACTGATAGGTCAATTCTTATAAAAATCTTTTGTTTGCAATATATGGTTATATCAAGTTCATTATTAAAATATATTCATGTTTACATAACACAACAACTACAATATTTCATTAAAAACTGAATGCTACAAGACAAGTTGTTACAATTTGCCTTAAATCAAAGAGCCTTAGTTACACAGCAGAACACAGTTTCATACACAAATTTGGTCTCAACTAGGGGAATAGCTAGGTATTAACTGAAGTGTAGGTGCAAATTGCCGAAGATGGTCAATGCATTCCTGAATTAATGTGTTGTTCAGTTATTTGTTGAATATTTTTCTATATTTGAATTCTTGGATTACAGTAGTTATTCTGTATCAACTTGTATGATGCTACTCCAAAAACAGTTCTTCATATATGACATCAGTATGAGCAACTTACTTTTTAAAAAAAAGTGTTATTTTCAAAAAGCATTTGTTTATTCTAATAAAAGAGCAGACTTCCAATGTCCCATGTGTTGCACATATTTTATCTGTCCAAGGACAACAACTAAATTTTTTTATAGTTTTTGTTCTTAAAAACTTTTATAAATACAATGTATATTAAAAAGAAATGTAGGCTTGAAAGCATTTACAATGTATTTCTCCATATAATTAATATTTCCAAGTGGCATAACTCTTTTATAAATAGTTGCTCGGCACTGATTTTCAAACTTGTCTGAGCCAATGCTGGAATAAACCTTTGATATAAGTTTGATAAAAATCTGGCAAGAATTGAACATGTGAGAGCATTTAAAACGCAATTTTCCATGTAATTAATATTTCCAAGGGACATAACTCTATTAACAAAATTTCATCAGCACTGATTTCCAAACTTGTCCGATGGTGCTAATATAAACCTTTGATATAAGTTTGAAAAAAATCTGCCAAAAACTGTAACCATAAGAGCGCACTTATAAAGCAATTTTCCATATAGTTAATATTTCCAAGGGGAATAACTCTTAATTAAAAAGTTGATCAGCACTAATTTTCACACTTGTTGTAGACATTGCTGATACCTCTCATATGTCTGATAAAAATCTGGTAAGGATTGTACACCTGAGAGCACTTACAAGACCTGAGGAATGGTGGGACAAAAATAGTCATAAAATGTATTATTTTAAGAAAATAATACTTACATCTACTCAGTTCCCCCTGTTGGTCTCCTGTAAAATACATAATTTTGAAAAATCCTATTGACAGCATTAACAAAAGATATGATCTATATCTCGACACTGACACCACAGATAATAGGTGAATCAAAGGTGCAATTGTTACTGGTTATCTATTTACAGTCAACAATTATTATCTATAAAGACATGATTATCAAGTTGTTTTAACCACAAGTCATCTAACTCTATCTACAAATAAAACTTTAGTTTTCTAGGACTTTTAAAAACAAGAATTTCATTGAGAGAGAAATGCAATGGTTTTGTTTTATAGAACTGTAAACTGGACATGCTTATCTGGCACTTATCTTAGAATAACAGACTGAATACCAATAACCCTTTTCATACATGCTTGTGTGATCGAATGTAAAGTGCATCATAACTATTTGACCAAAATCAATGTAATATACATGTATTTTGAGTACAGACAAACCTTGGGGCCTAGAAATTTTAGTCTTGCAGCACCTAGATATACAAATTTCAATTGCATTTTGTTTTGCAGAAAGTTAAACATTTTCCTTGATCTTGATGGATCTTTTTTTTATTCATTAAACAGATTAAAGGTGCTAAAATTAACTAAAAGTAAATTGGCTAAAATATAAATGATGTGTGCAAAGAAAGAATACAAAAAGTCATAATTTTTAAAAGAATTTGACGAATAATTGTCCTGAAGACATATTAATAGTTGTCTTTTTTTCACTGAGGAAAGGAGATAAGCAACCAGTACAAACTTTCAAGTGTTTCTTTTCTTTTCATTGCATGATGTATTGTAAGAGGTCCAATTGGTTCTGCATGCAAAATATAAAAAAAATTGTTTAACGTTACTGTATGACTGAAAATATCTTCTTGTGATAATGCAGTGAAAAATATTTTAACATCCGAAACTCAAATGAAAGCAAATTGTTTTATTAATTTCAAACTTTCTACCTTTTTTGCACCCCATTTCAGACGTTACAAAGATTATTTTCTCCTATCACCCAATACACTGGTATGTCCTGTGAACAAAGGCTGAGGTAATGCATGATTGATTGATGTCAGTCAATGAAAACCTACTGGTATAAGATTCTTCACCCGTGTGAGTTGGTACATGTACATTTTGTACATTTGCAAGTCTGAAATTACCTTTTGAATTTCTGTGATTTATATTAAATCAAAGCATAATAGTTCATACCAATTTACAATGTAACAAAACAAAATCAATTTATAGCATACATTGTATATAGATATAAGAAGATGTGGTATGAGTGCCAATGAGACAACTCTCCATCCAAGTCAAAATTTATAAAAGTAAACCATTATAGGTCAAAGTACGGTCTTCAACACGGAGCCTTGGCTCACACCCAACAACAAGCTATAAAGGGCCCCAAAAATTACTAGTGTAAAACCAATAAAACGGGAAAATCAACAGTCTAATCTATATAAAAAACCAGAAACGAGAAACACTTATGAACCACATCAACAAACGACAACTACTGAACATCAGATTCCTGACTTAGGACAGGTGTAAACAAATGCAGCGGGTTTAAACGTTTTAATGGTACCAAACCTTCACCTTTTTTCTGAAACAATAGTGTAGCATCACAACATAGAAAGACACACTATAAAATATCAACTGAAATAGCTTAACTCAATCAAAGGACATATTAACACCAGTGAACATACACTGAACAAATAAATTTGACCTATGATACAATGTAAATACAAAATAAATAAACTAAGGGAAGAATAATAAAAGTAACATGTTATACCGCTATGAAATGTTAAACAATTTAAGAAAAACAATATGCTCGAACAAAAATATCAGCCATTTGCAATTACTTTAAACACAGGTAAATGAAAATAATTTTGTTGTTAGGTATACGTGTACAGTTCAAATAGAGAAAGGAAATATTTTTACAAAATAAATAATTTTGATGTTCATAGTACGAAGTGAAAATTTATAGTAATACACTTATCAAAGCTGGTATATAGACCAGATATAACCCTGAATAACATTAAATAACAAAAAAGCATTACAATTAGTATCAACAGGTCAAATAAACAAGAAAGTAAAATTTGAGAGTACTCGCAGTTACTGACAGCTAGTTAAAAGCCAAACACAATTAATAATAAAAAATCATGCATCAGACACTAAAATCAACTAAAACACATCCCAGGGATTTAGTACTTTAACGTCATGGACAGTCAAAGAAGACATGACTTGTGCAATGCCAAAAATAAATGTAACGACAGGCAGTAGGATAGTTAGTTTAACCTCTTTATAGATCAAAATGAACGTGGGAGTGTCTTTATGCATCCCGTTTGAAAAGAATACAAATTTAGTTATGCTTTAATTTGCTGATGACAAAATCGATATTAGTGCTAAATTAGCATACTTTCCTTTTTCGTTACAGAAAAAGGCTTTAAAATATAGTATAGTAATGCGTAACTACTGCGATTATTATATCTGCATAGTCTGGATTACATTTGTATCTGAATCTTGAAAATTTTTCTTAACCAATTCTATATTTTTATGAACAAAATTTTTCATACCGGTATGCAAAATTTCATTTTTGCATTGATTCAGTACATTGATGTTCCCAGAAAAATTTCAACTTTTAGCAACTATAGGTCACCTTACCGCCTTGATTAATGCGCAAAACCCATATCATATAAAATGCTATAAATGCCCTGACATGAAATGACAAAATGTAAAACAATTCAAATGAGAAAACCAAAGGCCTAATTAATATGTAAAACAATGAAGAAAAAAAAATATGATAAACAGCAACTAACAAGAACCACTGAATTACAGGCTCCTGATTTTGGAGACGCATATAGAGAATGTCGCAGAGTAAAACATGTTTGTAAGCACTTAAACCTCACTTTAACCTGGGACAGTGGTGTAAAAGATCAAACTATAAAAATCATGTTTTTGTCCCTTTAACTTTAAAAAAAAATATTGACTTGACCTTCACTTTTCTTTTTGAATCAAAGCTTATGAGTTACACAGATAATCAGATCTAATCCTCATAAAAGACTCTTTTTTTACAAAAAAAAACTTCTCAATTTGATTTGAAATTGATGGTTTTCAGCTTAAAGTCATTTATTCATAAAATTAAACAATGAATATTATATGCACTAAGATTTTCAAAATAAAAAAAAAAAACATTTTGCTTTATTTGATAAATGCTGGGGTTTATAGATGAATTGATTATTTATCTTAATCAGTTAGCAGAAGAAGCCTGATGAAAAAGTAACAGCTCTGGCTTGGTAAGTAATTAGCACAGAAACACCTGTTCATTGGTTAAAACTTGTCATACCACTCTCATGTACTTGCCAATCTATATCCAACTGATGACATTATGAACACCCACTGTCAGGGTTTACCTGGCATTGAACAGAGATTAAAAGTGTAAATTATCAAACAAAACCTAAGGAGAATCCAGACATTATGTATGGTCACTTGTATACAATACTATACTATAGTGTATGTATGTAAATAAAATGCTCCACAGGGTGCAGCTTTAAATGACTGCAGAGGTCTTACCTTAGACACAACATTCAAGCTTGATACAGCCCAGAATTTGGATTGCGATTTAATATTTGACACATCATAGGTTTCTGACACAGAATGAATGTCTAAGAACTTAAAATTTTGAAATAAGACATTTACCTATTATGGTCCAATATCCAAAATCTAAATACATGGCAAGATTCATCACATCAAATTCAATTTTTGATGAAATCAAACAAAGTTTAATTTTGGACCCTTTAGACCTCAATGTGGACCATATAATTAAATGTACTGCCAAAAATCCAAAATCTAAACACACAGTCAGATTCAGCATATAAAAGAATAAAAAAACATAAATGCATATGCAGCATATCAGATTTTATGTTTGCAGTTGCTGCAACAAATATCCATATTTATCACACACATATTTATGTTTGATAAAACCCAATTATAAGGTAATTTTATTGATTTACAAAAAAATCATGCATTCCTGTGATTATCACAACATAATTTTATTTCAGAGATTCACAATGGAAATTACTGCTGACTGGGATCGATATATATATATAGTCCTTGTCTTTACATGAACTTAGTGGGAAATGTATGTGTTGGCTGGATTGTATTGATTGCTTTAGACAATATATGTCTTCTCAACACTAGGTGATTTAAAGAGTTAAACATATAGCTGAGTGAATAGTGTCAAATAATGTGTTTGTATATTTTACTATCTTTAGTAGTGATGAAAAAAAATGAATCTCAAAATTCAAAAATGAGTTGTCCCAGGTAAGGGTTTGGCGCCAGCAGACTTGTTCAACCCCACCACATTCTATATGTGCCTGTCCTAAGTCAGGAGCATGAAGTTCAGTGCCTGTCATTCAGGTTCGTGTCTGTCATATTTGTTTTTCGTAAATTGTTTTGTCATAAATTAGGCCGTTAGTTTTCCCAATTGAATTGTTTTATATTTTTCATGTCAGGGCCTTTTGTAGTCGATTACAAATGTATATGGTTTGGTGTTTTCATTGTTAAGGCCATACGGTTGCGTTTAATTGCTTACATCCACTTCATTTGAACTTTGGTGGATAGTTGTCTCATTGACATTTCATACCACATCTCCTTATTTTTATATTATTTTTCTGAAACTAAAAATGAAAATTATTCATGGAAGAAGAGTTTGTTTGATTTGTACCACACTGACAGACCTTAAAACACATGATGGTCGATGAATTCTTTTCAAGTTTTTGTTCCTTTGCAGGATTTTTTTAAACATCTTAAAGGAGCTTGCAATTTACAGCAAATTTGTATACGAGGAGCATACGACTTCGTGCATCTGATTAACAAAGAGTAACCGTGGTTTTGAGGGCTCATTAGGTATCACCTGTCTCATTTTATTTATCATTTGCTGCCAGGCCTTAAAATTTTCAAGTTACACAGGGTTTTCTGTACACAGAATAAATTTTGTAGTGTAAACACAGCTGTTTGTCAATGATAAACTTTAATAGACCTGCTGTGCGTTGGTATAACTTATTAGATTTTATTCTAGTCAGTTCAAAATAGAACAACCTGATCATTTAATAGAACATCATATTTTTATATAACTGATTTTAGCTACTATGTTTATGTACCTTGGAAATAGAAATGTCAAAACTCGTTTCTTAGTGGCCGCAAGTATCATCGAAAAATGTAAAACCGTGCGTGCAGACCCCGAGCACCAAGAACGCAACATCTTTTACGTTACTTTGCAAAAAAGTAATGTATTGAAATAGAAATTTAGCCTGTTTTAAAAACTAAGCAAGGGTCATTTACTATAATTACCCTTTGACTTTGATGGGAAACAGACAGATCAGTCACGTTTCGTTTGTCAGTTTTTAGGCATTGCTTACGACATTGAAAATAAGAAAATAAATATTGTCACCCCGATATGGTTTATAAAACAGCTTCTGCTTCTGTCGTTAGGTGGCTGCCATCATTTCTGATTATTCTGCCACATATAATCAAACAACGGTGTGTACATACGCTTAGATACAAGGAGTATTTTTTTTAATTTTCAAAATTAATTATCATCTGAGACTGAGCTATTCCGAAACGGTTCTCTAATTTATTAATTTTAAGAGAAAAGCCTGTGACCTAATTTAATGTTTTATAACATCACATTTGAAACTTTAAGCCTATCATGAAAAATGAAATAAACACTTTATAAATTTCGTGCGTCCATAGCGTGTTTCTGGATTGACCTTTATCGTGAACGCTCGAAACCTACGGCATATTTGAAAGCAAGGGATGCGTAAATATGCTGCAAATGTCAAGAGCTTTACGACCAAAAGGACATGAACAGAAAGCCAAATAAGAACAAATATAATAGTCTCATGTATCAGTAAAAACAAAATAAAGCAAAGATTTCTAACAAACGGTGCAGCCTATAATTATTGGGCTAATCTCAGATTAAATAAAATGTTTTGACTTATTTAAACATTTTTTTTCTAAAAAGAAATATACATATATAATGTTAAATCGGGGAAAAAGTCTTGCTGAATCCAGATTTTTTTTAAAAATTTGATTCATGACTTAAACATAAAAAAAATGCACATAAAAATATGTAAAAATGAAAAACGATTACATTTTACATTAAAACGATTAAATTTGACATTAAAACGATTAAATTTTACGTTTCCATTTTTTTTTATTGTTATCCAGTCCGAAAATGAAAAACGAATACTCATGAATACTCCTTAAATTGTATATACAAGGGAAAATAGCAAAAGCTTGACTGTCCTGATATCCACAAGGCTTCTTTTTCGGTTGTTTTGGTAAACAAAACGTTAAGATCATGCAGATTACACGTTGTTTGCCCACGTCTGGCATCTTAGACAAATGTAATACCCGTCATAAAAGCCAAAGAGTGCATTACAGTTTTTATAATACGCACACGTATTACAAAAATGTTTAAAATCAACAATATTTACACAATTCAATATCTGGTTTGAATGAGTTGAGAGAGAACACTTGGTTTGTATATGATCTCTGAAGCTGTAAAATATAGTTGACTGTACTGCAGCTGTTGGTAGTACCTTCCACTGGATGATGATGTGTGGAAAAAATACCATTTATAATATATGTCCTTTGTAGTTCGTATATGTCTATATGTATTTGGATAATTTTGTCTTGATCTTCTATCCGTTGGTATCAGTATTTCAGATGGTATGACAATGAGATTATTAATAACTTTTCAACTTATTTTACTTAGATTTAAGGCGGCGTTCCACCACTGTATGTTACTGGAACTGACATGGAAGTACGGATATTGTTTTAATTAAATTTCTTGTTACAAAACATAGGAAATCCTTTTATAGTTTTGGTTCTTTTCGGTTATATCTTAATCGTTTGTATTATGTTTTTGATTTTAAAACATTTTGGTCTCGAGTATCATTGCATAGAAAATAATTGTTGGTGCAGTAAGATTGGTACCATGTAAAGGTATTGCTAAATATCTACCGTGCAGTGTTTGTTATTTCTTTTGTTCGTTTTGCATCACTTGTGTGAAAAGCTATATTAAAGTTTAGGTCTTACTATTGCTTGGTATGGTCTGGTTTTGATGTATGTGTTGGATATTTTCAGAATTCTTTTAATCAATCCTAAGATTGTTATATTGTCAAAAAGTAATTCTTGGTTATATAGTAACGCCTATACTGTATATTTACCAAATGTAACGGTTTCAAGCATGCGGTTAATTATATGAGATGTTCAATTAGCCAATCTGCCTCCCACCTTGCTGCAGCATCTAGATCTTATTGTAGCTTATTTCAGTTTTCTTGAGATTTGATTTACCAATATATAATACTGTCATCAACAAATAGTCTGAATTTGCTGTGTGTTAGATATTCTTAAAAAAATCATTTACCTTTTTATTCTTAAAGTGTTGGTAAGCGCAAATGAATACTATTCCTCAAATTGTCACAGTCTAGTTGCTATCATTTACATAAACAGGCGAAGCTTTTCTAAATATATTAGCACATGTTTTATGTAGGATAGGGGGTGCCGAAAGATTTTACTACAGGAGGTAAATAACTGAGACAATGCGATGAATACAGCTATTTGCGCTGCTTTTTACCTCTAAATGACTGAACCACATGAGTGTTTGCTTTCTCCAAAATATAAACAGCAAAGACCCCCTGAACTCGACCTTGTTCTGGTATTTATTCCAAATTTCTCAAGAAGCAAACCTTCTAAACTAGAAGAAAAATAGTACGCAAAACGCAAATCTGATCATAATCAAATCTTCCACTAGCTCTGTTAGATATTTTGTCACTCGTGTAAGCAATACAAGTGAAAGATCAGATTTAAATCAGATTGGCCAAACGGTAACAGAAAACATAGGACTCAAAACGGCACTTTCCTAGACAAAAAATAGGTAAATTATGTTGTAACGGTACAGTTCTTAACTAAAAGTGAAAAATGTACACTAGTTGTTCATCTAAATAAACTTACACTATGAATAACTATAGAATTACTTGTTACAACTATCAAAATACAAAAGTGACAATAGTTTATGACTTGAGAAGATAATTTTACTATCATTGCACACATTTGCAACAAATGCCATGGGAACTGACCGTAGGCACAAAGTGTAAGAGGACATGTTTTAAGTTTCAGTAAATTGAAAAATTCGAGATTGATTTTATAGAACTGTCATCATTCCGTAATACTATAAATATACCACATCTCCTTATTTTAATATTATATACCTGACTTTTAAACTGAACATGCATGCACTATTTGTCACTGGACGTTAAAAATAAGCAACCAACAGTCAATCAATTAAAACTCGTGTTAAATAAGGGTAAAACCATTTGATTTGGGCGGGATTTGAATATAATTTGGTGGCCTGGTAAGAACTGAAAAAATAGGCATGCTTAGCGACAGATTAAAATTAATGATAAATCCGCAAAAAATCTCCTGTCCCCTCCCCCTCCCCAGAATACCAAATAGTCGTACCCTTACTGTTATTGTCCGTGTAGCTCTTATTTCTATCCAGCTTATCGTCCCTGAATGCATTTCCTATGGCTTCCATACCATAAAAACGTTTATCACTCAGCTCATATTCTATTAGATCTGCATTCTTAAATTTATAGTGTCATTTAGACTAAACGACGCCATGTTTGTTATGTGCCTCTGTCGTCTAAACTACCTATTTAAAAGGAAGAGGTAGAAGACAGCCAGAAGATCTTTCCAATGCAAAAAAAAAACAGAAATGGACCTCCTCTGGGTCACTACAGAAGAACAAAAAAACACGCCTCTGTTTTTCTATAGCTCTGCTGGGGGCAAAGTCGTACAAATAATTTTATTTGAATACTGTAACAGATTTCACAAGAGATGAGTCAATTGATATCGTTTTTGGGATTTTCACTTTACATAAGGCTTTCATCAGTGCGCCTGTAACTCATGTACCCATGAGTTGAACAATCTGGTAATGGACCCATTTTACAGCACAGGATTTAGGAATAAAAGGATACAGATTTTTAAGTGCTATTTTGGAGTAACTTATGAAATATCTAAAATTACTTGATAAAATTTTCAACAAAAAATGACCTTAAACTCTTCTAACAATTAAATGGTCGGCTCAAAAGTCCAATTCTTTCTAAAAAGACGAATTAAGAAAGTAAACACATTTTTTTTTCTAACAGTAAGAGAAAATGCTTATTCTATAAGCAAGGTATGCCGATTCAAGCAATATGTACCAGTATATGTTCAAGTGTTGGTGTTGTTTGACATAGATACTATGATATGGAGATCTTCAGAACTGAGGCTACACCTTTGACTTTTCTCATCCCTATACTACTTCCACTGAAGAAAATATCTTTATCGATCGTATTCCGATGACATTTTACTGCTCTTATAGCAGATTTGTTTTTCTAATGTTAAGAATCGCAGCTTATGACTCAACTTCATCCAGAATCAACAAAATCATAAAAATATGCAGAAATTTAAATGACATCTTCCCTATGAACCCAGTTTTTTTTCTAAATGTACTCCTGAAATGTATCCATCTTTACTCATTCTTACTAAATTCAATTCTGAGCACGTGTTCATTAATATATGCATACTTTCAACTACAAAATCCTCCTACAACAGTAATATTACAAAGCAGAACGACTGAACTATGCGGTCGCTATAACGACTCTTGAAATGATTGATCAACTTACTTGAGTCATTTGAACTCTGTCATAGATCATAAGTGTCAGATATTGCCCATTAATTCTTCATTGAGTTATTGTCCTTTCATGATGATTTTTACCAAAAATTGGCCATTGTTGCAGATGCAGGTGATCGACACAGGCTCTTTAGAGCCTCTGATTTATTCTACCACTGACTGGCCACCGTCATCAGGTTAATGCATCAGTCACATTGATTTTTCATGTCAGCACAGAAGTGCTGACTGCTGGGCTCGTTATACATGCACTCGGGGAAGAAACGTCCATCATCAGTGGGCCATTAGTTTCAGAGGAGAAGATGTTTGAAAGCTATTAGGCATAAACGCAAAAAGAATCGTAAAAATCGTAATTAAAGGGCAATAACTCCAATAAGGAGTCGTCTGACGATTTCGGCTATATTGATCTAATTGTAGATCTTGTCTTGGTTATCATTTTTCTTAACTGAAGTTTCTCTGTAACTATTATAGTTTTTAAAATAATAGGCAAATGAAAAAATGGTAAAATTTGACATTGAAGGGCAATAACTCCTAAAAGAATTCGTCTAACAGTTTTGACATACATGGACAGCAGGTAGATCTCAACATTCTGAACATTTCTGACCCTGCCAGATTTTCTCTATTTATAACGGTATCCAAAATAGTAGACTTAACTTTCATTTTACGCCAATGTTCTATTTTTAGCAATGTCGCGGACTATGTTGGTTGGCAGGCGGGGTCATCGGACCCTTTTTTTAAACTAGATAACCCACAAGTTTGAGCTTTTTTAAAAGCTGTGGACTGCGTAGCTCTATCCTAATTTAAGGTAACACGTGTGCATGTGGTTGTTGATTTAGTATTGGAAATGTGGTATTTTTAGATATTGATTGATATAAAATGGATGTCTTAGAAATGGAATATCAATTTTTGTATATATATTAAGATAAACTTTTCTAAAATTTTAAACTGGCTGTTCAGTGTTGTACGTTATACACCCATGCTTCGATTTACTTGTTGGAATTTAAAACATTTACAAAACACGACTCTCGGTGTGTGCCTCTCTGGAGGTGTGCCCAGATTGGCAGAAGTTATAAAATACAGATAATGCATTTTTGTAAACATTCTATAGGAACATTGTTTAGCTAAACAAATCGTGCATATTACAGATTAACAAAGCAAATAAACAGGTGTTAAAAAATTTATATTTCAATATTGAATTTCAGTGTGCAATATTTGCATAATAAAACGAACATGAACTTATAACACTTGATCGGAACTGAAATACACATAGTTAATTTTCCGGCATTTGATGTCTTATCCTGAGACGAGAAAAGTCTGTAATTCTTTATCTCATTTAAGCCAATAGCTGTTGCTGTATCTCAGCCGAATCATAAAGCCACCAATCAGAATCTTTATGTGATAAGTAATTATTTCAAGATGGCGTGTATATCGACTGAAACTAATAGCTCCGCACCGTGATGCGAAGCAAAAAATTATTGTGGCCAAGTTTGGTTAAATTTAGCCCAGAAGTTTCAGAGGAGAAGATATTTGTAAAAGTTAACGACGACGACGGACGCCAATTGATGAGAAAAGCCCACTAGGCCTATTTGCCAGGTGAGCAAAAAAAAAGTCGAAATGATGCGGTCATTTTCTTTTCACAAAATTTTGCACTCCGGTTTTACTGGCAACATTTTTCGGTATTTTAGGTTTTCAATCTCTTCAACTTCGTGTTACACTAGGACTTGAACTGTTTTGACCCAAGCGCCACTGGCGAGTCTTATGTAGTTGAACTGCACGTCTGGTTAACAAATGATAAGCTTGGTATCTCTGTGGAGTTTTCATATGTAACTTTCAGGGTACAAATAAACATAAATATATCCTGTTACTTTGGTATTGTTTGGTAAATCTAGCGTGAATTGTTTAAAAATATTGTTTGTGTAGTACGAGGTTTGTCTGAATTTTGATGTTCGTTTAAGTACTGTTTTACGTTCTACCTTTTTAGTTTTATATCCAATATATCTCATGTTTGAAGTTTGAATTGTCTATAGTTTTGTAATTCCTTAAAAAAAATAAAGAAATAAAAAAAGAATAAAACAATGTAACAGATTATTTTAATACTTTCACTAGACTGTAACAACAATTTTATAACGAATCACCATAATTTATAAACATGAAAATAGACAAAACATTCAAATATCAGCAGAAACGTTTGGCATGAATTGAAAGATGAAATCTAGAGTTATCCATCTAGATTAAGCGTATTTCGGATGTCTCATTTTGTAACCCAAATATGTGCAGTATTTTTTCCTTATATGTATTTTAAAATTATACGTGCCCTATTTTTTTTTAACTTAAACTAGAAAGTCAATTGTCAGTGACAAAAGTGACAAAACAATGGAATACGTTTTTATGTTAGTCTAAATTATTCACATTTATTCATTTTATTACTATTACTAAATACTTATAAATATCCTACGTTTTTGGCAATAGGCAAGCAATTTTGTCTTATATACCATTCTGTCTATTCAGATTATTGTCTCATACGTACATATTAATGATTTTTTTAATGCTTTTGATATTGGATGATCATTTTTTTATGACGAAATGCTACATGCATGCATTTATAAGTGCATCAAATCGTGTTTCATTCAACCACTGAACATTTATAAATAAAAGAGCAAAAATTAAAATCTGAGGGAAATAAAATTGAAATATTTTGCTCGTAATATTGGGAATACACTAAATATGTAGTTTTATTTGTCAACACACAGCAATTAAATTGCATTCAATTATATTCTATTATACAATAGATAACATTGTTAACAACTTAACCAGTGCAAACATAACAATGTGCTTTATCACTACAGTTTTGCTACATACGCTTATCTAAAATCTACAGATTCCTTTTAATATTCAGCATAAAAAAGAAAACTCTGGTCACTAAACCACAGTCGAAACCATGTCTTTTAGATTGCTTAATGTTCAAAACCAACAACTATGAAAATCTACAAAATTTGAAGAAAGCTTATTTTCATTGACTTAGGATATTAAGCGCTGAAACCATTCAAGTCATTTTTAATATAAAACAGCAAGTTCTTAATATGACGATTCGGAAATAGTCTTACTTGTGCATCATCATATAAAAAGTTTAAATGACAAATCCGAACGCATGCAAGAACAAAATACAACTTTACAAGCATATGATTCAAGGCTGCAGTAAATTATCTATATATAGTTGGATTTCTATGTGCTCTTTATTTGCTACTCCGAAAATCTATGAAACACTAATAAAATCTATGTAATTTCACAAAAATGCACAAGAGTGGCCTTCCTATGACGTCATAACTACATTCATCATAGTAATTAATACCTGTCCAGTGTAATTCGTTCTTTCGAAAGGGTGATTACTTTCTTCAGTCCGATGATTTGGCAAAATATTCACAAGAATTGATCAAAGCGGACTTGGATTTCCAATGTATGACAAACAATCATAAAATGATTAAATTGAACTTTTACTGTTATGATAAAGCTGATTTTCACAAATAACAAAAAATGTAATAATTTACAGTGTGGTGTTTACGGAATTTGATATTCAACCAAAACAATGAAAAATATTGATTTTTCGAATGACCTGATAGTATTATACGAATTAGTTCATTCTACAGCTATATTTTTTTAATCTAACGCGATATATTAGTTTGTGGACTTGTCTGCGTATATTCGTCATATCCATATGTACCAGGCGGAATGTCGTCATCATTGTCACATGCGTCATTATTTACATCTTGTTCAATGTCTACCTCGTCCAAATCAGACAGATCTTGATAAGCAGAATTCGATGGAGTATCTATATTGTTATGCATCGTTTCTATGGGAAAGCCATTTTGTCTTGGTTCCTCCATGTTTTCTCCATCATCATCTGCTTCCGGTGAAGTGAATTTAGATTGAAGAAGTTGAAGTTGTGACAAATCTGGTATAGGAAGCATTGCACCTCGGCTGCGCCGTCCAGATGGTGATGGTGTTGTGTATTGTCTGTTTTCTTGGTCAATGAGATCAGCTAGAGACTTCTGGTCTGCAACAGCAGCTCTTCTTTTCTGTCTTTGTTTGATTATTTCTTTTAAGACATCATCTGTAAATAAGGTACTCACTTTTGATATATAATAACACAGTTATTATTCTAAATCAGCACAGGTCAAACAGTTTCAGCTGTACTCAATGTGAACGTGCAATACGCAAACAGTCTTATAAGTTGTAATATTTGATAAAGAAGAAATGTAACATAATGGTTGTAAAAGGGGTATATATGTTTTTATGATTATCATGAAAAAATATTGTATTATCTTTTATTTTTAATTTTTTGTTTGTTTAAATAAAACATTAGTTTCTGGACACGGTGTTTATTGATTTCAAACGAAAGTTGTTAATTGAAAATCTCAAATCATGCCATGAAATTCTAAAATCATATTTTTCTTCTGATTTCACAAACGTTTCCAATCATAAAACAAAATAAGTAAAATAGTAATTCATTGTTAAAATTAATTTGCATACAATCCATTTTTATGGTTATTCGGAGACAGGAAACGGAATTTTAATAAAATTAGTTTTGTTCACGCACTTTCAAATCTCTCACATAAAAACACACCAGGATCGTTTGCATTCTTCATAAATAAATATATTATGTTTGATTTAGAAATATACACCCTTAGGTTAGATATAAATGGACTATATACAACATAATTTCATGTTTACGGGTGAGAGAGGAGCAGCAAGAGACGTTTATCTTATTCTTAAGCCTCTCTTTCAAATCTCACTCGGACTGAGTCCACGATACATCTTCTCGTCTGACATAAATAAATCATAGATCTTCAGAATGACAATTCCTGTTTCTGTTGGTTTACTTCGATATCTTTTAATATTGCCCTATTGGAGTTTGCAGTTATTTACTAATCTAAACACCATAATTATCCCCGGTTACAAATGTTTAGGTTTGTTTTCGTATTTATATATCCCCAGTAACAAATGTTTAGGTTGGTTTTCGTATTTATATATCCCCAGTAACAAATGTTTAGGTTTGTTTTCGTATTCATATATCCCCGGTAACAAGTGTTTAGGTTTGTTTTCGTGTTTATATATCCCCGGTAACAAATGTTTATGTTTGTTTTCGTATTTATATATCCCCGGTAACAAGTGTTTAGGTTTGTTTTCGTATTTATATATCCCCGGTAACAAATGTTTAGGTTTATTTTCGTATTTACATATCCCCGGTAACAAATGTTTAGGTTTGTTTTCGTATTTATATATCCCCGGTAACAAATGTTTAGGTTTGATCGTTCCCGATGAAAGTCCGTAAATCCAGAAAAAGAGTTTCGGACGCACGAAAGTTATCAAGTCTTATTTTCATCATAAATTATAGAATTAATCATAAACATGTTCAAAACACTATGCTTTCTCTGGAGAGTATAATGCTAACGACAATAACATAACACTAAACAACAATATAGCAATTATTATTGAAACATCTTTAAGTTAGTGATTGATTCAAGTACACACATCAGAATAGTCCATCAGTTCTACTTTTTTCAAAAACCACGTTTGAAAGTTTATAATTTAAAAATGACAGCGACTTTTGCTTTTTATTGAAAGGAAATTTTATTCACAATTCAACTTTCCGCAACTTTTAATAAATTATTATTTTAGCATAACACGCTTGGTTATACAAAACCAAACTTTCTAAGAAATGTTCTCACACAATTTTATAACACATTAATCGAAAGTTATACAGTGAAGAAATTTTACAAAAAAATATTTGCTATTTTTATTAAGTTGCCAAGATTTCCAGAAACATTGACTAAATTTGCTGGGCTAATACAACTTAAATGTGTTACTTCAATCAAACTTTAAACATGCTGTAAATCAAACATACAGAATAATATGGAACGCCACAGCTGTCTTATGTGGAACTCTGATATTACTTTATGTTGTTTTATTATTACTTGATGATATTTTGTCTTTACTTAATATGGTTTTGACATTACGTAATGATGTTTTGATATAACTCAATATGGAATAGTCATTACTTAATGATATTTCGATATTACACGATATGGTTTCGTATTGACTTGATATAGTTTTGTCATTACTCAATATGGTTTTGTCATTACTCGATGTGGTTTCACCATTATTTAATGTGGTTGTGTCTTTAGTCAATGTGGTTTTAACATTACTTGATGTGAATGTGACTTAACGTTATGTAGTTGTTTCATTACATGATGTGGTTTTGTTATTTCGTAATGATGATTTGCCTATTCTTTATATGATTTTAACATTACGCAATGATGTTTCAAAATTTGACGATTTTACACTACATGATGTGTTTGTTTCATTATTTGATGTGGTCCTGTCATTCTTTGATGTGGTTATCCCATTACTTGATGAGGTAAAACCACGTGACCAATTCGGAAAAAAATATGTTCTATTTTTAAACAGATTTCAATATATCGTTTGTTTAATGTGCTTTGGATGGGTATTGCTATCCATTGAGTTAAAGTTCAAATTAAAGTTCGAGTGATTGTTCAGAGTTATTTGGTATGAAAAAGGGGAACGGCAGACAATGATAAGAAAAAAAGTATTAAAAAGTTTACAGTATTTGGGACATAATTGGGATATCCCCAAACCACTTGGTCCTGATGTTTTTATCCTAAGTTCTCAATCGGAAGCAGTATTTTTGTAATAAATTTGTAAAATATTCCACGGAACCATGTGTCTCGCCTGATATTGCTGCTGTAAGTGTAAAGGCGTCATGTTGATCGTCTGTACATTTATCTATACATTTATCGGTAAAAAAAAAATTAAAAAAAAAATGTTTTTCTGTAGATGCTTTTTCTTGAAATTGAGGAATAACTCCTATACAAGTTTTAAAACACTTCATGGACATGGAGGTTTACAAATTTATCATGTCAAAACAGTTTAATTCGGTTTTATTTAACTAAAACAGAACTGTATGGTTTTCAACAATGAGTAAAACCCATACCCTATAGTAAGCTATAAAAGGTCCCGAAATGAAAAATGTAAAAAACTAGAAACCTAACGATCTATAGATAGATACATAGATACTTTATTCTCTAAAAAACTAAATACAAGTTTGCAGAGAAACATACAATATAAATACAGGTACAATATATAGTCGAGGTAAACAAATACAGTATGATATTCTAAAAGTACAAAATTATGATGGCATACATGTTTAGTAACATGTATAATGAAAGGTTAAACTCAATAGAAATAAAAAAAAAATGGAGATGTAGACGCCGACGCCACTATCGACGACGAAATATAGGTTTGTTGTGTCTCACTGTCGTTACATTGATGCCGCAGGCTCGACACAAATCAAAAGACTTGAACTTTATTGTTAACAAATGAAAAACTTCAAATCAACTCACACTAAAGTTACAGGGAAGCGGGGGGAGGGGGGCTCGGACTAAGCGACAAAGCATCAATACTATGAAATAAGAATTTTCCGATTTTTTTTTAGCGTAAATGATCATTTGAACTTATACGAATATCAATTTCTTTATGTACCTGCCCCAAGTCAGGAGCATGAAGTTCAATTGTTGTCGTTGTATAAATATGTGTCATTTTTTTTTGTAAATTGTTTATTTATAAATAAGACCATTTGTTTTTTCGTTTGAATATTTTTACATGGTGCATGGTGGCATTTTGTAGCTGCCTATACGGTGTGTTGAAGGCTGTACGGTTGCCTATATATGATTTCTCACATCCACTGCATTTAAACTCTGTTGGATAGTTGTCCCATTGTCAATCACACCACATCTAGCTTTATTTCAACTTCTATGTTGCGTTTTGTATACTGTAACATTGTTTATCTTTTGTACGCATACCCCGGAGCCCTCTTTTCGGAAGCCCGAGCAAAAGTCCTTGTTCCGCGATAGAAAATTTAATTACGAACTCATATACGATAGCTCGAATTTCAACTCATAATCTTAATTAATCTAAATGAGACTTAAATTCGAATCTTACTCAAACTCTACCTCAAAAAGTGACTCAAATTTAATGTTGTAACTAAAACTCTATACCTTTAAATGTGACTCAAACTCGAAGTCCAACTCGAAACTCAATGCTAACTAAAACTTTAATTCTAATAATGACTTGAATTCGAAATTGAAGACTAACTCAAAGTTTAACTCACACAGTAACCCGAACTCTAATTCGATGAATGGCCACACTCATCCAAGGCACATACAACATGGAAATCTATCTAAAAATAGAACAGGTTTTTCCGAATTGGTCACGTGATTTTACATCATCAAGTAATGGGATAACCACATCAAAGAATGACAGGACCACATCAAACAATGAAACAAACACATCATGTAGTGTAAAATTGTCAAATTTTGAAACATCATTACGTAATGTTAAAATCATATAAAGAATAGGCAAATCATCATTACAAAATAACAAAACCACATCATGTAATGAAACAACTACATAACGTTAAGTCACATTCACATCAAGTAATGTTAAACCACATTGATTAAAGACACAACCACATTAAATAGTGGTGAAACCACATCGAGTAATGACAAAACCATATTGAGTAATGACAAAACTATATCAAGTCAATACGAAACCATATCGTGTAATATCGAAATATCATTAAGTAATGACTATTCCATATTGAGTTGTATCAAAACATCATTACGTAATGTCAAAACCATATTAAGTAAAGACAAAATATCATCAAGTAATAATAAAACAACATAAAGTAATATCAGTGTTCCACATAAGACAGCTGTGGCGTTCCATAGAATAACAATAAATTAGGCATGCATGTCACGTGTTACTGTGTTAGTATGGCATAAATAAAGTGAATCAGGCACTGGAGAGGAAAACATTCACAGTTAAGGAATAAAAACTATTTAAATGTAAAATGACAGTACGATCTTTTAAAAATTGTTGTTAAAAACACAAAATTAAGCAATAATAAAACAAGAACCACTGCAACCGTTTTGTACCACAAACCTCAAGTTATATTCCCAATATTATATTTTAAACTTTTCAAAGCCTCTAGTTCTTTCAATTTTGCCTTTATATATTTGATGTCCACTGAAAACATCATATAAGCTATGTGTTACTATATATTATGTCCGTTTATACCATCCCTAAGCCGTATATAAGTTTTACTTTTACCTGTTCAAGCTGCATCAAAACTCTTTCAACTAAAATATCATTTATCAAAACAAAAAAGTAATTACCAAGTGACTTAAATATACAGACTGTCTGTTGCCTACTTGCCATTCTAAGCACAAATTTTAAGTCAATTGCATCAACTCAAAAGATAGAAAGCCAATTAAAAGTGTTAGATGGGTCATCATTGTCAAATGATGAATATCACGTGTTACGAAGAATCATGTGGAGATTTTAGAAACGTGAACATGCATGTGTGTGTGTGTGTTTGTGAGTTATTTTTGTTGTTTTACCTTTGTTTCAACATTGACATCATCTCGAAAACTGGAATTTTATACAACATAGAGCATTTAAATAAGCAAAGCTGTAAGCTATTTTGGTGCAAAAATACAAATAAGGTGTATTTCGTCCAAAATCGTTATGGCATGGACCAACTTTTTTGCATTAAAGTTGATCAATTGTTTTCATGTGTACAGGTCCTTTTACATGTGAAGAGTCACACAATGAAGCTCTGGTTATATTAGTAAGCATATATAACTATACGATAGACAGTTCTATATAATGAAAAACAAAAATAGATTGGAAGAAATGTTACAAACTATAAAATGTTTCAAAGAATTAATAAAAAGTCATCTTAGAAAAAGAAACTGATAGATACTTATTTACACATATATATAAGTAAAGACACTGAATCAACACATGAATGTAACAATTTTGTAATATAGAATTAATCCAAATCGGGGATTTAAAAAAAAAAGAGATTTAAAAGAGACGCTGAATTTCACATCCATTGCTTCTGCTAAAATATATAATCATTCGTTCCAAATATAAGACAGCAGACAAAAGTAGTAAAGCACCATTCATAAAATACAATCGTTCTTTATGAATTTGCGCAGTACATTTTTTTTAAACTAAAATACAGATTCAGTGTCTTTGAATGTATAACATCTAGAAGAAAGTACAACGTGAAGAGAATACCAAGCTTACTGATGTCATCTGCAAAATCAAAATAATCAGTTGAAATTAGTATTCATTCTACTGAAATTGAAAAAAAGTCTATTTACCACATGCTGGATCGATGAAATAAACAATATGAATTATTTCCCTTACATCTATGTATTTAAGTTAAAACTCTATAAGGTAAAATATTCCTTGTAAAATCTGACTGTAACAGATATTGTACCGGCAAAGTATCATCCTCGCCTCTGGAGTTCCCAACTGTATGTTTTATTAACACCTTTTTGACTATAACTTTTCTTGTTTATTTGCTAACAAATGAAAAAAGAGTAAAATGCACATAGATACCAAAGAAGAAGCCAACACCATGAATTAAGACAAGACAAGCAACATTCCACGAAACACTACACAGAAATAAATAGGCATTGAGCAATACGAACTCACAAAAATGGAGTTTAACTCATGTGCATCAGAAGGGTAAGCAGTTTTTACTCCACCAGAACCACTCGTTGTGTTGTTCGTGACAAGCAACAATACGGTGACAAGATGCATTAATTCGATGATGTCATGAATGAGGAAAGGAAAACTGAATGTGGCTATGACCTAACATATACTAGTATCTGTCTGTAACAAAGATATTACATAACAGCCAACCTCATTCATTATGGCGTCCGTAAAACTTTTGAAAATAAGATAATATGAACCATTTGAACCAGTTTTAGGTATAGGCTTTAAATGGAACTAATCAGTTGTAAGAAAATTAATCAACACACTTAAAAGTTTGGATGTGGCCCATGCCTACACAGAATTTCATGGAAAAAAAACCTTTTACGTTCAAATTTCGAAACGAAGTCATTCCATTTGAATTTCATCAGAACGATTATTGTTATGCAATAATAATTATTTAACATTTTTTCTACCCTTACCAAAATAAAAAAAGGGAAATATCACATAGCCATAAAGTAAAAGATAAAACAAGTAACAAAATAAAATAAGATATATACTAGTATCTAAGACGATTGCACCAGGAAAAACTTCAGGGGTAAAATAAATAAAGAAACTTAAAAAAATCTACTGTTGATATATTCTTAAATTCAATGTACACATGGCAATACATGATATTGTTGAGAGGATATAGGAATTACAATCATATTAAACTTGTTGTCAATCAAAATAATCAACTGGAAGATCAATTATTAAGTCACTAAGACTAAGGAAGATTACATTCAGTGTGAGGGTGTAAAAAGAAAATTTAATTTGCATGTGATGTGTAAAATTTAACTAGTCTATTGTACCATTTACCATATAGATATTATAAATCTACATATTTTTGAAATTGACATACATATCTGATATCCTGTCAATAATTTCATCGCATGCCAAATATTGCTCTGCTCTCCACGACTTATTACTGTATAAATCTAAATCGCCAAACGCTATCAATAAAATACCAATATTACCATATTACATTTATTGATATATCATATTCTAAATATTCTGGAAATAGTTTACATATAGGAATTGGACGTTTTTAAGAATATGTCTTGACAAGTAGAAAAAAACAAACAATCAGACATACTAAAACATGCTTCGGCTAAAATGATAGACGGAAATAGTTCATTTTTTGGTCAAGATAAGACTATTGAAACTTACAATCAATTTAAATGAATTATGAAATGTTGCACTAATCACCATGCCAAAAAAACAAATAAAACAAATAAAACGTTGATCGATACCTGTTTTTTGTCCACGTGGCTGTATAAGATAGTCTGTTTCAACCATTTCTTGACATGCTTCACATTTCCTTTGTAGATTGTCTTGTAGTTCTGTTTGTAACTGTTTAGGTTGCTGCCACTCACCAACAAAGGACGGGCTAGTACAAAGAGGGCAACACACCCTTCTCTCTACCAAAATACCTAAGAAAGTAGGAACAATATAAATATTAATTTATTTGTTTTCTAATACTAAAGGTGGTTGTCTCACACAGACTTACGTATCATAAAAAAACAGGGAGCATCCTCAGTTTTGAGTTAAAAGAGTAAATAATTTATAATCACGTTGAGTTGCTCAATTTAAAACTTACTCGTTTTTTAAAAACATTCTTCTGAAGTTGAAAGTTTATACCTGTGCAAATTAAGAAATATAAATAAAATAGAAACTTTACGACTACCTTCATAACTCTTTATCGTTTCTTCAAACTCAAACAATAAAGGATAGACGAGGTTCCACATGGTACCAGGTGCAGCTTCGTCCTCCTTATCAATGTCAATGATGTCTGCTCGTAATTCAAACAATAAATCAGTACCAACATTATCTCCGCCAGGTACGTAATGAATCTTTATATGAACTTTATGTTCATCATTCCTTGCATGTATCCCGCCTCCCCAATGCGCCATAAAATTCATCTTAACTTTTTCTTGAGAATCTATTTTCTTAATTTTGTCAGGATAGTCTGTTCTTGTTTTCTTTTGGTGAATTCGAATGCATAACGTTTCGAAAAATCCTGGAGGAAAGTAAATCGGAAATTTGCACAAAATACGAATATTCTTTCTGTCTGACAATCTCTGCCATTTCTCTTTCATGTCTTCTGGTTCACCAATTTTGCGTAGCCATGGAATGAGAATTTTCTGTATTTTCATTTTTCCTTTGTCGTCTTGCTTAACATGATAATTATATTTCGCATTGCCCTGAGAACTTTCTTTAAGTTTGACAACTGGGTATCCGATACAAAATCCATCAAGAAGTATTTTGATAACATCATCAAATATATCATTCATATCTGTTGGAACTAAATCGCCGATCATTCCTTGGAGCAACTCACGGTCTATTACTCCTTCAGAAAGTAACTCACTCTTTGTTCTTTCAAACCTGTTAGTACTCATTCCTACAGCTTTGAAAGAGTTTGTCTTCTCGTATGATAACATATTTGCTATATCGTGATGATATATTTGTCTAAGTAATTCGAATAACCACAACGGTCTCACAAATACATAGTCTTTCAAGGAAGGTGTTTGAGCGAAATTAAGAACCTTTCCCTTTTCGTGCAGATATTCTGTCATAGCACTTATCATTCTTCGCATTCCGAATTTTTCATCAACTTCATTTCTGAACTCTTCAAATGTCATTACTGGTTGAACCATAGTAACACCTTTTTCTTCAATGTAATCCTCTGCGTCTACCCAGAACGTTTTTATTTCTTGCATGACGTTCGGAAAATTTTCAGATCTCGCTAGCTTTTCTATTTCTTGTCGCAATAAATCAAACCCGACAAATTGCTTCGAACTCGTCATTATGATTGTGTTTGGGACTCGTAAATGATCAAATGAATATTGCAATTTAGAAAGAACGACTAAATGTTCTGAAAGAGCCTTTGAGAGTTTCATTCCTGGTTTTCGGAAAGCTTGTATCCTTTCATTTATCGATCTAGCTCTCGTTTCCTTGTACTCTGCTAATTGTTTTTTAACATCTTCAATGACGTCATTCTGCTGCTCTTTAGTCAACAAATCTCCATGTGTGCCAACCAAAATTGTTACTATCTTGTTTGTTTTTGCCATCATCCAGTCAAACCAAGAAGCAATTAAATCGTCAAATTCCTCCGAAGAATACGCCTTCATATCAAATGTCAAAATTGCAATAGATGGTTGTTCAAAAAAGAGGTAGTGCGGGTATCTGTAAAATGCGTGACCACAGAAGTCCCATATGCATAAATTGAGTGATTTGCCTTGTTCTTCGTCTCCTTCCGGTTCGTATTCTATACTCATATCATAAGATTCTATTCCTGCACCAGCTTCATGTACATCTTCTGACAAAATGCCTTGCTGGTCTATCAAAGACTGAATTAGACTGGTCTTGCCGCTTTGATGTGAACCCAGAACAACTACTTTTACACCACGGTACACTTTCATTTTTAATCTCTCTTCGTGCATATAAATCATCATTGAGCGTAGATCTTGTATGTCTGCTGGTGGGAAAACTAGAGGATTGTCATCAATAATGAGATCTTTGTCGGGGTCCCGTTCTAAATTTTTAAGTGAGTTAATATTTAGATTTTTTATTTTATTGCTACTTAGATCAGTCCTTTTGCATATTCGTAAAAGATGACCTGGAAATTTTGTGATTTTGTTGTCAGACAAATCAATGTCAGAAATCTCATGTTTGTTATTCACTTTGATATTGAACACAGGCACTTTTGAAATTTTATTTTGACTAGCACTTAAATATTCTAGTTTGGGTAGAAAAAACACATCAGATGGAAGCACTACAATACTATTCCCTGAAAGGTCAAGGTCTCGTAATGACCTGAGGTTCCGAACATCACACTCAATCTCTTTAACAACATTTTCTTTGCACTTAAGAACTTCTAACCTTTGCATATGACTGATATCTGGAAAGACATTGGTTACTTTGTTATTGTCTAAAACTAGTATTTGCATTCGTCTATTCTTTTCGAGACCTTTAAGACTGTCCAACCCATTTTTACTTAAATCTAATCTGGCTAGGTATTTGAGTCGTCTAATTGCAGGAGGAACCTTTGTCAGCTTATTATTGTTTAAGTTAAGATCAGACAGTTTTTCAAGTTTTTTCATGTCTTCTGGAATAGCACCATCTCCTAATTGGTTGTTGCTTAAATCTAACTTCTCTAGATGAGTAAGACGATCTATTAAACTTTCCGGTACAGTTTTCAGATGTATACCTGATACTAGTAATCTTTTAAGAGAGTCTGAATATTTTTGAACATTTTCTATCGTTTCTTCTTTAGTATCAAAAATACGAAGTGATACAGTTGCGTCATGTTGTTTTGTTGGAAGTCGATCTGGGTGTAAATGGCGTCCTCCTTGGAAACCGACGTGAGACATTAAAGGGGATACTTCCCTTACGATGGTAACCTTGCGTGACTTCTTTTGTGGGATGGGCTTGTCCACTTGTACAGAAGGCTTTCGCCTATTCATTTTATAATCTTATTTTGACTTCAGCTTGTTATCTGTTCACTCCATGCTTCCTTCCACTAATTCTGGAATAAAAAAAACTAATGTTTTGATGTGTAAATATGCAATCATATAATATTGTCACAAAGGGAGTTCATTTTACGGAAAGAAACTACGGTCTCCTGGATTTTCAATTTAAAATTAAACCATTTTTAACAGGAACATAGATCGCACACTCTAAGCAGATTGTTGATGAAAATTTAGTTTGAGCAGATAGAAAGTTTTAAAAAAAGCGGAAATATAAAAAAAAAACCATAAAATTTCAAAGGGGAAATCAGAAGGAAACCATTTTGAAAATTGACGACATACTAAAGAAGGGTAGTAACACGAGATCACACGTACAATCAATGAAAGGGAGGGAGTGCATGTATATAAAACAACACCAATCTCGATAATAAACTAGAAGTGGGATCAGATGCTTCTGGATAAAAACTATCATACTTTGCATGCCACATCCGTATAATTCGCCATAATGACACGAAGAACTCTTGAAATGAGTTCATAATAATTTGTGACATATTCTCTTAATAACAACCAACCATTTCGTGATGGCCATCACTGTAAAGATACTATTTATATGATCCTATTTGGCTTAATATAAATCTAAGGATTTTGTGTGACTGAAGGAAGTCGGTGTTATGAACACAAGGTCTTAAAAAACTATCTACTTGCTGATAAACATGTGAGTTAGGAATGTTAAAACTAAAAAAATACACTATTCTTGAGAAAACAATCTTTTGTGGGTTTTTCCAAAGGATGTGTTTATATTAATTTCATAAATAGCTATATTAATTACCAAATTATACTACTGAAAAAAGCTATAAACACAAAAGTAATAATCTTATACGGGCCCTTTAATTTTATTTAATATCGTATTCACATTCAATGTTTGTATGTTACTTGAAACAATTTAAAACCCAAAATGCATACAAGAACCCTTTCGGAAATCCTTTCAGGTTAAAAAGGTTCGTGTATCAGTCTCATCCAAAGGGATACGAGAGTATTTGTCCTAAATAAACTCATCATAGATACCAGGATTGAAATAAATACTGTTTAAACATTAAAAAAGAAACAAATATCTTTTTTGAAAAACAAACAAATAATCAATAAAACCCTTCTGAAACCCCGTTTAAAAATCCCCTCGGCGGAACAAATCTGTCTGATCATTAAAAGGTTATGGTACGTTCAAACTGAGACTGCTATAACACAGCAGTGATTGTAGTCTCAGGTTCAAAATACTATTCCAATGAACAATATTATTCAAATGTGATTAATAGGTTTTACGGGAAAACTAATTACATTATTTTCCAGTCTATGTGTGTTCCATGGTAACGGCCATAATTGGTTTTAAGATCGACATAAAATTAAAGATTTTAATCAAGACATAATAATATTATCATTAGTTATGCATCTAAAAGCAACAGTGTATTGACAAGCATGAAAATAACGTGAACTGCAAACACTTAGCTATGTTTCAAGTTAGCTAGGTTTCAAGGGAGAAACTGCATGTTTTTTACTGGTCTGTCCTGTATATCCATTAATTTTTCGGAGTAACTAAAATGCGACAATTTTATAATCTGTGAATAAAATAGATATTGCTTTAACCAATAATTTCGTTAAATTTTACCTTTAGAAATCAAAACAACTTCAAATTTTAATTCATTGTTTTTAAAACTCACCGAACTAGCATGAATCTATTCCAATAATTCTATTCTTATGTTGACCTCTATTGTACATATTGCAGTCGATATAAGATTAAAAAGGAAATGAAAACATTGTTATCTAATATTATATTCTGTTAAAAACAAGACAGAAAAAACGTATTTTTTACATGTCTTACCTTCTTTAATCAAATGTTTCCCGTGGTTATTTATCTCTATGTTTGGTTTAGACATATAAACTATCGTAATGTTTCAGGTATACACGGCGATAGGTTTAAATGAGATAAACATTTTTATAATTACTTAGCATGTTAAATAGGTAAAATGTAATTTGTTTTCGTTTGCTTGATCGGTTACGTATTGAAGTAGTCTCAACTTGGTTATTTTAATTTGTACTTGGTTTAAACAATTTTTTCGTGACAAAGAAATAGATGCATTACGACAATTGAAATATCGCATATCTTTTATAAAATGTTAATATCTAAAAGCCCCAACTTAAAAAATAAAAATAAATAAAAAGGTTCGCATACCTTAGAAGCTTAACCGATACATTTGTCATTTCATTATCATAACAGAAGCATCAAACAAAACAAAAAAGTGTACAGAGAGAGAGAGAGAGAGAAAATTTATATAAAACTGTTGAATAATACAAACATGTGACACCTTAAATAGTTTATTTTAATGACGTTTATTTTGTGTCAATATATCTACAATGAAACTACATATCTACAGGAATAAGTATTTAAAACATCTCATACAAATGACACCTTGACTAATAGTATGAATTAATGCACGATGTCTCAAATACAATTAAAACGTTAATGTGTGAGAGAATTTTGTATGTTAGAAAACAGTGGTTCCATGGGAGTTTAAATATACGTGAAAATATCTGATGGGCAATGTCTATTATAAGCTTTACTTTAAATCAAAACTGTGTAAATATTGAACTTAATAGAAAGTACGGTAGTAAATTTGTGCAGGACACTTTGGACGTCTTTATACACCTTGAGGTGTTTCTAGCAGAACATTGTCAATAGGTTATTTGATAAAATGATAATGTTGTCAAACGTATAAATAAATTAAAATATAGCAAATACACATGTTCATTGCAGGATGTCAAATGACTATACAACCTAATTTTAGTTTACTATGGGTTATTTGCATGGTTACGACAGCATAGTCCTCTAATGTTTCATTTCCTAGCTTTTGTCCATTGACATAATATGTTCCTAACTGAGATTATTATAACATTAGCAGTCTCAACATACAGACAAGTTTTATAAAAAAAACAAATATTAAATAACTTAAAATCGACAATAACCAGGTATCAATTCAAATATTACATAAACATATTAGTTATTATCACATAATATTTGGCAATACATGTTCATCTATATGAATAATCCTATTGAAAGTAGCATACTGAGATAAGATGTGTACCATGATGCAACAGCGGAATTTAATATAATACTTACTTGCAAAGGAAAAACATTCTTAATATGTATTTTCAAACGATGTCCTTTTATCACTTTAATGCTTTATTATAACCATAAACTAGTTATAAAGTAGCTGTAACTAGACACTTTACTGCCAAGTTATATACAATCATGTGAAACTTAAATATTTACAATGAAAATTTATCACGTCTGTCAATTGTTTGGGGATTCGAACCTTTTAAAGAAGTACGAACAACCCAATGAGTAAATTATGTCAATAAGTTTAAAAAAATTATTATCTCCAGGGGCGGATTCAGGCGGGGGCGTGGCGGGCGTGCCCCCCCCCCCCCCCCTAAAATTTGCAAAGCATGGGTTGTCCTCAGCTTAATAAAGAATATTTCGATAATTTTACCTCAAAATAATTTAAGTTTGCGCCCCCTAACCTAAAATCCTGGATCCGCCCCAGATCTCATATGATTGGTATAAAATACAATTACTGTTTCCTTTCCATTACACATATATTCGCTAAAAACACAGAATGGATAATGGTACCAATAACATTAACATCATCAATTTTACAGCACCAGATGTGCATTTCGACAATAAATTTCTCGTTAGTGATGATCGGGGCCAAAATAGCTGAAATTCCAAAACTCATTTTAGAAAATGAAGAGCTTTGAAACTTCCAAATAGATAATTGTAAAAAGCTTCAGCTGCCAACCATGCATACTGTTAGCGATAGATGTAAAAAATAACAATAAAAATAAATGAGTTTAAACAATTAAAAGGGAGAACCGATTCGAAATCAGTCATGGATTACTGACGATGGTTGTTCAACCTTGCTGGCGAGTCACACAAATGAAGTTTAATGTAGACACAAAAACACAAAAATGTCGACAGGTGACAACTGTGATTAATTTGTATGACCAAGGAGATATGTGCTTAAATAATGTGCAAACAAACTGTTCTTCAAATACATTAAACATTTGATACATAAATTGAGGTTATCTTCACTGAAGTCATCGTATTTGAAATTTAAAATTACTCTTTTAAAATAAGATAAAAGACTATGCGTACATTTAAGCGTTCCAAAATGTTCTCTTTAATATGCACTGCAGACAAGTGTTTCAAAATGTTATCTTGGATAAACACTGCACACAAGTGTTCAAAATACCATCTTTGCTATACACTGCATACACGTGTTCTATAATCTTGGCCATGCACTGCGTTCAATAAGTGTGTGAAATACTAAGGCTTTTCTACCTCAGGGATAGATTACCTTAGCTGTATTTGGCAAAACTTTTAGGAAATTTTGGTCCTCAATGCTCTTCAACTTCGTACTTTATTTGGCCTTTTTTACTTTTTTTTTTATTCGAGCGTCACTGATGAGTCTTTTGTAGACGAAACGCGCGTCTGGCGCAAATACAAAATTTCAATCCTGGTATCTATGATGAGTTTATTTATAATATTTGCGATAAACTGCATACAAGTGTTCTATAAATTTTGCTTTACACTGCATACAAGCGTTCTATAATATCGAATATCAACTGCATACAAGTGTTCCATATTTTTTGCTTTACACGGCATACAAGCGTTCTATAATATCGGCTATACACTGCATACAAGTGTTCTATAATTTTTGCTATACACCGCATACAAGTGTTCTATAATCTTGGCTATACACAGCAGAAATGAACACGATAGACTTAATTTTCATAAAATGCTTTGGCAGAAATTCACCAGCTGGAAATGATCACTTAATAGTATAAACTTAAAAGTTCAACAGCACCACAACAATGCACCATACATTCTCATAAATATGTGACTTTACAAGGTTATGTCGTAGGTAAAGATTACTAAATTAATTCTTATTGTATTACATTTGCTTCTTGCCAAAAAGGCTTGGAAAAGTGAATTGGATTTAATTGTTATTTTAAAGTCTTATAACGGATTATTTTAATACCAATGAGTTATATGAGAATTTACTTAGCTAATCTTTATAATTATTTCGTGTGAATTTTCTTGTTGGCTTTAAAAATTATGATGTTTTGTGTAGTTCAATTATACATGTTAACATATTTCAAATAATTAGCAGCTAGAAGCTGACCATTAAGGCAAACGGAATATTAAATTCGAATGGTTACATGGAAAAAAAATGTTGAAATCATATAACCTAATCGGAAATGCATTATGCATTTGTCTATTTAAAATATAAATGCAATTTTGAATACTTAGTTGATTAAATCTGATAACAAAACTTAATATATTAAACTAGACTGAGCTTTTTAAATGAACATGACTTACCCGAAGAGTTGATGACGTCTCCTTTGACACTACGATCGGAATCAACAATACACAAATTGGCAAGGTGTACTTTTCCTACTTTTCAATTATTAGAAATCTTTCCAATATTAAATATGATATTATTAAATACAACTCCTTTATGTTTTCCTTTTGATATGAAACAATGGTCTTCAAAGTATCTCCACAGCGATAAAAGCCTACAAGACAGAAAAAGTTAACGAATTTATAACAACGGTACGTATCGGGTATCCTGACCTTGATAGGGTAGGCTTGATATGGACATATGATTAAATCTGAGATTAGTAGAGGGTTTAAAAGATTTACAATAGCTTATTCAAATGATTTAATTTTCTAAATGGATTGTAAAATGACAAATGTCTTAATGATATTAGTCAGATCATGCATCTTTCGATTGATAAAATTAAGTGCATTTTAATTAATCGCACTGACTTTAATTTGGAACGATATTGTGTGAATGCGGTACCATTGCATTTCTGTATTGTGAAACTAAAAATGATAAATTGACGTCTCTTTCTAGAAATCGAATTAACAAAACATGTTTTGACATGGAAAGTTTGGTTATTAAAACAGAGATTATAAACTTAATGCAACTGTTTTCACCCAAATTTGAAAACAAAATAAATACTGCTATACCGTCAAAGATTTATAGACTTGCTTTCCGTCTATAATTGGTATATTTAATGACATTTCCTATTTGTATTTGAAGTTTTTCAATAGCTGAACTTTAAAATAAAATATGTCAATTTGTTATACTTTTATGTGGGAATTATCACCAATTGATTAAATATCAAGAAGTAATGAATGTCAGTATAAAAAAAACCACGTGTTTCATTGGCTAAATCTCAAATGTCTTCCGTCTGACTGCTTATTTGATTCACGGTCTATTCAATAGTCCTTTTCGGCTAATAGCATTATAATATAAGTGTCCTAGTATAAATTTGGTAAATTGTCTACATTTGTTTTTATTAGAGATTACGGAAAAACAAATGGAGTAACAATAGTTGGATTTATTCGCGAAATTCATATTTAATTCCGTGAACTGCATAACCGAGATAAAGTAAAGCACTGGGAGACTATAACCATTTATAAATTCGTGTATATTGTACAGGCTATATCAAAAAGCAAATTTGATTTCATGATCTTTTTTAAATTTTCACGTCAGATTAACGATTAATCTTTTGAAGTTTTCAATTTACGTCATTATAAAGCTTCAATCTGATTGACCTTTTCAGGTTACAAAGTTGTGTGCCAATCAATTTTATATTGTATAGCACCAAAACCCGATGAACCTTTTTGAATGAAATTTAAATTTCGGTGATACTACATCAGGGATACAATAATATTATTATAAATAAGATTTTTAAAGTCATAGAGGATGACCAGTTATACTCAATGTTGACTTGCAATTATTCATACATGTACTTTATGCTGACGCGCCGGTTCTTGGGTCATTTCCAACCCTGCGTTTTCACTCCAATGATTTTGTGCTCAGATATTTCAACTTAAATCGATCGGCATTTTGCTTTACATTCAATAAAAAAAAGTGTTAACAAAAATACCGAACTCTGAGGTAAATTCAAAAAATGGAGTCCATTATAATTGATAAAATTAAACGATCGACTTTATCAACCAACTTGGGACGAATGGAAAACAACTGTCATATCTCTGACTTTGTATAAGCATTTTCTGAAGAAAATGGTGGGTTAACCCTGGTTTTTAGGGGCATTAGCTGTCAAATTCACGTTCATCGATTTTACTCAAATTCTTAAATTCGACTTATTACATACTCAAACGCATATCCAAATTATAAAAAGTATAAAATAAACAATTCACGATGCATAAGACTCGATAGTATGCTCAGCATTTCGTGTGTATTTTAGTCTAGACGCCATCTAATTAACCATCGAGGTGACCTCCGAATACTGCCGACGGTCATATAACCCGATATAAACATAAACATACTATTAGATATAAATAGATTGCGAACTCGTGCAATTTGATTTTTCTAGGTCTGTTTGACTTCATATTATATGTTAAAAAAATATGTTAATAATAGTTTTTACCTGTATAAGAATGAGTTTTTCTAAATCAAATCAGTCAACCATATGGTTTACCCTTGTTTCACTTCCAATGTTTACATTCTTTTCCATTTAATAACTGAACACGTCTAGTTCATGCGTAACCCATCTCTAGCTATAGGGATCAATTAAAGTTCACATGAATACGGATTCAATGAGGTCGAATTATTCACTTGCAATTGAATAATTCATTAGCATTGTTTCTTTGCTTAATTTGGCAAAATTGAACCAAACTGGCTGTTAAAAGCGAATTGTTATTTCACTATTTCACTTTCATTACTGATTGAACAAAAAAAAATCATATTTTATTTTTTTGTATATCTCGTAGCTAATGCCCCTTTAATAGCTAGCTAAAAATCCACTTGTATGACAAGAAATGATCTTCTGTAGTATCATAAAACCAAACTGGATGCAGGCATTATATATGACAATAATCATTGACGATTAAGTGAGACGGTCTACTATAGTTATTTTACTTTGACTTGAGTTTATATGCTCCCGCAACTGAATTTTTATTCTGCTCTCAGTTTGATCATGACATGTTTATCAACGGTGATGAAGTAAAAGGAATATAAGTCGTTTTAGTACAATTTTAATAATATGAGCACGCAATTAAAAGAACAATTTGAAATTCAAGTTTCTTTTGTTCCAATTAGATAAATTAATCAATGCATCCATAGAAATACAATATTCTGATGGACTTTTTATATAATAGCCGAGAATAACAAAGGTTAACAAATATAGAATCAAGATAAAACTTCTAATATGGAATATCAGTTATAATCACTTTTGACAAACTGTCGATAACATACATTTATTTTCATTCCACTAAGCCGGTGATAAGCTAATCGGCAAACATCAATAATTATGATTGATTTTCAATTTTTACCTCCTGTACTTTACTGAGACAATAAAGTCAGTGTGTACTGCTTATTACTTTGTTTGATCTCATTTTATCGTCAAAGATCATATGTTGACCTCTCGAAGTATTTACGTTTGGTTTTTGTATATTGAAAGGTTGTTGTCTAGTTTACGCTTGCCTGACTTTTATGAGTCATGCAGTAAACTTTCAGGGATCACTTGGAACATAGGGGTCAAAGCAATCGATATTAACTGTATCAAGCAAAGCGCACACCAATGTAAGTAAAATGGGCCAGCTGAAGCCCACCTCCGGGTGCGGGATTTTTCTCGCTGTGTTGAAAACCCATTGATGGCCTTGGGCTGTTTTCTGCTCTTTGACCGGGATGTTGTCTCTTTGACACATTCCCCGTTTCCATTCTCAATTTTATTTTATACTATCTACTCATTGTAAGTCTCCGTATAATGATTGTATACCAACTTATGACTATTGTTGCTCAAGACATACTAGTTTTATAAAACTTTCCTACCTGTAAAATGTCAACACTGACAAAGTTCAGATCATTTTAGGTTAAAATATTTTTCAGCAAGCTTGTCTTAAAAAAAATCATTGACTTTTTCTACTTCTATAAATAATAGCAATTTTGTTCATTATCAATCACACGCATTTGAATTCGTTTCTTGGCGTACATGCATCTGTATCATCGGTGGTATTAAATGATGATAAGTAGATAATGTACAACTTAATGGCATTTCTACGTACATATTTCCAACCAAAACTCTTCCAAAATCAGTGCAATTCTTAATATTTTGTTGGTTTCCAAATATAGTGTGTAAATCCGGAGTAATTGCTTTAACTATAACATAATAACAGTTTACAAATAACTAAAGATTGAGCACACGACCCCCCCCCCTCCCCCCCCCCCAAAAAAAAACAAAAACAAAAACAAAACAGGTGGTTCAGGTGCTCCTGAGTGGTAAGGGTTCTTGCTTCAAACGTAGAACCCGTCGTTTTGCTCATAACAGGTAAAAAAGTCGATGACAAGTGTTGTTAAAATAGGCATTAATAAAATATGTATGAACAGTTTTTCATGCGATGTGGAAAAAAAATGTTGCACTAATTGACTCTAATTTGAACCATCTCAAATACATCAAGAGGCCCTTTCAGTAACTGACACGAATTAACTTTCGTATGACAATGGTGAATGAACATGACAACCTTTAAGGTTTTTTTCTTCAATATCCATATGAAATTGAATGTCATGTACTCAAACGCAGAAATAAATAAAGATAAATTAAAATTTAACATCATGCGTTTCATTAAAAACCCGAAATAAAAAATCAACACTGAACCATAAATATAGTGTGTGAATTACTCCAATCCTATACATTTTTTAGTAAATAAACATTACTTGGGCCAATACTTCATTTCACAGTAAATTTAAAAACGATTTTAACAAGTACCATTAAACAAATACATGACAAAGCAGATTGCACATTCAAGTATTTGAATTGTAATTAAGCAACGCAAAATTCTCTTTAATATATGTTTTACAAAGCCCTTTTGAAAACTGGAAAAGAGCACGGAAACCGATGTTTATTGACAAATATGTGTTTGATCAAGTTTTTGAAATGGTACTGAAAAGTATTTACAAACCATCGAAGAATTTATGTGATACCTCTAAAATTACTTGTTTTGTGACAAACTTGTGTTTACATTGAAAGAGAAAATGTACACATCGCCTAATGGTTTGTCAATCAAATCAAATGGTTACTGGGTAATTATGAACAACATTATATCCCTTGTAATTTATCAAATGTTTGGATTTACCAAAACGATAACTATCGAATAGATATGTGATTTATATGAAATTCTTACTTAAACAGCTTATACAAATAAACTTGTAATCTTCATATTTCAATAAGATATAAAGTAAAAAAAAAAATAGCCCAAGTTTTTAAAAGCTTTAAGTAAGGGTTCTTACGT